GAGACAAGCAGGAGGCAGACCTAGGCTTGTAATGATAACAAATACTGAAGTGCTGAAGAAAAATACTAGAATTATGTCCAAAAACTATTCTAAATGTAAAATAATGTTAAAACAAACTTACTGTAATAAATAAACAGCAGAATGACACACTTAAGTACTTAGTTTGTATCTGTAATGAGCCATAGAAGTTAATTAAATGAACTGTTTATGGCTTAAATCCCATTATATAACCACAAACTTCCAAGTAGCACAAAGAAAATGCACAGACACTATATAATAACCAACCAAAAGTATAGTTTCAGCTTTCATTTACAGAACAGACCCTACTACACAAAGGTTACATAGAGGACTTTTAAATGGAACTCCAAAAGGCTAATCATTTCCATGTCATAACCAGAAGTGGCATGTTATTCATCATACAAATGACATTTCTGGCATTTCCGGATTTTGTGTATTTCTTGTAAAAGTAGAACACAACCCATGGAGTAATATAGCTCACAACAGCTTCATAAATTTAACGACCACAAGACATTAAACATTGTGCGTAAACTATCCTATATCATTCATAACTAAGGCTGTCAAAAGTATCGAAAATAAGCTACTAATCAATACTAAGGGCCTGTTTACATGGGTAAAAACGACAAAATATTTTATTGGAAGTGTCTTTTGTTTAGATGGTGACGGCATTTTTGGGGCTTAAAAACACAAAAATCTGAAACCACCCTCCAGAGTGGAAAAGTGGAATACGTTCCGTCGTAGTGTTTCCGACTACTCAGCCCAAGACGCAAAACTCTGGTCAGATCTGCTCATGTCGCGTGCGAGCCGTCTGACATGCATACACAATCGAATTCCACATACTTTTGCGTCACCGTATGCATGCAGAATTCCTCCCGAAAACACTCATCTAAACGTGGAATAAAAAATGAAGACACGACGACACTTTTGCGTCTTCTGTTCAGACCGTCACCTTATAAACGTAGCGTAAAGTCAGTATTGAAAATAGATACGCAATATAACAAGTATCGAAACTGAAAAAATTCCATAAACATGACAAAATGTGACCTTTCTTGTACAGTTTTAGAGTAATCTTAAACTTTATCAACACCAGTATAGAACCACAAGGTAAATTAAAGAAAGAAAATTACATCATTTTGTCTAAGCGTAATTTTTTTTCCAATATTTGTGGTATTGAAATTAATATTAAGTACTGAGCCTTTTCCTTAGTATCGAAATCAAGTTTGAAATTTTAGTATCGTAACACTATTCAAAACAAAAGTGTATTTCACAACTTTCACAATTTTTTGTTAAGTTCTATTTCTACAAACAAGCAACAAAACGCCCAAGCTGAATTCTGTTTCTGCACTTCTTAAAATATCAAAAAACCACCAAACGAATCAACAGCCTAACTTTATTTTCTCACAACACCAGTTCAGTTCCAGTCCACAACCGTTGGAGTAGTTTGCAGAAGCTGACAGGAGCGATGACAGGTGCGAAAAGATTTATGCTACAGCAAAAGCCTGCTACCACAATGTGCAAACACTTAAAGTACACTTTAGCTATTCCTACAAGAGAGATGGCCACCAATTCATTATGTACTGACACAAACATACACACAAAATAAAAATAACACAAAATATAAACATGAGAATGAACCGTAAACGACTAGTATAAATAAACGAAAGCGTGACATGAAAAACAGCAGTCATTTTGGTATGGTTGAATTATTTAAAGGTTTTATATGACTCTAAATGGAGTCTTGTGAGATTTATGCTGTTACCTCATCAAAAAAAACCACAAACTTCCCAATTAAAACAAGATAAACTAATGTACACATCATCTGTTGATTCAACGTTACAGCTCATCTCTGCAGTAAGTAAACATTTCATTGGGTATTTCCATTTGAATCAACCTCGCAGTGATCCTGAGATGCAAACCACGCAAAATAGTTCAGTAAACCAGTTATTCGACTAAATAATTTGTAGGACGGCACACTATATCGTAAAAGAATCGATATCACAGTATTGACTGACGCGATAATCGACATACTGAATCACAATAACATGGTTCTCGATAATGGATGCACCGATACGATACTGGTATTGGATTTACCATATTTTCCGGGCTATTAGACGCATTCTTAAGCCTCCAACCCCATCAAAAAACGACCGCGCGCCCCACAATCCAGAGCGTCCTATACACGAATCCACTCGAGTGTCTCAGCACAACTTCAGGAAACTACAAAGCCACACCACCCACAGCGCACGCAAACACGCACGGAGCAGACAGCGACCGCGTGGCGAAAAACACCCACAGCCACACTCATCACTCCACGCCGACGAGGAACGGAAGAACGAACCGAAAAAGCGAGTGCAATGTGCCACTTCTATACACAACTGAGTCACTGCGAACACGCCGACAATTCAGCGGTCCCAGACAGCACCCTCCCTACACGCCACAACTGAACAAAGCCCAGAGTCACCGTGAACGTGCAAACAAAGTCCCACTGACCCATCCAACTGTTGTGTTTCGTTTAATGCGCCTTATAGTCCGGTGCAGTTTATATGTGAAAAAAGTTCGAAAATAGACCATTCAGTGACAGTGTGCCTTATAATCCAGAGCGACCAATAGTGCAGAAAATACGGTACGTGCCGATAATAAAATATATGGAGAACAGGCTCTATTCACGTTCTGTCACAAACCGGGAAGACGTTTGGAAAGATGCAATGACGACTTCCAGCGGGCTCTGTTCATGGTAGTATGTCTGACAAAATATAGGAAAAAATTAGAAAATGTCCCAGTTTTCTTCATCTCCATGTCATTGTAGCGTTCCGTTATGTTCGGCTAATGAACAATTACAACCAAACCTCAGTTTTCATCATTTCCCCACTGACACACAACTCTGAGTGCACTGGGTACATGTGATTAAAAGAGATGAGACGTCAAATTCAAGATGATTCCAAACAGCACATACGTATAAAGTCTTCATTTTACCGCTGATCACATTCACTTCAATGGGTTTTATCACAGTCGGTCGGCGAGTCCAGTGTCGGGAACTACACAGGAAGTTGTCATCGCATGTTTCCAAGCGTGTTCCTGGTCTGTGACACAAGCGTGAATAGAGCCTATTGGATATTGGACTAGCTGATACCCTTTTGAGCTATTAACTGGTATAATAAATAGGGGTGTAAAGATATCCAAGTCTCATGATACGATATCGTCACGGTATGAACCTCACAGAACGATATTTATTGCGGTATGGTGGAGACGCTCACGATTAGGGATGTAACAATATCCAAATCTCTCTGTATGATATTTTCACGTTATACATCTCACAGATATTTATTGTGATATTTTGTGGAGGCTAATATGCTACTTTTTCCATTTAAAATACCTTGACAAGATGTAAAAGTACTTAGAACTGTTATTTCTTCTTGCAGACTGCACTGAAATGGAGCAAAGGATCATGGTCTATGTAGTTCCCTTTGTTTTGTTTTTTTAGCTATTGCTGCACCATAACTCTTAATTTAAGCAACGAGACTTGTAATTCGATATATTGTGATGGCCCACGATATTATTTTGAGAACTTTGACGATACGATATCACGATATTTCGATTGTTACATCCCTGTTAATAAGTAATAAGATGACTTACTGGACAATGTTGGCCCAAAACATCTCGAAATATTAAACTTGTATTTCAACGCTATAATGTAGTTGCTTTAAAAGTCACCTGTGGCTCATTTTATATCATACGCTGTTTGTGGAATAAGTAAATAAATTATATTTTCAGTCTCTGCTATAGTATCAGTCAATTGCGGGTATCAGCGCATACTTAAAGCCACTGAAGTATTGATATCGGAACTGAAAAAAATTGATTGTGCATCCCTATCTTCAATCTGAATATACTAAATAAAGCTGGTTTTATTAAGTCCAAAATTTGCTTTGATTTTGTCCTGATTTTAAATTAAGTTTCACTAGTAAATTAAAGCAGGTCATTTTTAGTTTTATTATAACTGCAATTATTGAGTCAAAAAACATCGCAATAATGTAAATATTGCAATTTTAACAGCCATACCGCGTGTCAAAACAATTTTCCAATGTGGTCCATTCTTGATAATTAATCATGATCGTCAAATGAGCAAAGTTGGGGGCACGAGGATGCTCTTTGCAATATGTTGTGAGCCACACGTGCCTGTAGCAAAGAGTTAAACCCCAAATGTCCGCAGCTCATTTAAATCCCCAAACTTTATCTTAAACGACGTGCAGAGCCTGAGTGCATACCTGTCTTGTTTACGGACACCAAAAAACCTACGCGTTAGCACGGTTCTTGGTCCAAGTTACTGAACTGCCATGAGCCTGTTTTGCAGCTAACTAACTTACCGTCAACATTTGTGCTTAAAATTCAGCCTTCCCGTGGTCGGATTCACTCGAGCGCATGCGGTTGCACGAATTAAACCCGCATTGAAGTGTCTAGGAAAGCATGGCACGCAATAATAGCCCGGAGTGATTTGTTTTTCCTCTCATGTAAAGCGACTAGTTGGCCGAGATGCTAGTTCGGCTAATTTTTCCTCCACTAAACGGCATCGTGCACAAGAAGGAATCGCGGTTAAATGCAGCTTTATTTATGTTTTTTACTCAATTAAGACAAATGCTACAGAGCTTATGTGTGCTCGTAGACGTTCATAAGTACATAGAGTGTATTTGGGATTATTTATAGGTAATATAGCGCTTCACCGGGCTATATTCAGAACCAAATAGCATGGTTAGCTCCCGGACCTATTTTAACCAATGGTAACCAGTTAGCATCCGTGGCTAACCTGAGTCTAATATTAGCACGCCGAGCTAGCCCGATTGTTCCAACTTTGCCGACGCGTTCGTGCGCTGCGTAAAACCACATCAACCCAGTCAACAAACTTGGGTTCGATCTCCGCTATCCCGCAAGCGACAAAACTAATGGATCACTCGCGAAGGAGCGTTCGTAGCTTGTAGAATAAAACATACCTCACTTCCGTAAATTTGCAGCACGCTCGGCCGCAGCCATGTTTTTCGCTCCAGTCAAGTTGGGGTTGGGTTGTGGAGCCGAAGCGAAGCCCGAAGCCTCTCCAACCCGCAGCGAGGAGGCGAGCAGCAGCGCCCAAGTGGAGAGCTACGAAGCCAGGCTCTCTGCACAAGCAGCTCACCCCGTGCATCCCCCCCGTGTTTATTTATTTTTTTTTTTTTTGGGGGCCAAATTAAAAACGTGTGCATTTCATACGCTTCTTGTCATACTTTGGAAGAGTCGCGTAAGATGTGGCTGCCGTTTTGCGCCACTGGCCTCTCTCTGAAGTGTCTTGCCCAAGGACGCAACAACAACGTGGATATTCTTCAATTGTTGCATCTTTAAAGTGCCCATATTACACTGTTATAATTAGGAATGTGCAAAAATATTGAAATATCGATTTATCGTATCGTTTTATGTGATGATACAGTATTGATATCGTGGGCTGTTGTATCGATATATCGCCAAGAGTGTTTTTTGGTATATTTTACTGAATTATTTTGGTACAGCGCTACAGTTTTGTTGCTTTTTTAGTGGAAGAAAACTCGTTTATGCGACACATTTGCAATATTTTCACTGTTTTGATGATTAAAATGTTTGTGTTTCATATTAACTTTGCACAAAAAGTGGTTTAACAAAGACTTTTAGAATCACAGCCATGATTTAGCTATTATTTATTATTGAACTGTGTCACATTGATTTGAAATATATCGTATCGAATCGAAAATGCAATGTATCGAGGTATGTATCGTATCGGCAACTTCTTAATGATACCCAGCCTTAGTTTTCATGTTGTTTCATCATTAAAAAAATACTTGAGGCTGTGTTTTGTTTCATTTACACATGTTAACACACAAACCCTGCATGTTTAGGCTGTTTCAGTTTTTCTCTCTAACAGAAAACACTCTATTCCACCTTGTGATGTCACGCGGTGATACAGAAATGCTCTGTTTTTAAACTCCAAACACCTTTACTAGAATCATTTTGGATAATTTCAGCCCTGGAATAGCCAATCTCTACTGAAAACTACCAGCAGCAGAAGGTGGAAAAGAGCATTTTAAGTTTGAGAGATGTAGACAGATCAATAATGCTCGACTACTCAAACGTGTGAATGAAACAAAACACAACTCCAGGTAAGTTTTTGATGAAGTAATAACATTTTGACATCTTCACAACAATCTGTTTCAGGGAATAAAGGACCTTTAAATCTTCAAACTTTATCAAATAATGTGCAAAGATCTGGCTTGTTTATGGAAAGCTACAAAACCAGACTGTTGTTTTACTGAAAATTATATTACCAGCATAGATTTAAGCTTTTACAGCACTTTAGAGTAGTCAAGTATGTATTCACTACTTCTACATCTGAAGCCACAGCTGCCATTGGGGCATGCTGACAGAGAAGTGGCTGCTATTTTACGCCAATGGCCTCTCAAACTACCTCACCTCATCTTCATCAATCGCTCACACAAAATCAACCAGTGAAGTGTCTCATTTAACCCACCAAAAGCATTTAAATCTCCAAGCTTTATCAAATTACGTGCAAAGAGCTGGCTTGTTTATGTAAAGTGGCAAAAACAGCAAAGACAAGGAGTTACTTTTTTATACTTTTGTGTAAATATTGAACGAAAATATACAGGATATTGGAGGCAGAGTGATTGAAATGTCTTGTTGTGAATATTCCAAGTTGCAGTAAATGTCTGGCTACCCTAAAATAACGACAGTCACCACAATTTTCAGCATGGATTTATCAAGTTTTAATAGTGCCAGCTTGCAAAATCAGCAAAGATCTTACGTATAGGGACATATGCAATGACTTCTCGTAGCATTACAGTGATTTGTTGTTGGCCGATTCCCTCGGTAGCCAACACTTGAAGCAACATGCCCTTTAATTCTGAAAAAAAATAATGCCTTTAATTGATTAGTTTTCTAAGATTAAAGATAGTGCGATTTCTCTAGTTTAGTTTAATATAGTGGACACTGTTCTAGAGATTGTGAGCAGCTTTCAATGTACATGCGGTTAAACGTGAACATGTGTAATATGATTTCGAGCATGCATTCTTAAACAGCTTGTGGCCTGCCCATGTAGTCTTTTCTCTTTAAATATGCAAATTCTATCGACATAAATGCAAAATTCACTTCTTGTTTGTGATAAATAGTCAAGTGCTGCCAACGTACTTTCGTTAATGGTACATTCTAATGCAGTGGTTCTCAAACTGGGGCCGGTACCAGCGGTCAGTGGGTCTTCAAACCAGTTCAGACCCGTTTTCGAAGAGTTTCAGTCCTGGTTTAGACCTATTTTAGACAATATTATGACTTTTCTAGTAGAGGATAGGCGCATGCTTTTTCATATGTTATTGCTTTGCCGGGAATGTTCCATAGTACGGCATTAAACATATCAGATTTGCAGAAAGACATCCCCGCTCCTATGTTTTTCAAGGGATTTTTGTGCACTAAAAGACTTGTAAATGAGTAAATGTAAGCGAGATAGGTTTAACAGCATGCTTTGGAACATTTCAGGAAACGCAAGAACATATCCATGGAGACAAGCAGGTCGCAGGCCCATCACCAGAAAAGTTACACAGTGTACTTTTAAGTCATGTTTAGTAATTAAAGAGGGGGTATTACACATCTACGGGGTTTTAATTGCTAACACATTATAAACTTAGATCACCATGTTACTTATTATTGTTTTGGAAATCGTATATTCGCAGAAAACAAATTACCGTATTTTCCACACAATAGGGCGCACTCAAAAGCCTCCAGCCCCATCAAAAAATATTAGTACGCGCCCCACAATCCAAAGCAACCTACAACCTATACACGAATCCACTCGGGTGTCCCAGCACAACTTCAGTAAACTACAAAGCCGCACTATCCGCAGAACATGGAAACAGCGACTGCACAGCGAAAAACACCCACAGCCACACTCGTCACTCCACGCCGACGAGGAACGGACGAATGAACTGAAAAAGTGAGTGCAATGTGCCACTTCTAGACACAACTGAACAACTGAGTCACTGCGAACACGCCGACAATCCAGCGATCCCAGACAGCACCCTCCCTACACGCCACAACTGAACAAAGCCCAGAGTCACCGTGAACGCCACAAACTCCCATGGACCCATCCAACTGTTGTGTTTCGTTTAAAGTCCGGTGCGGTTTATTTGTGAAAAAAGTTAGAAAATAGACCATTCTATGACAGTGCGCCTTATAATCCAGAGCGCCTAATAGTGCGGAAAATACGGTATGAACATATTTAATAAGCTTCATTTTCATTTTTGAAGCTCGTTGAGTTCCTCCTCCCTTTGCTCTCCGTCTTCCACTATCACTTTACAACATTTCAATAATTTAAATCAGGTTTGTGAAGTCGTAGTGTATCGTTTTGCATCCTATTTGTGTATTTATGGAGAATTGTCATGTGGGAGCATTGGACCGAATCGTACAGCTAATCGTACAGTAAGGAGGGTTCGAATAGTGCCTGGGAGAGATCGCTAGATTACTCAGACATGCTAAAACCTCTTTAGGCATGTTTTTGATGAGGGAACAAAGTTATAGCATGGCCAATTTCGCGTAATACCCCCTTTTTAACATCATTTTTGAAAGCTCGATATTTTCTGTGGCGGTACGTGAAGTTTGAGAATCACTGGTCTAATACAAACCACACATTTGCATTGAAAACACGCCGTTTTGAAGTCATCTACAGATCAGTGCAAAAACATACAGAATCATTCCTGAGACTAGTTCCCATTAAGTCCCTTCATAACCTTTTAACAGTGTCACAAATATCTCTTTCTCCACCATTCATTACAATAGAAGTGAGTCTTATTTACAGCAAAATCAACAATGTAATAGGTTGCGTTCACATTTTATTTATTTATTATTATTTCTTTAGTTAGTTAAAGTTCATTTGTGCTGATAGAGAAGGAATTAAAGTTTGTGCCGGTTTTGTTTTATGTAGTTAGGTTCAGTAATTACAGCGATATTAATCTTAAGCCAGGTCAAAATTGTAAGAATGTTACAGAAAGCTAGTGTTGTGACGAAACTAAAATTACAAACTCGATTCTAAAGAATAGACTCGATACTCAATACCGATACCGCGTTGATGATCTGTGCAATCCCTCAGTGGTCCATGGGCGTCTGGTTAGTTGGAAAACTGTTTTAGCATCAGATTTTCGATACTTGTGACAGCTCCTAATGTGAACACAACCTATTTCGATCGATCATTTTCAGCAACACGTAAAATTCTGGTCGAGGAAAAAAAAGAAACAAAACAAACAGATATGGCATTCAGAAGGACTCATAGCTGCACATCAACAAAATGCTTGGTTCAAAAACGTGGAAACTACAATGCTACGGTGACTTATTCTCGTTTTTATACACATCTGTACAGCAAGTCATTTTTTCTTCATGTGAGCTGTCAAAAGGCTGCCGTGAAGCGAGGAAACGCGAGGTCCATTTGAAATAAAAAGTGCAAAATAATGAAGGCGTTTAGTTTGATTTTCCTTGCAGAGTTCATGTGTTCTTCGGAATAATTTAAAGCGACCGCGTCTCCACTTCGATCTTCTCTTCCGATTGGCTCGTTTCCGACTCTTGGTGGGTGACGCTCGGGCGAACCGTGACCAAGGGGCCGCCGCCGTAAATCGAGTGGAGGAAGTTCCACGTTTCTTCGGAGATCTGCCCCGAATCAGCTCCTACGGAATCAAAACATAACATTAACGTGAGGTCGGGGATAGATTTATGGTCTGTCCTGGTCTGGTCCTGGTTTGAACCTGATGTTAAATTGGTTTGGTTCAGTTTGGTTCACGTGTAGTCTGGTCCATTCCAGATTTCGTGAAGGTGGGTTGTACTAAGTTACATTTACACAGTTACATTTACTTGAGCAACTATTTTAGAGAAATTGTAGCATATTTTTACTCCTTCTTGAGTAATATTTTTATTGAAGTAACAGAGTATAAATTGTGGTGACTCTTCCCCCTGTGAGTAAAGCTTTTTTTTTTTTTTTACTTAATTTTTCTTAGAATGTTTTAGTTATGTCTATGATAAATTTACATACAGAAATTATTAGTATTGTGAAACATTTGTCAGACCAACCAAAAAAAAAAAGGAAAAATTATTAAAAATGAAATAAAAATAAACTAGGAGGCCATCAAACTAGTGACAACTGCAAAGATGTATAAAAAAATTACATTGAGATTTGTTTTGATTGTAAGATTTCCACTTTTTCCAATGAAGTGACTAAAGCTTTGTGTTGACAATATGAAATGATTTGAACATTTGTGTTTCTTTCTCTGCTCCTTTAGATATAACTTAGTTTGTCTAATTTTTGCATCTATCCGTTGAAAACAACAATTTTATACATTATTTAATGCTTTGTCGTTCAAATTAAATTAATAATCATAATAATAACAATGCATCAGTTTTATATAGCGCTTTTCTGGACACGCAAAGACGCTTTTACAGATCATTATTCATTCATCCGTACCCATACTCCATACCTGGTGGTAGTCAAATTAAAATTATAAATCAGATTTTTGTCCCGACAGTTTAAGTCCCGTCTTGGACACAAAAATTGGAAATAGCATGGCAACTCAAACCCCTTGTATAAGCAGCTCATCAGATCCGCAAAATAAATCCGCTGTGTATCATCTGCGCCTAATTATACAGCCTTTTATTGTCCGAGAATCAGGAAGTGTGCTGTTAACATTACCGTGACGGCAACTCCGCACTAGTCTCTGAGAGTTGTTAAAAGCGCTCATAAACTCATCACAGTGAATAATTTCATAGCTCAAAGTACACCTGTGCAAACCGTTTAAAATGAATTTGTTCCGCTTTTTACATTTTAAGACAGAAAAGTCACGTACAGCGCCTTTAAAGTCGTCATACTGTTATCGTATTACTATAAAATCATGTAGAATGACCATAATATAAGTATGTTTGTACCTTGTTTGAGAGCTAAATGCCCATTCTTATTCACTGTGATCTTTGAGTTGTCGATTGGTCCTGGTGGATCTGAAAAAACAAACAATAAACATAAAATTACTACAAAAAGACATACAGTATATTATCATTACACAACTTAACTTCATATTTTTTCTCCTTTACAGTAAGGGCTATAAAAAGGCACCAGGAATATAACATTAGGACTCTTAATGTGGATGTAAAAAGGCCCTGTATCCAATTCTTCCCATGTATTTTCTGGCTCCATCAAATCTAAATTCACTTTGTACTGAGAAAACCTCATCCTCTCGCCATAACTGCTGCCGTCAGTCTCCTCATTTTCATCTTAAAATGTTCGTATTAACCCGCTCTACATGATCCTCGTGTTTTTATTCCACTTTTTTGATTTATTTTTTAATTTCCTTTGATTAGAGTCGAACGCTATGAGTGACGTCACACTTCTTTATACAGTTTATGATCTTGATATGTTGTATAAGCAGCTCTCGAGTTCAAAATAAGTCCGCTACGAGGTGATAATCAGAAGTGCGCGTTAGAATGCTAGTTGCTGTTCGCTTTCCTGTCACTTAGAAACTCACAGTGATTAGTCAGGATGCTCAGAATGCATCAGGTAAGTAAGGAATAACTGTTTAAAATGAACTAGTTTTGTTTATCACATTTATAAAACGTAAAAAGTAAAATCAGGTGTTAAATATTAGTGCACTTTGCTACGACATTTTATTACAAAACTACCTCGACGTAACCTTTTTTTGTCCTTCGTAGTAAAATAAAATCCTGCCTCGATCCCACCTGCTGCTTGTCAAAGGCAGCTCTAGTTGTACAGATGCGATAAAAATAGACCGGACAATACAAAGCAAATGGTGCAGGAGGGAAACACGACTCAGGGGATTTGACTGAAGCTTTGAAGACCAAACCAAAGAGAGGCCTGTTCTGCACTTTGAACAAAACAAGTGTTTTTGCAGCTACAGAATGGCTCTATTCATGCAAAAAAAATAAAAAAATAAAAAAATACACTAAACAGAACAGTATGAATTCTCAGTATTTAAAAGGCCCTGTTTTGTTTCATTCACATCTTTGAGTAAACCTTTATTTTTAGTTTGTCTAAATCTCCAAAGCTCAAAACGCTCTGTTCCACCTTGTTGTTTTCAAGTTAACAGCGACGTTTTACCTTTTCTTTAGTAGAGACCTGGCAATTCCAGGGCTGAAATTATCCCAATAATTCTACTGAAAGTGTATGGAGATAAAAACACAGTGGAGCACTTCCTGTATAACCAGGTTTGAGTAGTTTTGACAAGTTTAGATTCACTTGCAGATCCTGAACGTGTATGAAAACTGACCTTGAACTATAGAAATCTGTCAATGATGTAATATTAATAATAATGAAATAAGCAAAGACTAAGCCGTGCACTGCAAATAGAATAGAACGGACAGATTTCACGCATAAAGGGCAAATATTCAGCGATTTTCTCATCTGTTATAATGTTGTTTCCTCATCACAAACAGACCTTGTCATTAATTAGTTCGTTTTTACCTCTGTCGACTTTTAAAAACTCCATCCAGAGTATTTTACAGGATAATTGCACATGTTTTTAACACTTTATATCGTTAATCTGCAAATGTTTCAAAATGTGTCTTATGTCTCTATTCACTGTTTCATGTTATAGTTTATATGTGAGTGTTTTCTGTTTGTGCTTTTGTTTTATTCTGCCTATTGACCAGGTCGTCATTGTAAATGTAAAGGTGATCTCAACTGACTTACCTGGTAAAATATTGAATAAAAAAAAAAAAGTATTGATTCAGCCCTTATTAATGTCTAATTTCCCCATAAGCTTATTCTGCTTTTAGTTAGACATTTATAAACACTTTTCTATTAATACACTCCTTATTACTGTTTATTAATATGATACTAGGTCATTTTTGTCCATGAATTACGATTTTAATAAGCTTTTGGCGCAAATAGGTAAAAACTACATTTCTTGTGGTACTAGTCCTTAACTAGCCTGATTCATCAGCCGATTTCAGTTCGTAGAAACCGTCTGACCTCGCAGCATTAGGATTCGTTCGCTCGACGGTAGGCAGGTACTTTTTACTTTTAACCAATCGCTGCTATTTGGTCATGACGTACGTAATGCGCCGCTAACGGGGCCAATTCCCGTAGGAAGAAGGGCAATAACGTCTTTCCCCATGATAAAATTCACCAAACATTCTCTTTATTCCAGCTTTAAATCCTTGATCTCGGGAATCGTTGCCAACACAGAATATATGACTCTTCGCCGATTGCGTGATGCCCGAACTCGCACTTCTGGGCTTTTTGCGAACCGTCTATTGTGTTCTGATTCCTGACCTAGTCACTGGAGAGAAATGAAATTGAGCGGAGGCACTAGGTGGTCCTTAACAACACTACCTTATTAAAATCATAATTAATATACAAAAATTACCTAGTATCATGTTAGTATGCAGTAATAAGGAGTGTATTAATAGAAAAGTGTTTGTAAATGTCTAATAGCAGGGAATAAGACATTAATAAGGACTGAATAAATAGTAAATAATGACAACTATGTTAATTAGCAGGTAGTTAGATGTTAGTAAGTGTACCCTATAATTAAGTGTTACCGATACAGGAAGTACTTTTAAACTCCATACACCTTCACTAGAATCATCTGTACTGAACAAAAGGTAAAAGGAGCTGTTAACTCGAAAACTACCGCTTCATGACATCACGAGGTGGAGCAGAGGATTTTAAGCTTCGGCGATGTAGACAGATTAATAATAAAGGATTACTCAAACATGTGAATGAAGCAAAACACAAGTCCGGGTTTGTATTTGAGGCTTACTTGTGGCTTAACGCCCACGAGAGTCAATTATTATAATGAAGCGCAGTGACGGGTGTAATCTTTACTTTTTTTTTAACAGCGTCTCATAAAACCACTTTTACTACGCAAACCACAAACCCTGTACTTAAGAAATTAACATGAAATCAATACCATAGCCTTTGCATTCTAACCGCTGTAACCCTGTGATTGACGCGTATGAAGTGGCGAGGGGGCGGGACACAGGCGTGACATCTGTCCAATCAATTACCATTGTCTTTCCCTTTGACAAAGCCCTCCCATTCCCGAAACCAGTGCATGCTGATACAGTATATGACCACCGGGGACTCCTCCTCCTGGAACGCCTTGTTGAGCTGCACAAAGAGAAAAGAAAAGACAGGGGGGAGAGAGGGAAGGGGGTGGGTTGGAGGAGGAGTTGAGGCAAGTGGGTCGGGGGATGGGTGGGAGCAGAGGGAGACGGGTAAAATATTATTAAGTGAGGATAAAAGGATGGAGCGCAGAGCAGATGAAACGCCTAATCAATTCTCCACAGTGGTTGTTTTAATTAGAGGACAGGAGAGCACCGTGTTTCAGAATAAGCACATGTAACACACGCCAAGACTTCTGGGTACATTTGAATGGTCTGTAAAAATCAGATAACTAGAATAATCAGATAATCCAATAATTAGATCTGATTTGTGCTGTTTACATCCATACAAATGTGATCATCAAACATACCTGCGGACGTGTTTACAGGATTTTTCAACATGTTTACTCCGCAAATAAAATCATGATCAGATTTTTGGTGTGCAAGTAAACACAGTCATTAATTCACGTAATGGAAAATATTGTAAAACTTTAACCTGGCCCACAGCAGACTGATGTGTGTGTCACTCTGAATTTAATTCTACACATTATAAATCTGGCGAAATGCGACTGGAAAAAGGAGAAACATCATAAGGACTATTTGAATCTGATTGGTCGAAGCGTCACAACAGCAAAACTTTACTTAGGTCAAGTTGAGAGAAAAGCGCAGACATCTTCTCTGTCCTCAAATGCACAAATCGCTTCCCTCTCTACGTTTTTCACAAACAACACAGTCTGTATTTCTGCTCAAATAGGCTTGAGTTGGTCTGTCAGCTTTGCCATGTTTGTTTTGGTTCATTGGGTGATTCATCTTTGGCTCCACACAGATCTCAGTGCTGCGACATGATTGGGCCATCTGAACCTTACAGTGAAATATCTGAAGATGGATTCTCGTGAGTTTGTGACAAAGAATCACAAGAATCCATCCATCTTGGTTAAGATTAAGAACAGAGGCGGAGTTAGGAATTTGGGGGCCCTAGGCGAACTTGAGTGTGGGGCCCTCATTGTAATGCTCTGTTTTTTTGTTTTGTTTGTTTGTATTATATTTATTGTCAGTTTACCCCCATTCTTCTTGAGACAAGCACGTCTCTATTTGAATTAGGGTAGATTGGAAACTTGTTTTATTAGTTAGGCAGTTTACTAGATAACCAAGGGGGGATAGTTTGACAGTTAAAACAGATTTGACAATCAGATACTATTTTGGTGGTGTTTTCTTGTTTGAAGTAAACTACTCTTATTTTATGTCATATACTGAGAGAAAATCTAATTGTTCTGAGGCCTCTCCTTTAGTGGTACTGAGGGCAATTGGTTGGGGGCCTCTCTGGGTTTGGGGGCCCCAAGCAGCCGCCTACTGTTGCCTAATGGTAACGCTGCCTCTGGTTAAGAAACTTAGCAGTGTCTATGGTTACTAGTAGGGCTGTGCAAAAATATCAAATATCAATGTATATCGTATTGTTTAATGTGATGTTACAATATCAATATTGGGGACTGCTGTATCGATGTATCACCGAGAGTATTTTTTGGTACATTTTACTACATTATTTTGTTACAGCGCTACAGTTTTTTTGCTTGTTTAAAGGAAGGAAACTCATAGGGGTGTGCAAAAATATCAAAATATCAACATATCATATTGTTTAATGTGATGATACAGTATCAATATTGTAAGCTGCTGTATCGATATATTGCCAAGAGTATTTTTTGGTACTTTTTACTAAATTATTTTGTTACAGCGTTACAGTTTTGTTACTTGTTTAGCAGAAGGAAACTCGTTTATGCGACACATTTGACATTTTCACTGTTTTGAGGATTAAAATTGGAGTGTTTCATATTAGGGTTAACTTTGCACAGGTAGTGGTTTAACGAAGACTTTTAGTATCACAGCCATGATTTAGCTTTTATTTTTTATTGAGCCGTATTGAATCAATTTGAAATATATCATATCGAATCGAAAGTGCACTGTATCGAGGTATGTATCACCAACTTCTTAATGATACCCAGCCCTAGTTACAAGCAAACTAATGTTTTTTCTTATTTAAGTGCATGAGACACCAATAGCTTGGCTGCCCTCTTCACCCATACAGCTTTTACTTGATTATATTTTTAGTTTTCATTTTTCTCTTTTAATCGGGTGTTTCAAGGAGAACCCGCAAAACCTTCATTTTCTTCGCCTTTTAAAGCCAGACTGCAAAACACACATTTTTTCCATATGAGCTTCAGTTATGAGCTGCACACGTCCTAATGCATAAATAATAAGGCTTTTGTAGATCTGGTGAAATAGAATGAGAATAATGTCGCCTGATATACGCTGGACCAAGGACAATATGAAAACGTTCAATTATTCCATTAAAACCACATCGTATCTACCTATCGATGTATGGATTTAACTTTCTATTACCATGGGATTGTGCGGGCGATGTGCCACCTCCAGAAAGTTACATACTGTACCTTTAAAAACCTGTGAGCAACAAATGTAATAGGGCAGACTGAAAGTTAATCGATTAATCATAACTCATCGAATGTTGAAATAATTATCAATTGTCAATTCAGTGATAAAATAATCCTAAAATCTATGCTTTCAAAAGGGAAAACAATTGGAACCAAGCGCTCAACAGAAATGGTTTTGGTACATGTTCAAGCCTTACCCGTACAAACATATCCAGCTCATTTTTCCGGCGTTTTTCCAATTTTTCGATCTCGATTTGGCAAGTGTGGCAGACGTACAGGTGGTTGACAGCAGGGCCCCCTCCGTATCTGATGGGGAGAGATTAAAACGACAAAGAATGAGATGTAATTCTGAGGCACTCGAACGCGGATGGGAAAATAGGACATGTTGGCGTTACCTGCTGTAGAGGTGGTCCCAGACGTTCTGCGGAAGCATCACAACCAGGTCGTCGATGTAACCGGCTTTGTTTGGTGGTACGCCTGAGGAAAAAAAATGAAAAAAGAATATACACTGAATTAAATATTGATACTTAAGCAGAGACATCACGCTGCGGGAGTGTGTGTGTGCATGAATGTCTACGATGGAATGATCAGCGGTTACCATGGTGACACTTACCGAATATACAGATAAGCAAATATAGCCCGATAGGTTTTCGCGGTTTTAAGTTTTAGGGTTTAATTTTCAACAAAAAGAGTGTGACTGTAATGTTATTTGAGAGACACTTGTTTAAAAGAACAAATCAGATCACGTGTTGTAGTTCCAACTAGATCGATTATTTATGATCAGATTGTGTCAGGTTAAAGTCTAACTTGATTAACAGAGCTTCAGACAGAGCAGTGCCTCTCGTTAGCTTCAGCCCCCAGGAAATGGTGATGGCAGCAGAAGCAACAGTACAAATTAAAACTACACTAAACTACAAGTATTGAACAAAAATCCAATTTGTTTGTTTGATCATTCCTATCAGGGGTCATCAAATTAAGGCCCGCGGGCTGACTACGGCCCTCCACGCCCCTTTGACCGGCCCCCCACCACTTGAACTGGCCCTATGAGGCAAATCCTCAAAAGCTCTCATGGCCTATTTATTTAATTACTTTTTGGTCAATAATAACACCTCTGCATCTTATAAACTTTTCGTATTTACATTTGCAGCCGAATTTTCCTCAACCTGACAAGCTCGAGATCAAACAGTGACAGTAAACGCATGAGCAGAGTTCTGTAGTGCAGTTAAGGACAGAAAAATGGCGAGTGTTAAAGTACAAAAAGTTGACAGAGTTTTCAGAGAACAGTGGACGGCCAATTATTTTTTTGTTTGGTCTAAGGTCCGTGTAGTTTGTCTTAAATGTAAAGAAAGTGTGGCGGTTTTCAAAGAATATAATCTGCGTCATCACAGTCACAGTCACAGGGTCACAGTCAGGAGCGATAATGTGGCCCCCAGAGAAAAAAATGTGGTGATACCTGATTTATAACACTGAATTTACTTGTGATAGAGAAATTGTTTTTCTGTGCTGTGCCAGCCCCACACTGCCAGCTAAGTCCTTATTATCTTAGCCTATGTCAACAGAGGTAAAAATGTGGCCATACCGGCTTGTCAAAGCCTGATCCCAGCAGATCTCAAAAGATAAGCAAGGCCAGGCTGGGTTAGTACTTGGATGGGAGACCTTTGGGAAAATCAGGTGTCTCAGTCGCAAAAAAATACTGTTGTTGTGTCATTAAGCGAGGCACTTCAACCACATTGCCTAGTATGAAAGTGGTGTGTGCGTGAATGTTGGTGGTCGGAGGGGACGATGGGGCAGCTGTGGCTACAATAGTATATTATGGAGTGAAAGAATAATGCTCTGTAAAGCGTCTTTGTTTACATATCTCTGTGAAAAGCACTATATAAATAAAAACTTCCTTATAACACTCCCTACAATGGAAGGATAGACAGTATTACACTAAACAGGAATGGACAATACTATGTGTTCCAGGTCTATAGCCCTGGTCTGGTTCTGGTTTAGTCCTGACATAGATAAATCCTAATTTAATCCTAGTTAGGTTTAGTCGATTTAGTCCTGGTCATATAGGTGCTAAGAATATAACTGTGCAAAATCTTCTAAACATATACTGAATTTGTGTTTTTAAAATTTAAATAATGTTATAGTACAACTAGCTCCAAAATAAATATTCCAATACAAATTTTTAATATTACAGTAATTTTAAATTCTCTGCTCAGAGAGAGGCAGTTGCTTTAATGTGATGGAAAATAAAACACAGCATGGCACATTTGTAATACAATTTCACTTACTTTCTATTCAAATTCACTGAATAAATAACCATACTGTAGCTCAAAAAAAAAAATCTAGCCAGGAACAGGGAAACATGAATCCATTTGCATACATCTTATGACCTAGAAATAGTATTAGCATTTAAAAACAAGAAGACCTGAATATTTAGCTCAACAGAAAAGTGAAAGTGAGCTGGCTTCCTGCTGTGCAACGCAAACCTGAATCCAACACATTTGTCTAAATATAAATGACCAAAGGAGGCATGTACCTATCGAGCCAGTCATTAAGTGCCATAGGGGCAACAGAGGAGGAAGTCAGATTATTATTAGATAGTCTGGGTACATTTGCAGTCAATTATGTCTGGACAAAGTATCAAATTTTAGTTGAGAATGAGTCATTTCCAATTGTTCCAACTGCTTTCTAAAAGGGCTCTACGGGAAGTCTTATGAAAGCATCTTCTCCAAACCAAACCAGAGCTCAGACTTTGGAAGAAGAAATACAATTTTTAATAAAAATTGTGTGTCTATAAATTCATATTGAAATGTAAACGTGATATGAAATTATACTTAAAGTCACAGTATGTAACTTTTTTATTTTTATTGCACTGAAAAACAAAGAAAAACATGTGTCCCTGGTACTAAGCGTGGGCTTGCATTTCCACAAACCTGACTCTTACTTGGCCTACAGGAGGGCTTCCTTCTGCTTGGTTGCATGGAAATGCTCCATTGACTATGATCTTCCAAATTATGGCATGAAATAAGTATCTCCATGCAGAATGGTCCAAAGTATTGTTTAACTTTCTCCATAGATATACATTCTTACTAGTCTGATTCATCAGTCGGTTTCACTTCATGGAAACTGTCTCACCATTAGGATTTGTTCGCTCGATGGTAGGCGGATAATTTTTTTTTTAAATTTAACCAATCGCTGCTATTTGGTCGTGACTTATGTATGTATGCGCCACTAACGGGGCTAACTGGTATATTAAGCCTTTCCCAAATCCCGTAGGAAGAAGGGAATAACATCTTTCCCCTTGATAAAATTCACCAAACATTCTCTTTGTTCCAGCTTTAAATCCTCGATCTCGGGAATCGTTGCCAACACAGATTGTATGGCTTTGCCTACATCCATCTCGACCGCTTTGTTTACTGTTGTGCTGTACCACAAAAGGGACCCAGACAGGCGCTTGAGTTTGACATTGTGGTTTCACAGCTCTTCGCTGATTGGCCGGTGCGAGATCTACAACTTCTGGGGTTCTTGCAATTCTGATTCCTGACCTTGTCGCTGGAGAGAAATGAAACTAAGTGGAGGCACTAGATGATGCCAGCCTGGCTACACTCTTACATACTCTTTAATAAAACAGATTAAAAGCTAAGGTTATTTTTCCCCTTTTATTTGAGCAGAAAGAGTCTTGCCCGCGTTGTATAAGCAGCTCGAAGTCTAATAAGCAATAATTTTATTGTCAGAGAACCAGGAAGTTCGCATTAGCATGTAAAGTGCTGTCATCTTTATAGTCACGACAAAACTCCACACTGGTTTCCGAGAGAAGTGAAAAATATTTATAAACTCACTGCATTCAATAATTAGGATCTGAGGAAAGCATAAGTTAAGTGAGGAAAAACTTTGAATCACTGCAAACCATTTAAAATGAACTCGTCCTGTTTTTCATGTTTTTAAGAAGGCAAAAATCAAGTGCAGCACTTCATATTAAAAAACTAATTCCGTGAATCACAATTAAGTGCACACTTGTGTTGAGCAGAGGACACAGAGTGCTTTGTACAGCCTGGTGTGTATCTGCTGGCAGTGAGAATAAGAGGTGGGAGGGTTGGACTTTGAAGCAGAAGCACATTGTAACGCCTCTGTAGCTCAAAATAGTAAAAGACTAACTACTGTACAATCTGTGACAAAACTGTAAATTACGTGAAAATAAACACGCTTGGTTTGGCAAAGATTCGATATTGCATAAACACTAGTCTTGGAAAATTATGAGGAATTCTTTTTGCCAAGATTACAAAAACTGATCAGATAAGATGATTGTAAGGACATAAAGTTTGCAGGTTATAGGTTTGCATTTTTTGTGCATTTGTATGGCTATTTGTAAACAATTCAATCCCAATATTTGCTTTTTTTCTTCTCTTTCTTTCTTCTCTCTTTTTGCTTGCGTCTTGGTTCAGATGTACTTTCACGTAAATTGTAACATTTAAGTAGCACTATTATTCTACCTTCAAGGCACTCAAAGCACTTCACATTAAACACGTGCACAGACGCTGGGGGAGGGGAGGCTTAAGTGTCTTGCCCAAGGACACAACAAAAGTATGCTGTATAAATGCTGAAGCTGGGATGTTGAAGCTGCAATGTTTACTGCTCTACCTCTTACATCGGGAGTGTCATTGTAGTTCTGTTAATTAATAATTACCATAACCTAAAGAGTGCTGAATAATTAATCTTCGACTACTTCAGACTGCAGCCTGAAGTGACTCAAATCAGATTTTTTTTGCCCCTATGCGACCTGTGTCTAATCTTTTAATGACAGTCTGAATGACATAGACCCGATTTTTACCTCCGCCAAGGAGGTTATGTTTTTGCCGGTGTTTGTTTGTTTGTTTGTTTGTCTGTTAGCAACATAACTCAAAAAGTTATGGACCGATTTTGATGAAATTTTCAGGATTTGTTGGAAATGTGAAAAGGAAGAACTGAATTCATTTTGGGGGTGATCTGGAAGAAATCCTGGATTCTGGATCACTTTGAAATTTTAGTTAACACTGTGGTAAATGGGGCCAAAAATTTTGTTTCTCAATATCTCGGTTAATTATTGACCAAACCCCATGAAATTTGACTCAGGGATGGACAATGGGATCCTCTTTCATATTCCAAAGACTGATCCAGATCTGATCCAGAAGACTGATTTTATCGCAATTTATATAAAAAATGGGGGTAGTCCTTGGCGGAGGTCTGCGCTCTCTGAGTGCTTTTCTAGTTTCAAATGCGACCCAGGCCACTTGGATATGTGCTCCTAAAACCGATACATATCCGATCTTTTGACATGCGACTTCAGTCTGAACGACCAGGTCACATTCATCCCACCTACACGTCAGGTTCAAAGTCTCGTCAATGGAGGGAAAACGAGGTTAGTGAGTTTATTAATATTTGGGGGGAATCGCTGTATTCAGGCCAAATTGGACGGGTATTATCGGAAACGGGTGGTTTTTGAAATGATTGCTAAAGAAATGTCAGAACGCAGCTACAGGCATCCTGGCTCCAATATGAACAAAACAAAGTCAAATACAAGAAGGCTAAAGACTCAAACAAACGAAGCGGCCATGGACATGTGACCCGTCCATTTTACAAAGAACTGGACCGTTTTTTGGGAGACAAGCCCAGTGTTTAGGCAACTTCCGTAAACACTAAGCAAACTCGCTGCTTGCGACGTCGTCGTGTCCTCCAATGCTCATGCGGGACACTTTTAGGGCGTTTAAAGTTCACACTGGAGATCACATACAAGTCGCATTTAATTGGAAAAGTGAACAACCTTGCAAAACAATCCAAACTGGGCATTAAGCCCTGCAGTCTGAATGCAGTCTATGAGTCATTATAAATACTATTAAATTTGTGTACTGAATTACATTGCGTTTTATTGTGTCTTTTATTTGATAGAGCTCTTGTCTCCATGGAGATGTTATTGCTTTGCTTTGTATGTATTAAAGAGCCCATATTATGCTGTTTATTTATGCTGATCTATGTTATAATGTTGTTTCCTCATCACAAACATACCTGAAGTTGTATTTTGCTTCATTCATACACATTAACTTGAAAAGTATTGGTGGAGCAGAGCATTTTGAGCTTTGGAGATGTAGACAGACTAATAATAAAAGGATTACTGTACTCAAACATGTGTGAATGAAACAAAACGCAACTCCAGGTATGTTTTTCAGGAGGTAAAAAACTGTCCAACACGACTAAAACCTCACAGGAGTCAATTTTGTGTAAAATAGGACCTTAAAAACCAGAATACACTAGAAGCATGCATGTTTATTAAGGTTACAAACGTCTATAATTGAATAAAAGTGAGATAAATCACATTGTGGAACCTTCCAGACAAAGCCTTATTTAGAAAAGGGTTTACCAAAAGGGAGAAAAGCATAGATTCAATAACTTCAGACTTGACCTCGATTATTTTCAATTTCAAGAAAGCTTCCCTCGGCAATCCTTTTCTCCGCAACAATCCCGCGCTCAAACTGAAAATCCGCTCCTGTTTGAAGTCTTCTGGATGTGAAAGGAGAATTCTGCTGCTTTGTGAATGTCAGAAAACCTGGCACTGATCCAAGAGGGCCACAAAAGCAGTATTTACAAAGCCCTTGCTACGCTTTCTGCACTCAGATTTGATATTTGGGTCGAACAAAAAAAAATTGAATGAGCAAAATATTTTTCTAAATTGTTTTATTATATCTCAATAACCAAAACACTAAGCTCTTCTGAGTGATAGGTTAAGGATGGGGGGTTATTCCTTATAGATCTTAAAAAACAAATGTATACCTAAAAATAAAGACCATTTTTGTAGTAATTGTAACTTAATTTAACTTTCATGTGGGGTTTGTGACGTGTTTGTCTCTGTGGAGATCTAGTATTTATTTAAAAAGACTCTTCCAGTGTTTGTAATCAGAATGCCTGTGCTCCATTAGTTGGTACTCTTCCAGAAATTAGTTCCAGCGCAGAAAATATTACGTGTCAGAGTCCCGCACCGGGTCGGGTATAGTTGCTGAAACGGGCGGGATTTAACGTTTGGGAATTTTACGGGCGGGTAGTGATTATACACGGACGGGTCAGGTGAATCAAAAAACGACGAACGGGAGAAAAATACTTGACGTGTCCAGAAGTCCATTGCTCTGGAAACAAGTGCCATTTCCCGGTCTTTTCCCAGAACGATGGCAGATCAGGTTGAGAGTGTGACTTGTGTAGTTGTTACATAATCGGATCAGCGGCTGCGCTCCTGGTTTAGTACTGGTTTAGACCTGGTTAAGTCCCGGCTCAGTCCTGGTTTAGACCTGTCAATCAGCTCAGCGGTTGCAGTGTGTATATATTTATGCTAATGACACTGGTTTAGACCTGGTTCAGTCCTGGTTCAGTCCTGGTTCAGACCTGGTTCAGACCTGGTTTAGACCTGGTTTAGACCTGGTTTAGTCCTGGTTCAGTCCTGGTTCAGTCCTGGTTTAGACCTGGTTTAGACCTGGTTCAGTCCTGGTTTAGACCTGGTTTAGACCTGGTTCAGACCTGGTTCAGACCTGGTTCAGTCCTGGTTCAGTCCTGGTTCAGTCCTGGTTTAGACCTGGTTTAGACCTGGTTTCAGACCTGGTTCAGACCTGGTTCAGACCTGGTTCAGTCCTGGTTCAGTCCTGGTTTAGTCCTGGTTTAGTCCTGGTTTAGTCCTGGCTCAGTCCTGGTTCAGTCCTGGTTCAGTCCAGGCAGTTGGCTCTGCAGTTTGCGGCGTGTATATATTTATAATCCACTAATGACCTGGCGTAGGTTCAGTCCTGGTTTAGTCCTGGACTACTGGGCTGTCAGAGTGATTTATCATGGGCACGAGCGGGTGCGGATTTAACTTTGACATAATCACGGGTTATCGGGCGGGTGTGGTGCTGTACTGCACGGGTGCGGGTCTCCAAAAACGGACCCGTGCAGGACTCTGCCTTGTAATACACATTTCTTAAATGTCCTATATTATGGAAAATTGCCTCTTGTGAACTTTAAGATACAGTTTTATCCTCTGCCTTCTCCTTTTGAGCACCTCAGCTATGCACTTGACAACAGCACTGACAATGCATTTACTGAAATGTAAAGAAAATGTTGCTCAAATAAATAAATAAATGTTAATCTAGAGTAATCAATACTTTTTGGAAGTGAAACCCCCTTTTGATGGGAAAAAAGCACACATTAGAAAGATAAATAATAAATCATAATAATAAGAGCTGAAATAGATGGGCTTTGTGGACGTTTAAAACTGAGAAAATGAAAATGTAGAAAAAATGTAATGTATAACTGCAAATGATACTTGATTAAAGTTTTTATAAAAAAATTTGATCACAAAAAGAATCAGTAAGTGCATCATTTGCATGCCTCCCTGATCTGGCTGCACGTACCTCCGTGTATGCAGAGGAAGTCGTCGTTGGAGATCGGTCCAGGCTCGGCGAAGGTCTTGAACTTGTTGAGCCACTGTCTGGAGACGTAGAACTGCAGCAGACTGGGCTCCATCATGTTCAGGAGTCCAGACACCCTCCTCCGCTCCTTCACCGCGTCATCGTTACTTTTCCTGAGACAAAACCACAGCAATAATGAGGACACAGAGGTCAAAGGTCAACACTGAGGACAAACAACACGGTGATAAAATTAGGTTTCAGTCTGGTAACATTTTATCATAACTACATGTTTAATTGCCCTAATAAAACATGAACAAATATATATCGAGTTTATAATGAACACTTATTAAGAATTATAATATTAGTACCAGATCCTTTAATTATACAGTTCCTAAGCCTTAATTATATGTTTATTATGAATTAAGCCTTTCATATGTTATTAAAGTACCTATTGTTAGAATGTTATTACCGACTCGATAAACAGACCTGGAGTTGTGCTTTGTTTACTCACAACACATGTTTGAGTAACACTTCATTATTAGTCTGTCTACATCTCCAAAGCTCAAAATGCTCTGTTCCACCTTGTGATGTCATGAAGCTGTAGTTCTTAAGTAAACCTTTAGTCTTTAACCTTTAGTTCAGTAGAGAGCTGAAATTATCCAAAGATTCTAGTGAAGGTGTGTGGAGGTTAAAAACACAGTGGTGCACTTCCTGTCAGAGTCCTGCACCGGTCCATTTTTGGAGACCTGCACCAACACAATACAGCACCACACTCGCCAAAGTTAAATCTGCGCCCATGTGGACCCGTTAACATTCCACCTGTTACCCGCTCGTGCCCGTGATAAATCAGGGTCAGCCCATTAGTCCAACAGCCCAGTAGTCCAGGACTAAACCAGGACTAAACCAGGACTGAACCAGGACTAAACCAGGACTAAACCAGGACTAAACCAGGACTAAACCGGGACTAAACCAGGACTAAACCGGGACTAAACCGGGACTAAACCAGGATAGAACCTACGCCGTGTCATTAGTGGATTATAAATATACACACGATGCAAACAGCAGAGCCAATCAGCGGGACTACACCGGGACTACACCGGGACTGAACCGGGACTGAACCGGGACTGAACCGGGACTGAACCAGGTCTAAACCAGGACTGAACCAGGACTGAACCAGGACTAAACCAGGACTGAACCAAGACTAAACCAGGACTAAACCGGGACTAAACCGGGACTAAACCAGGACTAAACCAGGACTAAACCAGGACTAAACCAGGACTAAACCAGGATGGAACCTACGCCGTGTCATTAGTGGATTATAATATACACACGATGCAAACAGCAGAGCCAATCAGCGGGACTACACCGGGACTACGGGACTGAACTGAAGGAACCATGGACTGAACCAGGACTAAACCAGGACTGGACTAAACCAGACTAAACCGGGACTAAACCGGACTAAACCAGGACTAAACCAGGACTAAACAGGACTAAACCAGGACTAAACCAGTGGAATATACACACGATGCAAACAGCAGAGCCAATCAGCGGGACTACACCGGGACTACACCGGGACTGAACCGGGACTGAACCGGGACTGAACCGGGACTGAACCGGGACTGAACCGGGACTGAACCAGGTCTAAACCAGGACTGAACCAGGACTAAACCAGGACTGAACCAAGACTAAACCAGGACTAAACCGGGACTAAACCGGGACTAAACCGGGACTAAACCAGGACTAAACCAGGACTAAACCAGGATGGAACCTACGCCGTGTCATTAGTGGATTATAAATATACACACGATGCAAACAGCAGAGCCAATCAGCGGGACTACACCGGGACTACACCGGGACTGAACCGGGACTGAACCGGGACTGAACCGGGACTGAACCGGGACTGAACCGGGACTGAACCGGGACTAAACCAGGTCTAAACCAGGTCTAAACCAGGACAGAACCGACGCCATGTCATTTGTCATTAGTGGATTATAAATATATACACGACGCAAACAGCAGAGCCGATCAGCGGGACTACACCAGGACTACACCAGGACTACACCAGGACTACACCAGGACTACACCAGGACTACACCAGGACTACACCAGGACTACACCAGAGCTGAACCAGGACTAAACCAGGACTACACCAGGACTGAACCAGGTCTAAACCAGGTCTAAACCCGGAGTGCAGCCACCGAACCAATCACTGATCATGGGTTTTATGTAATAAATACACTAAAGTCACTCTCAGCCTGGTCTGCCATCGTTCCAAGAAAAGATCGATAATTGGCACTTGTTTCCAGGACAACGGACATCCTGGACGCACCTTAAGTATTTTTCTCCCGTTCGTCGCTCATTTGATTCACCTGACTTGCCTGTGTGTGTAATCACTACCCGCTCATAAAATGCCAGAACGTTATATAACCTGCCCATTTCAGCAAATATTTACAGATACCCGTTGCACCCATTGCAGGACTCCACTCCCTGTATTACCACATGACATCACAAGGTAGAACAGAGTGTTTTCTGTTTGAGAGAAGAACTTGGCCTAAATATGCAGGATTTGTGTGTTAAACATGTGTGAATGAAACAAAACACAACTCCAGGTCTGTCTGAGATGAGAAAACAACGTTATAACATAGATCAGAAAACAGCATAACGTGAGCCTTTTAATGAGTTGACAAGAATCATTTTAGACATTAAAAGATGCTGAAAACAAACAATCTTCACTTTTAACTGTGCAAGATATTTGAGAGGTGAAGCAAATCACACAGTCAACTTGTCAAGTCGGTACATGGCTTCGTAATGTACAGTTGCATTCACTTCCCATCAGATTGTTAGGGTAAGGAAGGAAGTAACTACTTTTCTCCAGCGATGAGAAATATTTTTAGCATTTGCTGTGTCACCAAATCCATTTCCCAGCTACTCCAAGCCAGCATTAACATTTGCAGTACCAAGAGGCAACATCTTTAATAATTTAACAGTTACAATACATTTTCAAACACTTATGCAAAGTTAATAATTATCTAGAACCATAAACAGAATCATTATTTCAAGACAAAAGAGGAGTGTCGTATAACTTTTTATAGAGCTGTTTCAAGGTTTGACAAAGGAACAGTCAGAGGTGAAAAGTAAACAATTACAAATACGTTACTGTAATTGAGCAGCTTTTCTGGATAATTGTACTTTTTTGAGCACAATTAAATTCTAAATTCAGCTTTGGATGATTAAATTTATAGAAAATACTGATCTAAAATGCTGCTAAAAGCTCAAAAGCTGCTTAAAAGTAAGTAGTACTCAGAGTAGAATTTTTCATTTTTACTCTTTATTCTTAAATGTAACTTAACTTAAATCTAGTTTCTAGCTTCAACAAATGCTTTTTCAGACAGAATATAGTGAATCCAATGGCTCTTCCTTCAACTATTTAGAAAACTATTTAGAATTTTGTGTTTTGCAAAGATATATGGAAGATTTGAGTGACTAGAATACAAGGAAACAGACAGAGATGTTCTTATAGTGGATATAAACTAAACAAACAGGTGGGGATCAGTGTAAACACTTACTTGTAAAAGAGCACATAGGCCTCTGCATTCTGCACGCAGGACTCGGACACTTCGGTAACACTTTGGTCGTCAAATTCGTACCACAAGTTGTTGGTGTCGTTCCGGCAGTAGGCGATGTAATGTCCACCTACGACAGCACACACAATCACACCATCAGACTCCAGAGTCAATGATTCTGACGCCAACAGGAACAAACGACACTCGGCCCACTCACTGCTGCCGGCTACAGGACGAGGAATAGTAGCAGCAGTAGTAGTAGAAGTAGCAGTAGCAGTAGTATTTGTAGTAGAGGTAGTAGTATTTGTAGGAGTAGTTGTAGTGTTTTCCTGTCACTAACAACATAATGAACTAGATTGTAGTGGTAGTAGTAGTTGCAGTAGTAGTTGTAGTAGTAGTTGTAGTAGTACTTCTAGCAGTTGCAGTAGTAGTTGCAGTAATAGTAGTTGTAGTAGCAGCAGTAGTAGTAGTAGTAGTAGTTGCAGTAATAGTAGTTGTAGTAGCAGTAGTAGTAGTAGTAGTAGTAGTAGTAGTAGCAGTAGTAGTGTTTTCTTGTCACTAACAACATAACGAACTAGATTGTAATATTTGTAGTAGTAGTAGTAGTAGTAGTAGTAGTAGTACTTCTAGCAGTTGCAGTAGCAGTTGCAGTAGTAGTTGCAGTAATAGTAGTTGTAGTAGCAGTTGTTGTTGTAGTAGTAGGAGTAGTAGCAGTTGTAGTAGTAGTGTTTTCCTGTCAATAACAACATAACGAACTAGACTGTAGTAGTAGTAGTAGTATTTGTAGTAGTAGTTGTAGTGTTTTCCTGTTACTAAAAACATAACGAACCAGATTATTGTAGTAGCAGTAGCAGTAGCAGTAGTAGTAGTAGCAGTAGTAGTAGTAGCAGTAGCAGTAGCAGTAGTAGTAGTAGTAGTAGCAGTAGCAGTAGTAGCAGTAGCAGTAGCAGTAGTAGTAGTAGTAGTGTTTTCTTGTCACTAACAACATAACGAACTAGATTGTAATATTAGTAGTAGTAGTAGTAGTAGTAGTAGTAGTAGTAGTAGCAGTAGCAGTAGCAGTAGTAGCTGTAGTAGTTGTAGTAGCTGTAATAGTAGTAGCTGTAGTAGATTTTGTAGTAGTTGTAGTAAGTGTAGTGTTTTCCTGTCACTAACAGCATAACGAACTAGATTGTAGTAGTTGTAGTAGTTGTAGTTGTAGTAATAGCTGTAGTGTTTTCCTGTCACTAACAACTATAACAAACTAGACTGTATTAGATATGAAACTCTTTATATTTACATTTTATTTATTTTTTTAAGAAAAGGTCTTCTTCACTATAAGCACCAGTAGTAATCAGCAGTACACGTTCTTGTGAAGAACAGTACCTGGTTGTGAGAGAATAAAAATATAAATATTGTAATAATGATGTGATAAAATATTATGTTTATAAATGTGTATACCATATTTTTTATTGCCAATATGCAAGGTCGATTTACACGTCACCCTTTAAAGATTTATCTTACGTAATTACAGTCCCTAACATTTTAAATGTACAGTGTATTTAAACACACTAATTATACATTTGTAGGACCCCAGGAAGACTAACAACCGCTGGATGAAGGTAATGAGGATCCAAATAAAGAATACTGTCATCATCATAAGAAGAGGAATAGCAATTGTAGTAGTTGAAGTGAAATGTGAGTTTGTATGTTTGTAATATACGTTTGCTATATTTTTTTATATTTGATTCTCTTGATACATTCACCGTATTTATTGCTTTTTCATCCAATAATCCCACTGCTTTTTAGTGAACAGTTTTAAAAGCCTTTCTGGGGACTGGTGTTGTGTGTTGCCTCGGCTACAAACACTGTGATACCTGCATCAGATTAATGAATTGTTAAATATGTAGTAATACAAGTAGTACAAATAGTAATAGTTTGTGGTTTTGGCTGAATAGTACAGTAGTAATAGTAATAGTAGTAGTAGTTGTAGTTGATCCCACTCACTGCTGGCCGTGCCGTGGTGACAGATGACAGACAGCAGGTCGTAGTTTGTGGTTTGGGCTGAACTGTCTTTGGCCAGAAAAGGCTGCAGGTCCAGACCCTCCAGAGGGAACGAGACGTGAGTGCTGATCTTTGTGGAGAACATCAGCTCGTGTCGGAAACGCTTCAAGTGGATGCACAAGATCTGAAGAAGGAGGACAAGACACAAAGTTTAATATATTACAATGTGCAGTAACACCATAGACTGTATAAAGAAATGGACTAAGTGAGTGTGAAATCAGCTATAACTTTTGTCTCAAATTTGGAGCCAGAAAAGGAACTGATTAATGGACAAAATCGCTAAATAAAAACACCAGGAACAATGTGGAGCGAACGTTTTTAAGACCAGTGCAGCAGTTGGAGAAAGAGGGGTGACAATTTTTCAGTGTGAAGGGAATTGGACCAGAGTCAATGAAGTCAGAAGCGCCCCCATGCTCATTTCCTGTTTGGTCATAGCCAACCCGCGAGTCGTTGCGTTCCAAACATATGCGTAACACTTTATAATAACTAAGCTTATTTAGCCTTAATAAAGCACAGAGAAAGACTTAAAGGGACAGTCTGGAATTTTGGACATAGGGCCTCATTTCCTCATAAGCCAGAGTGTTGGAGACGTGTGGAGACACTTTTTCAAATATTCCGTCCAGTCCTCCTCCTTCCAGTATTTGCAGAGATCGTTGATCACAGACTATCAGTGTGAATGTCTGTGTTGATAGAATTATTTTAGAAGTAAAACCAACCTTGCATTTGAAGGATTTATGTCTGAGCAGCAGCAGTGGGTTGTACTTCCTGATAGAAAGCTTGGCAGTGGCGGACTGATATATGAGAAAATAGTCCCTCAACATGCGACGATTCATGCAATGCAAGGTTAGTTTTATTTTTATTTATATTGTCAACACAGACATTTACATCAACAGTCTGGCGTTGTAACCATTTTGCTTCGGGTGTTTTGTGGAGTGGGTAAGACTGTTTTTAGTGGCAGGATAACTATGGCCATTGACATGCACTAGTTGAGCACCAGCGACCTCTGTAAATACAAGGACTGGATGGAATATTTAAAAAAGTGTCTCCACACGTCTCCAACACTCTGGCTCACTAGGAAATAAGGACTTATGTCCAAAACAAACCTGTCCCTTTAATAAACCTTCTTTTTATTATGAATTAAGAATGATTCAGGCTTAGTAACTACTTAAAGTGGGACTAAACACCTAAACTCCGCCCACAACCACATTTCAAACAAAGCTGCTAAACTGGACAGTACCTGGAGGACTAAAGGGGAGAGTGCGGAAGGAGAAGAGGCGAGTCAGGAGGTAAAAGGAACAGCGTGATTGATCTAACAGGTATCCACAATTCAAACTCCACCCCTGCAGCCAGGTGTTTGCAATAAGAAGTCCTGTGTGATGTCACGTAGTACTTGAAATTGCAAAGGCAGCTCAAACTTATGCGTTTTTGTCCAGAAAGCTCCAAACTTACCTGATTTGCACTACATTTGCAAACAAAATGGCAAGAAACGGTAGAGAATGCTTTTAAAACACCATATAGGCAGTTTAGTTGAGAAAAAGGAGGATTTAGTGCTTAGTTCCACTTCAAGATGCGATGCAAGAAGTGATATTACGTAACAGTTTTTCTATTTTCATCACATTTACTTTAATATCTCTAGTACGTGCAAAGAATCTTAAAGCAAGTCGCCCTTCTTAAAATATAGATTATTTTGTTTGCCATACTGATACACCTACTTATGAAGTCTACGTCCGAGCAATGAATTGATTCTGGTTTTATATTTAGTACTAACATCCTTACCTCTGGGAGACTTTGCATCTTGCAGAATTTGACACCGTTTCGTAATCTAAAAGTAAAAGGAAGGCAGTCATTACATTAGCGGTCACCTTCAAACAAAACAAAACCCAAAATAGGGAACTCACTTCTTGCATTTTTCACAGCTGTACATGTTGTCCCCTAGAAACAAAGAATAACTTGCAATTAAGTTTTTAAAAGAAAAGCAAATGAATGTAGGTTTTTTTTATGTCCAAATATTCAGACTGTTCCCTCACCCTTCAGTTCATCTCGAGCGAAGAAAGCAGCGAGACAGTCCTGCAGCGTGACCATGGGGCCCCAGAACCAGCTCTTGATGTACTCCATGACGAAGGCGATCCAGCCCTGAGGAGCATAGGCCTCCCCACACGAGCCCGCCTTCACCAGGGCCGTCTGATGGGACGCGGAGTGCAGCTTGGCCAGGTCCTCTTTACCGGGAATGGGCAATGAGATGTCCTGGAAGTTCTCCAACGTCACAGACACCTGGACAACAGAAGAGCAACACAATAAGCGGTGGAACGAAGGAAGTAGACGAGTGCTTACTGGTGTTACATTCTCAAGCAAAGTACTTCATCCACTTGCAGATGTATGAACGAGGTGGGAGAATTATTTTATGTAATACAATTTTTGGAGGTTAGAGTCACATCCTACCTCTGCTCATCAAAAAAGGACAGAATCAAACTTATTTATAGATACTTTATGACAATTAGGCCTGTAACGGTGACAGATTTTGCTGGACGATTCATTGACTAAGAAATTATTGAGATAATTATTTTCATAGATCCATGGTAGAGAGCGATAGAAGCCTTTTGACATTCAGCCTCTTTGGTCAAGAGTGAAAGTGACAAGGAGAACCAACAAGCATGCAAACAGAAATTATCGCGTCCAGAAAAGTTATCGAGCTCGTTGAAAGTTATAGTGCAATTAACTGATTTATTGATTATCATTACAGGCCTAATGACAATACAACAAGCAAAAAGTACCACTTGTTTTAACTTATCTGGAAAAAAAGGCAAAAATACTAGGGGTGTAAAGATATCAAAGTCTCACGATACGATAATAATTGCGATATCGTGGGAAAGCTCACGATATGGTGAGGGATGTAACGATATCCAAATCTCTCCTGTACGATATTTTCACGATATACATCTCACGGTACGATATTTATTGCGATATTTTGTGGAGGCTAAACAACTAAAACTGTTCAATATGCTACTTTTCTTTTGCCTTTACCTTTCTTTTACCTTTTTAAAATGCCTTGACAAGACATAAGACATAAAAATGCTTAGAACTGTCATTTCTTCTTGTAGTCTGCACTGAAATGGAGCAAAGCATCATGGTCTATGTAGTTCCCTCTGTCTTTTTTAGCTGTTGCTGCACCATAACTCTTAATTTAAGCAAAGAGACTTGTAATTCGATATATTGTGATGGCCCTCGATATTATTGTGAGAACTTTGACGATACTATATATCACGATATTTCGGTTATTTTTACATCCCTAAAAAGATTATGGTGAGTTTGAGTCTACCTGCCCACAGCAAGCATTGAAAGTGGTAGTAGTTTTTCTGTCAGTGACAAACTAAGAAGAGATGAAAACCAAAATCCAATTTCTTCATGAAAAATAACATGTCTGGGTATATTGGCTCTCAGTGTGCTCTAAGAAGTGGAGGCAGTTGTCCGGTATCAGCTGTCGGAGCAGTAGTTTTAGTCGTATTAATAGTATCCTGACTGTAAGTGTAGTAACAGCCGTAGTTGCTTAGTGTAATTGTGTACTTTTGGTTGATGCTACTTAACTACATGCTGAATTTGATGTGATTTTGCTGATAACATTTTCAAGTGTCCGTATTTCTAATTGTTAAGCAGTAAGTATTTGCAGTTTTCATAATGCATTTCAAGGTTTGAGCCCAACACAAAGCAAAGGTTTTGTTTTAGTGACATTTGGTGAATTGCTGGTGGCTGCGTGACCTTTATAACAATGAAAAGAAGGACGGCGTTCACAGAGCAGCCGCGCACACACGCACACACACACACACACACACACACACACACACACCACCCTGGCACAGAAGCAAGCGCAACAATGCCACAAGACACTGAAATGACTCTGCAATGCTTTCCTTCGTTATTATTCTGCTATCATCTCAAAGTGAAATCTAACTCAAATTACTGCTTCAACTTTATGCGAGGCCAAACTATTCAGCTGTCTCCTTTCGGTTTTATCTGAACATAAAACGAAAAAATTACAAGCGAACTAAAAAGGAGAAAGGAGCCAGGGAGATATTTTAAAGCCTTATAAATACTTGAGGTTTTTAACAACGTTCAAACAAAGAGACACTAAAAGAGTTAACCTGCATTCGGCATTCAATGAGGAGGGGAAAAGGACACAATAACCGCAGTAAAGTTGTTTTCTGATCTCTGTTATAATGTTCCCTCATCGAAAAAAACAAAGATGGATTTGTGTTTTATATCATTCGCACATGTTTAACACACAAATCCTACGTTTTCACCTTCCTGTATTGTCTTGTGGTGATACAGGAATTTCTCCACTGTGGTTTTAAACTTCGTACACTTTGGGGTCCCCCTGGAAGAGCTGGAGGAAGTGCGTGTGTGTAAAGGGAAGTGTGGGCCTCTGCGCTCAGACTGCCGCCTCTGTGACCCAGCTACGGAGAAAACGGAAGGAAACGGATGGATTTTTGAATGAGTTTTCAGACAGTCTAAAAACTTGTGTTTGCTTATGTGTGCACTGAGTCAAGCAGAAGTCGAACCAAGTCGTTGTTTTGTAAGTCTCAAGTCTGAAGTCTTTCACCAAGTCCAAGTCAAATCCCAAGTCAAATACAGGCAAGTCCAATTTGAGTCTCGAGTCGCTGGCCCGTGATTAAGGCTGGGTATCATTCAGAAGTTGCCAATATGATACATACCTCGATACAGTGCACATTTGGTTCAAAACGATATATTTCAAATTGATTTGATGCAGTTCAATAAAAAAAATAAAGGCTAAATCATGGCTGTGATACTAAAAGTCTTTGTTAATCCACTTCTTGTGCAAAGTGAATATGAAATACAAACATTTTAATCATAAAAACAGTGAAAATGTCAAATGTGTTGCATAAACAAGTTTCCTTTCTCTGAACAAGCAACAAAACTGTAGCTCTGTAACAAAATAATTTAGTAAATAAACCAAAAAATACTCTTGGCGATATATCGATACAGCAGCCCACGATATCAATACTGTATCATCACATTAAACAATATGACTGATCAATATTTTGAAATTTTTGCACACTCTTACCCATACGTACGGGTATTTATACAAGAGTTGTAGAAATGCTTTTTTTTCTTTTTTAAATGTCTTGACAAGATCTTATTGTGAATCATTACAGTCAGAACAGAAACAATTCAGATTTTTAAAGAGCTTAATAACAGTTATTTTGTCATGTAGTGAGCACTGAAATGGAAGGATCATGTTCTTTGAAGTTCCTGCTGCTTTACTGTATTGTACTTTATATTACTGTAGTACATTTGAGGATACCACATCACAGTACTTCAGTTCTATCCAAAGTAACAAACAGAAAAGTGAGAGGGACATGTTCCAGTTTGTTCCTTCAAAATTAAGCAACACATTTATCAACTTGTAAAGAGAAAAGTATTTTCTAAAAACATATATATTTTTAGGTCACAGGTGTCAAACATGCGGCCCGGGGGCCAGATCCTGGCCCTCCAAGACCTTTAATCTGGCCCTCGGCTGATTTTCTACTAAAATATTTTAATTATATTTTCTATTAAAATCTTGTTAATTTTCTGCGGTGTTTATCACAGCAGCGTCTCCAGCGTCTCTGTACGTGGCCCCTCCCACCAGAGCAGCACAAATGAAGACTTGTCTCTTTCCAAACGCTCTTAAAGGACGATCGTTTTGACTGTTGACCGTGACACCCTCATCAACAAAATGTCCAAAATGAGAAAAGCGGAGCTGAGTGCAGGATTTTCCAAAAAATTTACTTATTCTTATTTGTAAACAAGTTCATGTTAAAATGTTTCTTAAAGTTTCAGATTGTTCATAATATTATAATATTTTGTAAAAGAAAGAGTTCATCAATTTAAAAAGATTTCTGTAATAGATTTGCATTTCTCTGCACCAATACTTAAACTTATTGTTATTTTTGGGGTTTATATGACATGAGTTTTCTGATCCGGCCCCTTTGGGATCAAAATAGGTTGGATACGGCCCCCGGACCAAAATGAGTTTGACACCCCTGTTTTAGGAGAAGCGTCAAGTCTTCTCAAGTCACAGGCCACAAGTCTAAGTCAAGTCCCAAGTCACTGACCTTCGAGTCTAAGCCGAGTCCCAAGTCTTAGTCCATTTTAACAAGTCAAGTCTCAAGTCCTAAAAATAGTGACTCAAATCTGACTCGAGTCCAAGTTACGAACTGCAGGACCCCACCTCTGGAGTCAAGTATCAATAAAAGTATCAAAGTATCAATAATAGGAAAAAAAGCTTCAAAAGGGTTGAAACAAACAAACAAAGCATGCATGTTTTGTTTAGGGTTTTTTTCCTGTGTAAAATGAGAGCTCCAGACTGACCCGGTCACAGGTGAGGCACTGCACGGAGCTGACTATGGTCCCATCGAACACGTCTGAAATGACGCTGCGATATTTCTTCTGTCGTTTGTTCTTTGGTGGAGAAAACGTGGCCATCGCTGCGGATCGAGAAACAAGAGAAGAGCTGATTTAATAACAGGGACTTCGAGGTATCATGTAACTGTAGACAAGCATTTTCCCATAAACTGCACTGAACCCTCCACTGATAGAACATCCTCGAATAATATGAGCAAAGATTCTTAAGGAGAAACACGACTTTGTTTTTTGTTTCAGTTCGGTCTTTTAGAATACAAGTGTTCATGTCGAAAACCAAAAGGTGTCCACTCTGAATTAAATATTAAAACAATTTTCTGCGCTATCAACTTGCATTTATAGAATTAAAGTAGCACCGACATCTACCAAATGTGTACTTAACGAATGGTTTATGAAAATTACAGAAGGATTTTTTGATATGCAATAACTTTTAACTAAACATAGACGGATTTAGTTTACTCAAATACCAAATAATATATCCAAAATCTCCTCTGTTTATTTTTTAGCATCTAATATGACAGTAGAATTATTAAGTAAGAAATTTAATCCTGATCCGATCTATTTTTGAGATTCAAACGTCCCAAAAAATGTTAATCTTGTTAGTTTTTACACATAAATTGCCTCGATTTGTATGAAAATATTACACACATTTATTACTTATATTTATATGAGTAAAGTACACTTCACAAGTTTTAAATTGATATGTCTACATTTTATTTTCCTATTCCCCTGCAGTGTCTTTTGAACTCAAATTCATGTTATCGAATTATAGAATAGGTCTACAGGGCCAGTATTAGGAGACAGGTCACTTTGAGTACCTTTTTTGTGGGCGGGGTTGAGACTGGGCCATCCTGAGGACTTGGGGGGGCTTGTGGACATTTTGGGAATGTGACCCTCCATGGGCACTGGGCTCTGGGGCCTCGGGTGAACCGTGTTGTTGGATAACTGGATGTCTGGGAATGAATCTGGAGGCAAAACAACAAAATTAGCCACATAAGTAAAGACATTTAATAGTAATAAACTGGCATTAGAGGTCTCATAAAGAGGCGCGGGATTATTTTAAGACTGGAAGCTTATTTAAAAGGAACTGAGCATAAAACAAGCTATTCTAGTATGTTTACCTGAGATGCGGCTCTGTACTTTGAGGGCCCCCTGTGTGCTGATGATGGGCGTTGTCTCGTTGGTGGTGTCTATGTCTTTGTCTGCGTCCGTCAACCCCCCTTCTCCTCCTCCTCCTCCTCTGCCTGTGGATCTGTACAAGTCGTTTATCATGTTCTTCTCCTTCTGCCACTCGCGGTTGGCCTGGATCTCCTCCTGCTCCGGGATCAGCATCTCCGCCTCGTTGGTGTCTGTGTAGGCCACAATGGTACGTTTTTGTGTTAATTGGGGTGAAAATAAACAAACATTTTGGGTTTATTGGGGTGGAAATAAACATAATATCCAAGTTACAGGTCGAATCTTTGAAGAATTGACCCCACTCACAATAAGAAGACATGTTTTTCAGCAGTCAGGTTTTTTTTTTTTAACAATATAAACACCAACCTTGAGTGTTTCCCACCATGTCCCACCCACAGACCATGTATATGAATGGACATAACTAATGCTCTAGCCACCACGTTCCAAATAGGAAATGGTTCTTCTGGCTTCTTGTGAATATCGTGGCTCCTCTCTCTCTAACTGCTGCTGTGAGCCTCGTCATTTTGGTCTCAAAATGTTCGTATTAACCCGCTCTACATGATCCTGAATTTTTCATTTAGCTATTTTGTCCCTAAATCAAGATATGAACATAAATAACAGACCAATCAGATGCCTTCATTCCCCCGAGGTCGCTCCTGTTAGTGTTTGCAACAGGTTTGACTGACAGCTAGTGTGTTTTGTTGCTAAGTAAGCTCCCTTCCTGCTTTCCGGTGAGAACATTAATCTATTAAAATAACTGGATAGGGTGTTGCTGCTTGTAGCTGCCTCCAGTTGACATATTGGCCACTCACCGGTACAACAACGGAAAAATCCACTGGGCTGAGAAAGGATTTTTCTCATGAAGAGTAATATAATCATAAACTGCTGGTGTTCGGCTGACAGAGCACCTACAACTTTTAAAAATGTCGGATTTTTTTGGTGATTTTTACCTATTTTTAGATCATAAACTTTTTCTCAGCTCATCTTTCAGCCGTCTTAAAAAACGCTTTATAATCGTTAGCTCCGGCTCCGCTCTAGCTCTTCTCACTCTGATTGGTCAAAGCGATCACGTGATACTCATGCGCGATGCTCAATCGGCCCAGAGCCACTGGAAGTACCTAGACGGGTAAAAGGATAATCTGGAGTCATGCGCCATTGAGCTCGGCCCATTGACTCAAATGGGACCCCGGAGCTTGGGTGAGAAGGACGGGAACATTTAACAACCTCAATCATGGCTCTTGTGGTTGCTGTGATATTCACGGCTGGATTTCCAAATATGGGGCCTGGCTCAGAATTCGCTCCTGTAACCTTAACTTTTTGTTGGCTTTGCTCCTGTAAGGGTGAAAAAATGCATAGCACACTCGGTTGGCCGATGTCCAAATACTTTTTTATTAACGATTCATTCGATTTTCTTCTAGGGGTAATAATGGACTCAGACTTGAACTTTAACAGCCACATCAAATCAATAACATCTGCAGCCTTTTACCATCTAAAAAAACATAGCAAAAATCAAAGGTTTAATGTCTAAAGCAGACTTGGAGAAACTTATCCATGCGTTTGTCTCCAGTAGGTTAGATACTGTAATGTTCTGCTCACTGGTCTCTCCAAACGAGCTGTGCTGAACATCCAGAACGCTGCAGCTCGGGTCCTTACTCGAACTAGGAAGTACGAGCACATAAGTCCTGTGCTCAGGTCTCTGCACTGGCTCCTGTGCCTCAGAGAATAGACTTTAAAGCAGCTCTGTTTGTGTACAAGTCTCTCCATGGCCGAGCACCAAAGTACATCTGTGACATGTTAGTGTCATATGAACCATCTCACACTCTGAGGAGCTCATGGACCGACCTCCTGCTGGTGCCCAGAGTCACGACTAAACAAGGGGAGTCAGCGTTTCAGGTTCATGCAGCTAAAACCTGGAACAGTCTTCCTGAACATGTGAGACAGACTCTTCTGTGACGCTGTTTAAATCCAGGCTCAAAACATTTCTGTTTGACTGTGCATATGACTGAAAGGTTTTCATTCCGCACTCTTCTCTCCAATTTATGTCTCTCTTTTTTAATTTTAATCTTCATGATTATTTATGTTTTGATTTGTTTTTATTATGATTTTAATGTATTTCTTATTCTGTAAAGCACTTTGAATTACTTTGTGTACGAATTGTGCTATACAAATAAACTTGCCTTGCCTTGCCTTAACAAAATAACGTTTCGGCAAAAAAAGCCTTCATCAGATATTTTTCTTGTCTTGGACCACAGCACACAGCCCAGGTGCCCATATACCCCCTCAATGAATGGGAGGTCCCAAAGTGAGGTTACCCAGTGAGTTCAGCCCATTCTACAACAAGAAACAACAGTTTACATAAAAAAAATATTTTATAAAATACAGAAATAGTTTCAGTCTATCGCAAAAAACATCTTAAATCAAACTCCACTTTGCTCCTGTAACCATTAGCATCGGGAACTTCATTTGAGTGGCGCTGAACGCTGTTGTGTGGTGCTTGCTTAGTCCACTTCTTTTATACAGGCTATGGTCCCATAACAAACAGAACTTGTTTTTAACCTTTTGTCCCATTTGAAGTGGTCACTGCACCACCGAGACCAGCAGCTGACAGTCCCCCACCAGAAAAGTGACACAGTGCATCATTAATAATAACCCACCTCCCCCTCCTCCCTGCAGCTCGTTCTCTGCCTTCTCGCTGCTTGCGCACGACTCACAGGACTGGAAATCGTCCGACTGGCTGCGGGTGTCCTCCTCGGGGCCGGTTTCCACAGAGACGGTGCTAGAGCCGTCGTACGGCTCCGGGAGAGGCTCCTTCAGCTCCTCGTGAAGCTGGTCCATCAGGCAGCGCAAGAACTCCTGAGAATCCTGAAGTGGAAGGACACATAAGCAATAAGGACAAGGGGTGAATAATGGCAACCAAAACTCTGAAATATCTGAAACTGCTAAACTAATCACACACATATGTACACACCCATCAAAAGTTTGGGCTCACACTTTAATTCAGTGTTTCTTTTTATATAAATGTTTACAACTTTCTACATGTTATATACATACAGAAGACATCATATATACAAAGTAAGATGTATGAAATTATACACCAAAGAAAAAAAGATTACTCATTTTGTTTAGATATTTCATATTCAAATCATCTCTTTACTTATAATATTTTTTTGAAAAAGCAGTTATCTATTTACTAGATTATCATAAAAACATTCAATGAGAGGATCCAAACTTTTGACTGGTCATATATGTTTAAAAGTCAAAAGTTTGGACACACCTTTTCATTCAAGTTATTATTTTTTTCTTTTTTCTTACTACTTTCTAGAATTTAGATTCATACGATATATATTGAATTCTTTAGTAAAGAAAATAAGTTAAATAACTCTACTTAATATTAATACAAAGTAATGGGTGGCAAATTTGAGGATTTGAATATAAAAAAAAGTAGAAGAGTTATCTAACTTTTTTCCATATATCTTAATTGTATATAAAATGTAGAAAAGTAGTACACAAATATAAAAAAAAAAACATTGAATGAACTTTTGACTGGTAGTGTTTAAACCATGTCATTATAAAAAATCATTATGAATTGCTGAGTCACTAAGGCACGTGCTGTAATAAGACTTAAGCTGCCAAGTTAACACAAAGATCAGTCATAAATCTTTAGTGAGCCTGATATTAAGAGCTTTGTGTGCAAGAAATTAGAAATCCAATCTTTATCTATCCAACTGCACTACAATTTATGCAGAAAAACTTGGTTACACTTTACAAGACGACATACCTACAAATCATTTGTACATGTTTAATAACCACCAATTAAGCACTTACAAAAAATTACAAGTATGTAATCATGTATAAGAGCAGTTAATGAGTAATCACTCCCATAACATTTCTAATTCTAATGTCTTGTACTTGTCCAACAACTGCATGTGGAAAAGAGCTTGTAGCTAAATCTGGCACAAAACAGATTTCCTCTTGTATTCTGTGCACTTGTTTTAAATAAGTACAAATTTTGACATTTATGAATGTGTTATGAATTAATAATAACACTTTAATAATCATTTACAAATGAGAATAAACATTTGTTTCGGGGGGTAAGTCATTTTTAGTAAATGATTAGTTAATGGTTAATAAATATTTACACATAATTTGTTGGTATGCCTTATTATAAACAGTGTAGCTCATGATTTTAATCAGATTTTTACGTATAAATACCAAACAACCAAATCAGTTCTCCTTTCTGCTGTGTCCCATATAATCTAAAGAAAATCATTGGTTTACTAACACAGGTTTTGGTCCACTAGGAGACCATCGACTAATCACCGACTAAAGGCCTACAGCTCCACAACCCTAAAAAACTTCAACATAGGCCTCCAAGAAGAATAGCAGATGGAGCTAATCGAGGTCAATTAACTAAAACATTAAATACAACATGCATCTAAAAACTTTGTAAGGTGAGGTTCTTGGCCATACTTTGCTCTATGATGTAGATTTTTCAAGGTCCTATATTATGAACTTTAAGTCAAGTTAAAAAGTTCTTACCTCCTCAAAAACATACCTGGAGTCTACATCTCCAAAGCTCAAAAAGCTCTGTTTTACCTTGTGATGTCATGAAGCAGTGTTGTTCAAGTTAACAGCTCCTTTTACCTTTAGTTCAGTAGAAACTGTCAATTCCAGGACTGAAATTACCCAAATGATTCTAGTGAAGGTCTATGGAGTTTAAAAACACTGGAGCATTTCCTTTGTTACTACATGACATCACAAGGTGGAACAGAGTGTCTTCTGTTTCATCTTAAATATGAAGGATTTGTGTGTGAATAAAACAAAACACAACTCCGCTGTTTTTGATGAGGAAACAACATTATGACACAGATCAGGAAAACTACAGGCTTAGCAGATTTTATAAACAGCGCCCCCATGGAGACAGGACCTTTTGTTTTCTGCAGAAGATTACCAGAATAATTGTAGCCTTTGCGGTCGCTAATTATGACCATTCAAATTGTGATTTTGACTCACTTTATTCCTTAGTTCTAATTAGTGTAATAATAATTGTTTATAATTGTGCACATCAAATAAATAATGGTGTATGTCTTATTAAAAGGGAAATAGAGTCATCTTCAGATACTGGAGGAAAATATACAGAGTTTCATTGATTTTTAAGGAAAGCAAGCTCACACTCTGTCAGATTCATCTCACACAGAAAAATTCAAGGACAAGGCATAAAATCAATAGCTTCCATTTAACGCGTGGAAAAGCAGAAAGCTAAACATTTAACACCTAAACTCAGCCAAAAACCACATTTCAAACAGGGCTGCTAAACTGGGGAGTACCTGGACATGAGGACATATGAGGAACAGGGTGATTGGTTAAAAACAGGAATCCACGCTTTAAACTCCGCCCCCGCAGCCTCACGTTTGTACCGATACTCACAAACTCCAGGCTGTAATCAGGGTTAGTGCTGAGCTATAGGCGAGTTTCAGCTGACGTCATTGTTATTAAAAGCTCGCGTTGCATGCTGGGAAATATTTTGGTCGGAGGCAAGAAACACGATAGCGTCAAACACAGTGCGTAACCTTGCGTATTTATCCCCGATAATGGTAAATTCCTGCCTCATTATCGGATGCACAAAGAAGGAAAATGTCTTTTTCGTATTCCGAGTGAAAAGAACCGCTAACGGCGAATTAAACGGCTTTCAAACATCCGCAGAGCAAACGTAGAAGATCCTAACAAACCGTGGACTCCAACAAGTTCAACAACACATCGAGACTCTTGTAGACTTTCATCTTTTCTGCTGTGAATGGCCCAGGAGTTTCCACCAAGTCATTGTGGATATCGCCGAAAGTGAATATTTGTCCAGGTAGTTGGCGATTCCGACCAGAAATTTTGTTTGGTCCACCTTTTGTCGGGGTTGAAAAGGGTGATTTGTCGTCCATCGATGCTTCTGACCAATTTCTGGTCAAATCGTCTTGGGTCCTCTGCCGTTAGAGTGGATAAATAACCGGGATCAATACCCTTTACGTGCTTTCTCGCTCCGTCCGTCATGTTGAATTAGTGTTTCTTGCCGCCGACCAAAATAATTCCCAGCATGCAACGCGCGCTTTTGTCAACAATGAAACTTGCTTATATAGGAAAAACAAGAATCATGTATTTTGTTTCCCTAGAATGAATCTCGATTTCCGATTGGATTTTCTTCCACCTTATTGAAAGCACAGACAAGTGGACTTCAGGCAGAAAGAGCAGGATCACTACAGTTTTTATTTCATGTTCATAAGTTCAAGTTTCGGCTAATGGCAATCTGGCAACACAGAGATCGACTAAATTAGTGTGTCAAACTCAAATTCACAGAGGGGCAAAATTAAAAACTGGGACAAGTCGTGGGCCAAAATAAATATTTATGGAAAAATTTAAACAACACCTGCATGTTTTCTTTTCTTTTGAAATATGTAATGTTAAACCTTTTCTTATTAAAATAAATGTTTCATAATAGTTTTGCTTAAACACTGAATTCAGAAGAAACAGAAGATAAACTAATAACATTTTAAATAAATAACGTCTCTATAGCCTATCTGTAGGCGGTGGACCAGCTCTAATACATATTTGATATGACTTTGTGAGCCAAATATAATTATATTGAGGGCCAAATTTGAAACTGACATGTCTAGACTAAAGTTTATATTGATCTTTTGATTTTTGGTACAGTTCATCTTTGGCACCAAGTATTTAAAACTGCAGTGGCCAGTGGAGCAAGGACAAACACTTTTTTTTATTTACCACAAAGCTGCAAATGTACCTAGTTTGCACTAAAACTGCCAACAAAAGGACCTGTGGCGTATGCTGCGGTCTAAGGCGAGAGAAATTATCTGACGAAAGCTCTTTTGCCGAAGAGTTGTTAAGAAATGGGGGAAGCTTTTCGGCCATCTGAGTGTACTATGCATTTTTTTAACTTTTTTTCTCACCATATACACAGTTTAGTAGTAAAAAGAAGTTGATTTAGTTTTTAGTTCCACTTTGAAATCTTCACAATCAATTTGAGCTAATTAGATCCAGTTAATTAAATATATCAACAAATGTGCAATAAACAAAGTAGACAGCTAATCTTCCCCATGCTTCAAATTCACTTCATAGTTTTGTTTATCTGCAATTTCACAAAGCACCAACGTGGGACCCGATACTAATTAAAGTGCAACAAAAGCTAATAATCTCCTGAAACACAACACCTCTCTCAGACTAATCGAAGTCTTTTCTCATTGGACCAAACATGGCTCCGTCGTGCAGACTGAGCTGCTCAACAAAGTGTGACAGTTTAATATTCCTCAGATGGTTTCAGATAAAGGAGGAGGAAGAGCTGCATTCAGCATAAACAACACCATTCACACTTTGTCACGTAAATAACAAGTTTAGGAAATATATAGGGCCCAAGAAAAGCTAAAACAATTATGGCTAGACACTACATTTAGAAAAGAAAAGTTTTTATATACGCTGCTTAAAAGCATGTCATTTTTTCTGTACTGACTCAATACAGTCGTCCCTCAATATATCGCGGTTCACCTTTTGCAGTCTCGCTGTTTCGCGGATTTTTTTAGTAGAATTTTGCATGTGTTTTTTTTTTTTTTTACAGCGTATGAACGTGTATTGCTTATTACGGGAGGGTGGTAATTACACATGGGCGGGTCAGGACTAAAACAGGACTAAACCAGGACTAAATCAGGTCTAAACCAGGTCTAAACCTAGGTGTAAATTAGGTCTAAACCAGGTCTAAACCAGGATTAAACCAGGTCTAAACCAGGTCTAAATCAGGACTAAATCAGGACTAAACCAGGTCTAAATCAGGACTAAACCAGGTCTAAATCAGGACTAAACCAGGTCTAAATCAGGACTAAACCAGGTCTAAACCAGGTCTAATCTTGGACTTAAGAGAGAAAACCCCGAGGAGGGTGTCCGCAAAGTGCGATCGGTCAATTGCCGTTCTTAAGTCCGTGAAATACAGAGCTCCCCGTCGGTCCTTTCTCCTGCGGTCACTTCTGAGCCCATCCCGGCAGTGAGTCCTGTTTCAGTCCTGTTTCAGTCCTGGTTCAGTCCTGGTTCAGTCCTGGTTCAGTCCTGGTTCAGTCCTGGTTCAGTCCTGGTTCAGTCCTGGTTCAGTCCTGGTTCAGTCCTGGTTCAGTCCTGGTTCAGTCCTCCTCTTCAGTCCTGGAATTAGTCCTAGGTTAGTCCTGGTTTAATCTGGGTTCAGTCCGTGGTGTGTGCAGCACAAAAGTTTGATATAATCTCGGGTAAACAGGCGGGTGCGGTGCTGTACTGTGCGAGATCGGGTCTCCAAAAATGGACCCGTGCAGGACTCTGCGCTGTAGGGCTCCATTACGAAATAAATTAATCTTCGGTTCGTAACATAAAGAAGGAGGAGAATAACAAAAGGACGACAGCAGCAATAAGTTTTAAGAAGGATGCACAAAGGGCCCTGTCTGAGAAATGTGTATAAAGTGTGTGGTGACAGCCTTAAAACAGAACTTTATGTTACCATTAGGTCTAATACTTGATTAATCTCAGAATTACACTGTTCAGGAAAGGTCACATTTTGTCCTGAAAGTCCCAGTATGTAACTTTTTTGCATCCAAATTGTACTGAAAAACACGCATCCTTACTCTGAGTACGCTTGCATCTCCACAAACCTGACTCATAGAAATGTTCTTCCTTTGGCTGTGTGGCATAAAACTACGGAGAATCTTCCGAAGTATGATTTTGAACTTTCTACTTCCACGGAATCACGGAGTTGAAACTTTCGACAACCCTACATTTTATAGTGTTTTAGTTTTCATTTGACATAAGTCTGGGTGTCATGGCAGAAAAAAAAAAAAAAGAATTACAAGGCAGTGCTCGGCATAGCACTTTTTGCTTTTCTCCGAGTTGGTGATAGGCAGTAGTTGTTCAGGCGAGAGGCTGAGTGCATTACAGAGGCTTGGCTCTGTCAGTGATTTGACTTAATGCGATTTCTACAACAATAAACGGGCATGGACTGAAAGGGAATAGGCAGGGACAGGCCACAGGGAGTTTTACAGCCCCTTCACAGAGCGTCCTGTAAGGCTCAACGATTTTGGGGAAAATATTCAATTGTGATTTTTTTTTTTTTTTAACCAAGCACTGCGATTGTGATTGTATTTGCTATTATTATGTGATTAGGTAATAGAGGACTACGATGCTTTCAAGTGCTTTTAGTCTTTTTCCATTTTCATTTAAACTCAACCTGCTCCCAAATAATATTCAAAAACCGTTCTGCACAAATGATTAAATTCAAATACAACCTGAGAGGTCAAATGAATTTTAAAAAAGCGATTGTCTCGAACCACTCTCAAAAGCATGTGACCATATCAAAGCTTGTACTAAATTGGTGCGCTTCAAAAAAGCTAAATAAAAATCAAATCTTACAAGTAAACCACGACTATTAACTAAACACATGCTTTTCTTTAACATTACCTTTTCTTTTGATCATAAACAATAAATTTTGTGCCTTCTTTGTCACTGTTATTAGTTTCTACGACCATAAACAAAAACAAAAAACTTAAATTTTTCTCATTTTCATTTTGCTAATTTTGAAACAATTATAACTGATAAACTTCTGTGCGTGAAATTTATTTTACTATATGCAAATATGTGAAAAGTTCCGTGATCAATGTCGATAAGAAATCACATCAATTTTTAAACTATGTCATGAACAGTGGTGGGTTCGTATAAGTTTTTTCTTCTTCTCACACCTTTTCAAGAATTTTCTGTTGTTTATAGTGTATATGTAGTATGATTATTGTTTCTCTTTTGGCACAAACTTGGAAAAATAAATAAATAAATAAACAAATCAAAACATTATTAATTATAAAGATACTCATGTTAGTTGCATTTAAATCCGCAGCACAAATATACTTTACATCCAGTGTTGGGGAGTAACAGATTACATGTACCGGTGTTACGTAATCAGAGTACAAATTATGAGTAACTGTATTCAGTTACAGTTACTGTTTCAGTGAGTGGTAATTGGATTACAGTTACTTTGTGGAAATAAATGGATTACATGAAGGTATTTTCCTGTTTTCACATTTTGGGCTAAACCAGGCCTAAACAAGAACTAAACCAGGACTAAACCAGGACTAAACCAGGACTAAACCAGGACTAAACCAGAACAAAACCAGAACAAAACCAGGACTAAACCAGGCCTAAACAAGAACTAAACCAGGACTAAACCAGAACTAAACCAGAAAAAACCAGGACTAAACCAGAACTAAACCAGGACTAAACCAGAACTAAACCAGAACAAAACCAGGACTAAACCAGAACTAAACCGGGTCTAAACTGGGACTAAACCAGGACTAAACCAGGTCGAAACCAGGACTAAACAGTATGAGACCTAACAGTAGGTGGACATACTCATATAAATTTCTAATTTCTCATATAAAAATCATTTCTCTATCAATAATATTTTTAATTTGGTTAAGGAAAGACTGGACTTTTTATTTTCTTTGCTTCTCTACAACAAACAAAAGTCTGTTCATGAAGTCTTGGGCTCAGCCAATTTGAAGAGAACAAACATGAATTTTCAGGATGTGGTTGATACATTCATGTAGTTTTAAAAAACATGACAATATCAAGTAATCCAAAGTATTCAGATTACATTACTCACTTTAAGTAATTTAATGGATTACGTTACAGACTACATTTTGGGGTATGTAATCTGTAATCTGTAGGGGAATACATTTTAAAAGTGACCTTCCCAACACTGCTTTACATTGAAGCTCCTGCAGGTTTAATTTTCACTTGAACGACCAAAATAAAACAACATGTGGTCAGTGGGTGCTCGTGGAAATGTCATAGTTTGTCACTGCTGTTGATCTAAAATGAGTGACTGAACTTCCAAACACGTCAGATAATATTTTCCTGACTGTTTTTACGCTGTGCAGTTGCCTCCCCTAGTCTGCGCCTAAATCAAACTGTGATATTATATTCTTCTCCAGATGTGTTACTGGGATCTTTGAGATTCGATTCACGACATCCTCTTTTCTCCCGGGTTTACATGCATTTCGAAAAATCTGCTTAAACTGGACTAGGCCAGACATGCAGTTTTCCTGACGTGCATGTAAACGTAGTGACTGACAAAAAGACTGAACTGATTATTTATATATTTGGAATTTTTGACTCGTTTGATTCACGGTTCAAAATCAATCAGGTAAAGGCTCTTTCATCTTGCAGCTCTAGCATCCAGCGGGTTTTGTGTTCTACAAGACCCGCACTTTGTACAACATTTTGATTTTCCAGAAGTGCTTTAAACTCAATGAAAAGTACCAGCATGAGATTTTATAGGAGACACAGTGTACCTGCTGTGAGTATCCTCGGAACATGGGGTTAATGGCTTTGATCCCTTGGAAAAGAGTGGTCGGCACAACGTACGAAGGTCTGCAAAGAGAGAGAGACAAATTTGGTATGAAACTCAGTTGCCACGTTTACATGAGGGCTTTAATTCCAAATAAAAATCATTAAATTCTGAATAAAAATGAATTCCACTTGTTTGTTTTGTTTAAAAAGATCATTTAATGAAAATGATTAGTCAAAATTAAACTTAATTCTCAAGTAAATGGATGATTTGTTATATTTTAAAGGCAAATAAATTTATTCCTCAATCATGTAAACATTTATTCTTCTTAAAAATAATTCCGGTCGTTCAGTGCATGCTCGTTGGGTCGCCTTTATCGGACAATCTGGCTCCAACTGTCCTTGTTTCGGACTTTCATCCACTGCTCTTTGGATTTGTGAGCAGGATGCATGAGTGGGCAGAGGTAGAGCAGCTGTTGTCTCAGTTTGTCTTCTTCCTCCCTTCTCCGACACTCTTCCCTTCTCTCCCTCAGCTCATAGACGTAAAGCGAGATGAGAAAATTCTGGAGCTGCTGCTTAATCATCATCGGAACGGCCGTGAAAAAAGTCGGATCATGTTTGTGTCTGTGACGTAACGACAAACCAAGATGACAAAAAGCCAGTAGCAGCTGAAGTATGTGTTTTCTTCGGGTCAACGTAAATATGTTCGTGAACCTGTCAGAACCCTTCCCCACCCCCAGACATTGAGCAGAATTAAATAAAAGCGATTTAACTTGTTTTCTATGTAAACCTCAATTCGGAATTATTATTTCCATGTAGTCTCTGAGAATATTTTAATTCAGAACTATTCATATGGAATTAAAAAAAACATCATGTAAACATGGCCAGTGAAGACTTAGTTATAAAATGAAGAACAAGAAGTAGCAACATTCATTCATATTAGGCTTTGACAAACTGTACTGATACTTTGCAGCTTATGGCATCACACTCCTGTTCTGTCTAAGGCTCTGTTACTCAAGTTAGACTTTAATCTGAGTTTTGGTTTAACACAATCTGATCATAAAGTGTGGTTAAACTCGATTACCCACCTGTTTTTGTGCCACAGATCTGATACGAGTTTCTGATAACTTTTACAGAGCGCTGGCTTCTTATCCGTCCTCACCAGGGCTCCACATTCGATGAAGAACTGCGTCAACGGCGGGCTGAAAATAGACGAGGAGATATAAATAAAGTCATTATGGAGTTAGGGGCATGATATGTCTGGAGATGCAGACAATAACATTAGCAGAGGTTAAAGGAAGGAGAAGAGAAGGATATGCAGCTTAAAACCATCTGGGTTTCAGATGACACCATAATGATTTAAAGCACAATAATACTTGATACGATGGGGGCAGGTGAAATGTAAATTGTTATGACAGATTTTTGTAGTAATAATGCGAGTTCTAGGGTCTAGTCACTAAAATGTGCGCTAAATGCTAAAATTTCAAACTTGTTTTCGATACTAAGGACTGTTCATACTCAATACTGATTTTAATACCACATTGATAGTTTAAAGACACTCTTCATTTAGACAATAGAATGTGCTTTTTATCATTGAATCATAATATTTTCTATGTAATCCCTCAATTGTCCAGGTAGCTTCCATAATGGCCCATGAGCGTAAACTAGTCTACTGTATGTGGTCTTCTGATACAGCTCAAGATCATTCTGAAGCTCTTCAGGAAAGGTTCATTTCTTTCCTGTGAATGTGACTTTTTAGTATCGATACTTCAAATGTGTACCGTATTTTCTGGAGTATAAATCGCACTCAGTGTCACTTTTGAGCAACTCCGCGACCTCCGGAGGTAAACAGAGCGCCGCTTTCTCTTCGGCATAGCTGTCGTCAGACTCAGCATCAGTTCCAGTTAGAATTATTCCGGCCTTTCTGAATCCCGACAGGATGGATTCAATTGTCTCTGAAGTCCAGACTTTGTCCATCCATCCAGTGACTTCCAGGAAAGTTGCATGGTGCACCCTACCGGTTGTCAGAAGTTTCTCACTCCCTCCAAATTTTCTTTCTGCTGCTCGATTACCGTTTTCAGCCGCATATTTCGCTACTTGGAACTTGTAATCTGCAAAATATGATTTTCTTTTTGGGGGCATTTGTGTTCAGTCTTCTCAGTCGTCTTTATAAGTTTGTTTAAGTTTTAAATTTTCAGTGGTACAGAAGTAATGGTGCAATCGATTGACATGATACAGACAGGACAGAGGCTCTTTCTGCAGGAGACATGTGCAGTAGAGTGAAGTGACAGTGGTACAGGAGGAACAGGAGCCGCAGTTACTAACACACAAGACTAGAGCGCCCTCTTGCAGCTGTCAGTGTGAACATTTTAATACATAAGTCGGAGTATATGTCGCAGGAAACACCCAAACCATGAAAAAAGTGTAACTTATAGTCCGAAAAATACTGTCTAGTTTCTATAAGCTTTAGTTGACAAAACTGCTAGTCACCGATATCTCATCATGTTCAAGAGCTCTTTTAAATGAGCTCTGACTGTTGTCGTCTCTGGCTCACTGTAGTGTGATGTATGAGTATAACCGCGTTTTAACCTGCTGGCAGTGAGCCCAAGACCAGTTTCCTCTTGGGGATAATAATATTTATCTTATCTTACATTAGTGAATTTATCTTCCGGGGATTTCATGGCAAAGTACAATTTAATACGTAGGGAAAAATGACTCTTGCCCCCCATTTGAGAGTACGACAGCATCTTCTAGAAACTGAAATCTACCAACTGATACTTTGCAATATTTGAGTGAGCTGTAAAACAACTATAATATATTTACACTTCTTTGTAATTTAATTGAACTTCCTATATACATTTTTTTCCCTCCGACTGTGAAGGCCTGTTTTTGTCTGAAAATGCCCCAATTAATCCTTACTTTTATTCAAAAAGATGTTAAAACCGAATGAGATTTTCTTTAGCAGTAATTGAACTAAAAGGATATGCAAAGAGGGAAAAAAATTGTGGGATCTGAACATATCCTGTGGTGTATCTTTCTAATCTAAGTGCATATTGAGTTGTGACCCTGGGGTGATGATGAAGAACAGGATTTGTGCAAAAACAAACATCAAAGCTCCATGTAAAAGCGGCCGCTCCCTCTGCAGTCATGATACTCCTCTGCAGTCATGTTACTCGGGCTCCACTATTTTTGGATTAGATTTAGATTGCAAATTTCGACCCACATCTTTGCTGTTTGACTTGAGCCCACATAGAGATGGGCGGTGTAATTTAAAACTCATGTCCCCTGGGTGAGAGGAGAGATGTGTTGCATCCGCCGTGAGCTCATCAGGCTGAAGGGAGGGGGGAGAAACTCACGCTCGCATTTTTGGACTGGTTTTGTCTACAGCAGTGAGCTCGAGACTAATGCAGACAACAAACTCAACTTGTCTGACTGGAGTGAACATGTCTGTAATTAGAAAAGGAAGTAAGAAGAGCTAGTATTTTCAGAAACAAACCAGTCTGAAGACATTCTCAGGTTAAGAACAGGCCTCATGTGAAAGCTCAGAACCTCCAGAATTCACTCCCTGAGCTGCAGAGGCGACATACACTAACACTGAGTCATGAACGGTTGGCTTCTGGCCTTCATAGTCTCACGTAGGGATGGGCATTCGATGAAATTTTCTTAATCGATCGTCGGGAGAATTTTATATAATAACAAGTATCATCATTATTATTACTATTTCTAATCTGCATAAATAAACTCAACTTTACAACATATAACCACTATAGAACCACATCAGCCCGTTTTGAGATTATAATGTGTTTAAAGCAGCTTTGCACAAGTCTCACAGAAACGAAACTTAAAACCGCATGGCTAATTTGCATAAACGAAGTAGAGAAAAAAAAAATGCTCTTGTGCGCTGATGCGGTTCAGCTTCTGTCGAACTAAAAGGACACAACTCAGTGGAATATAGGTGTTTTTTTTTTCTGTGACAGAGGGATGTAGATGCTGAAGGTGAGTCTGTTTTATATGTGTGTCGCGATGTTTTCAGAGATCGTACGTGTGCAGGTTTAGCGCAGCTCTTTATGTCGCAGTAAGCGGGATACTGCGTTTACATGACAAAACTGGGACACTGATGTGCATGTAAACACATTCACTGAGCGGTACAGTGTCTCCAAGGAGGTGCCAGAGCTAAAATGTGGGACTGAGGCCGCAACTCCCGTGTTTGCGCTGTCAGATGCAGCTTCGTATCTACGCACAGAAACCTACATTCAGTTTGTCGATTAGAAATGAACGTAATCAACGAAATTCTTAATGATCAATAAGCAATTAGTCAACTAATCATGCCCATACTTAGTCTCACTACACTTGCTTTATAAACCTTCTCTTTGGAAGCAGAGTCAAAGGGGCTTGAACACTCAAAAATCATACTTTGTTGACTTTTCAATTCCCCCTGGACCTGTATTAATGACGATAAATAAACTTCTCCTGCTAAAGACATCCAGTTGGTCTCCAGCCATTTACTTCCAATGTTTCTTGGACAAGCTGAAAACTTCAACAGCGACCATTTAGATCAGAGAGAAGCATTTTATGTTTAAACCAAATGGATTTCAGCATTGAAATTGGCAACACAAATGAGAGGCTCCTGTGAGGCTCATTCTGCTTTCTGGATAATCGTCTTGAGAACCAAAACATCACATTACAACAAGCACCTTGGCCATCATGTCCGATTGTTAAGATGTATATTTGATTACCTCATAATGTTACACCGCTGCTTTATGTATAATTATCTACGTAAGATACAGCATAGAGATTAGGTTTTCTTAATTAGATTTGCAAAGATCAATATGTACCAATCGCTTCGTCTCATAACAAGTACAAGCAGAAATAGTGCTCAATATAAACCAGGTGTGTTGCGCTGATAAGAAAAATATCAAAATGCACTGACACATTTAATAAAAAAACTGCTCCTGAACATTCTGCCCGACTCTGAGGCAGAACTACAGACACATGTGTTTCTTTAGTTTATTTTTTGTCCATGGAGCGGCGCATATTTTCTTTCAAATTAACTTGAAGTGTTAAAATGGAAACTGAAAGTAGCTTGCCCTTTGTTGCTGTGACTGTGCAGAGCCGAGCTTGCGCGTTAACTAACGACAGGGGGAGATAAAGGACGCTTCAACTCGCCCCACAACAATTAATTTCCTCAGCACAGACTCAGAAACATGATCTTTAAGGAGAGAAATGTTCAGTTCAGCTGCGTCTGATCCAAAGTCTGTATCAGTGACGAATGTTTGTGTAGACTGCAGCGTCCCTGTGGTTTAAATGTTCGCTGGTTTTCTACTCTTGACTTGATTTTCTTGTTTTAGATGTGAAGCTTTTACAGAAGAAAATGTCACTGTGTTAGGCTCGTCACAGTAACACATTTTGAAGTACCATATATTGCTCAGGAACCTTTAGACAATAAATTATAAACACTGCAACTAATTTATACCACTGACAATAACCAAAAATCATGATTTATCCCCCCCAAAATATTCTAAATGTACAATATAATAAAAAATATATATATTAACTGAAAAAATATGTAAAAAATATAAAGATATATGTGTGTTTGCCATTGACACTCTGATAATGTTGTCAAAAAAATCAAAAAATTCATCTATTCTATTCTATTCTTCTATCTAAAAAGACAATCAAATACACTTCTCTATTTTAAGGATATTATATTAAAGGGCCCATATGACGCTATTTTGTGATCTGTGTTATAACGTTGTTTCCTCATCACAAACAGACCTGGAGTTTTGTTTCTTTCACACATGTTTAACACACAAACCCTGCATATTTAGGCTGAGTTCTTTTCTCAAACAGAAAACACTCTGTTTTACCTTGTGATGTCATGTAGTAATTACAAAGTGTTCCAAAAGAAGTGTTTTTAAAAGCCATACCTCTTCACTAGAGTTAGATTTAGAGTTAGATTTAGAGGTAGATTTAGAGTTAGAGTTAGAGTTAGATTTAGAGTTAGATTTAGAGTTTAGAGTTAGATTTAGAGTTAGATTTAGAGTTAGATTTAGAGTTAGTAGATTTAGAGTTAGACGGTAGATTTAGAGTTAGAGTAGATTTAGAGTTAGATTTAGAGTTAGAGTAGATTTAGAGTTAGATTTAGAGGTAGATTTAGAGTTACAGTAGATTTAGAGTTAGATTTTGAGGTAGATTTAGAGTTACAGTAAATTTAGATTTAGAGTTAGATTTAGAGTTAAAGTAGATTTAGAGTAGATTTAGAGTAGATTTAGAGTTAGATTTAGAGGTAGATTTAGAGGTAGATTTAGAGTTAGATTTAGAGGTAGAGTTAGATAGAGTTAGAGTTAGATGTAGAGTTAGATGTAGAGTTAGTTAGAGTTAGATTTAGAGTAGATTTAGAGTTAGAGTAGATTTTGAGTTAGATTTAGAGTTAGAGTTAGAGTTAGATTTAGATTTAGAGTTAGATTTAGAGTTAGTTAGATTTAGAGTTAGATTTAGAGTTAGATTTAGAGTTAGATTTAGAGTTAGATTTAGAGTTAGATTTAGAGTTAGATTTAGAGTTAGATTTAGAGTTAGATTTAGAGTTAGATTTAGAGTTAGATTTAGAGATTTAGAGTTAGATTTAGAGTTAGATTTAGAGTAGATTTAGAGTAGATTTAGAGTTAGATTTAGAGAGTAGAGTTAGAGTTAGATTTAGAGTTAGATTTAGAGTTAGATTTAGAGTTAGATTTAGAGTTAGATTTAGAGTTAGATTTAGAGATTTAGAGTTAGAGTTAGATTTAGAGTTAGATTTAGAGTTAGATTTAGAGTTAGAGTAGATTTAGAGTTAGATTTAGAGTTAGAGGTAGATTTAGAGGTAGATTTAGAGGTAGAGTAGATTTAGAGTTAGATTTAGAGTTAGATTTAGAGTTAGATTTAGAGTTAGATTTAGAGTTAGAGGTAGATTTAGAGGTAGAGTAGATTTAGAGTCAGATTTAGAGGTAGAGTAGATTTAGATTTAGAGTTAGATTTAGAGTAGATTTAGAGTTAGAGTAGATTTAGAGTAGATTTAGAGTTAGAGTTAGATTTAGATTTAGAGTTAGAGTAAGAGTAGATTTAGATTTAGAGTTAGATTTAGAGTTAGATTTAGAGTTAATTTGAAATTTTTTTTTAAAAGGTTTGAAGGCACAACATATAGTCTCTATTAGGGCTGGGTATCATTAAGAAGTTGCAGATATGATACATATCTTTATACATAAGCCATGATGATCTTGATACGGTGCTCTTTCGATTCGGTATGATATATTTCAAATCAATTCAATACGATTCAATAAGAAATAAAGGCTAAATCATGGCTGTGATACTAAAAGTCTTTGTTAAACCACGTCTTGTGCAAAGTTTATATGAAACACAAACATTTTAATCCTCAAAACAGTGAAAATGTCAAATGTGTTGCATAAACAAGTTTCCTTTCACTGCAACAAAACTGTAGCGCTGTAACAAAATAATTCAGTAAAATATACCAAACAATACTCTTGGCTCTATATTGATACAGCAGTCTGCGATATCGATACTGTATCATCACATTAAACGACACGATATATTGATATTTTGATATTTTTGCACACCTAGTAACTCTCCAAACACATATATTTAACAAAGAAAGAAACAAACAAACAAAACTGTTAAAATCATTCAATTTTCTAAAAAAGATTTATCAAATTTACCATTTATCATTTACTAAACTACCACTACATGACATCACAAGTTGGAACAGAGCATTTTAAGATTGGGAGATGTAGACAGATTAATAATACAAGATTACTAAAACGTGTAAATGAAACAAAACACGACTCCAGGTCTGTTTTTTGTGAGGTAACAACATTCTAACACGCCTTAAAGCTCACAATAGTTCATTTTGAGGAGTATAGGACCTTTAAGGAGTGAAAATGACTCGAGCGGGAGACAGACGAGACGTGTGGAGGTGGCTTAAGTGAAATGGTGATTGGGGGAGAGAGAGCGCTGGTGTTGGGCGGTAACACTAGACCCTAAGGGAGCCACAAAAGCCCATTCAGACGCTATGGTGCAGTGCAGCAGTCACACGAGCCCTCGACTCCACTCGGGGAGAGAGCAAAACCACTATTAAGACCACAGCGGGGACAAATGTGCACGTTTTAAAAGAGAACAAGTGGAGAGGTTACGTCAGGTAAAGAACTGTGTAATAGAGCCAGACCGATGTGGAGTTATGGGGGCTGATGTTGATGCTGATGTTAAGTGCCTCGGAAACGCTGAAAACCATAAAGCAATCAAGCTAATTTGTCTTTTATTCACTGTACTTATCAGCCCCCACAGTGGAGAATTTTAAGTCTCATCCACTTTCGTCTCTGGTCGGGGTCTTTTATTGCTCTTTTTTATTAGTATTAAAGAAGACATACTGTGCCTGTGCCTGCTGTATAGTTATAATCTATGACACCCGTGGACATTTTAATTCGTCTCATATTACAATAAACACGGCCGCTGACTTCCTCCTGAGAAAACTATGGTGCCCAGTGGGAGCTGACAACGGCGTAAACATCACTACAAAAAGCCATGTAGCTGTTGGCACCTCCTGTGGATCGCATTTGTACCTAAATGACTACGCACTGTGTGTATCCTATGTGCTTATATCATATCATATTCTACAAGTAATTTTACACAAATTGTAAGAAAAAATGCTCCCTTTGGTTGGTATTTAGAGGAGGACTTATGTTTTACCTCAATACATAGGCCACGATACGATACATATCTCGATACAGTGAGCTTTCAATTCGATACGATATATTTCAAATCGATTTGATACGGTTCATTAAAAATTAAAGGCTAAATCATGGCTGTGATCCTGAAAGTCTTTGTCAAACCACTTCTTGTGCAAAGTTCAAATGAAACACAAACATTTTAATCATCAAAACAGTGAAAAAGTCAAATGTGTCGCATAAACAAGTTTTTCTTCCTCTAAACAAGTAGCAAAACTGTAGCTCTGTAACAAAATCATTTAGAAAAATATACCAAAAAATACTCTTTGTGATATATCGATACAGCAGTCCCTAATATCGATGCTGTATCATCATATTAAACAATACCATATATTGATATTTCAATATTTATGCACACCCCTACTTATGTTGTTGGTTTTATTTTGAGGCATACATCTTAACATTTTATTTTCAGTTAAATAATAATCCTACATGTATCTTACGCGTGTACTAGGGGTGTGCAAAATTACTGAAATATTGATATATCGTATTGTTTGATATGATGATAGTATCGATATTTTGGGCAGCTATTTACTGGCATACTAAATGATTTTGTTACACAGCTACAGTTTTGTTGCTTGTTCAGTGGAAGGAAACTTGTTTATGCAGCACATTTGACATTTTCATTGTTTTGATGATTAAAATGGGCATGTTTCATATGAATTTTTCACAAGAAGTGGTTTAACAAAGACTTTTAATATCACAACCATGACTTAAACATATTTTCTCAGAGTAGTCACGTGATGTTGCTGTGATGTGTCCGGTCAGCTGATTTATACAGGTTTTAGTGCTCACGGTAATATAAACGGGGATGAGGGGGCTTTTTTACTCTCACACACTTGGGATACTGTCCTGAGGAAATCGGACTGCAGATGGCGCTGTCGTCCTGCCTCCACCGGTAGAAAGACAGCGCCAAAACCTGTATAAATCAGCTGACCGAACACGTCACAGCAACATCATGTGACCACTCTGAGGAAGACGGCGAGTGAGCAGTCGAAACTGTCAGGCATGAAAAACAAACAAACTCTTGGTCTGAAAAAAGAACCTAAAAACATAAATTATCAAAAGGTCAAATGAACCTCATTGGACTATTTTTTATTGAACCACATTCGATTTGAAATATATCGTACTGAACAGTATAGAATCGAAAGCTCACTGTATCGAGGTATGTATGGTATCGTGTCCTATGCATCAAGGTATGTATCTTTTTGCCAACTTTTTAATGACACCCAGCCATAGTGTGTGCAGTGTGTATTATAAATTAAGAAAATAAAACAGGAGAACAAAGTAAGTACATCACAGTGGGCGTGTACTGGTAGCAGTGATCAAAACAATGACGTCTTGAATACAGGACAATAAAAGATTACCGGTGCTTAACCATGTGTGAATGAAACAAATCACTATTTAAGTTTTGTTTTTGTTTGCACATTGTAACGTGCCTTAACAGTCACATGTCATTTTTTTGTAATATATAAGCTCTTTATTTCTGTATTTCCGATACTAAAAACGTGCTATTATTGTTCCTTATTATATAAATTCTCCAGTTCAGTTGTATCCTGTAAGAGTTCTCAGTTTAATAAAGCCGTCGCTAGTCTGTCGTCTTGCTCTTCTAAATGATCACATGGACTCAAAACTGAAAATGCCAAAGGACAGAAATAAAATGTCATCTCACCAGTTGGACAGGGCCTGAAGAGCTGCGTTCATGTAGCACGTGTTCCCGATGTTTTTCAGACCGGTCAGTCCTGAAAAATATAAAGAAAACATAAAACAGTGTTAAAACAGGAAAGCAGCAATATCAATTCTGTAGAAATAGTTATAGAAAAATGCTCACTATAGTGCACTTTGCTTTGTTAGAGGGAATTATTTTCAGATTGCAGTTTAGATTATGGGCAGGAGATGTACACACTTCATAATTTAAATCATTAATTAAATACATTTATATTGTAATAGTTCTGTCCCAGTCCCACAGTAAGCAGCGGTGAGGGACATTCAACCAATTTGTCAAGAGATACGTAGTGTTTGTGTTTGTTATATAGTTAATCATTACACTTGTGGATCATTATGTTACATCTTAATGAAAGAAACATGTCTGCTGACGTTTGTGCTAGAAAAACCCAATGGGAGTTGACGTCACCGTAAACGTCATCACCACAAATTAGGGCTGCTCGATTATGGAAAAAATAATTATCACAATTATTTTGGTCAATATTGAAATCATGATTATTCAAATGATTATTTTTTAGTTATATGGTGCATTTATTCAGCATTTCTCTCTCTCTCAAAAACCTTAGAGCAGTTTTATGATGTATAAAACATAATATAAATAAAATATACTTTGAACATGAAATAAGACATAGAAAAACATAAATGTATCCAAAATAAACTATATATCCAGCTGTTCTACAATCTCTATATTAAAAAAACAAAATAAATATACTTATTTATATTTAAAAAATCCCAAAATGAACTTTATTAAGATTTTGATTCAACTCAGTTATATGAGTTCGGAAATCGTTTGACACACAAATCGTTTCGATACGGTTCAGTAAAAATAAGTCTAAATCATGGCTGTGATACTAAAAGTTTTTGTTAAAAACCATGTCTTATGCAAAGTTCATATGAAACACAGTCATTTTAATCATCAAAACAGTGAAAATGTCAAATGAGTTGCATAAACAAGTTTCCTTCCTCTGAACAAGCAACAAAACTGTAACGCTGTATAACAAAATAATTTAGTAAAATATACCAAAAAAATACTCGTGGAGATATATATTGATACAGCAGTCTGCGATATTGACACTGTATCATCACATTAAACAATACGATACATTGATATTTTGTATATCAGTAGTTTTATGGGTTTGGAAATAATTTGACACACAAATCGAAATCGAGATCAAAATTCAATTAATTGCACAGCCTTACAACAAAGTGCCGCACATCTGTCAGCATCTCCTATGAAGAGCTGCACATCACACTCGCAAGTAGTGGATTTTTAAGATTTGAACCAGAAATAAAATTAAATTAAATTGGAGAATGAAGTAAGTAAGTCACTCAGTGTGCTGAGATCTGGGCAGTAACGTTACGTCTTGAATACAGGAGAATAAAGATGACTCAAATATGCACGAATCACTCTGAAAACAATTTCGGTGGGTAAATGAGAAGGGGTTACAAGGTTAAAAGCTCTAAAAAGTACAAAAAGGTTTTAGCTGTAATACAGTGAGCACTTTGGTCTAGTCCATAACAGAAATGATCAGGTTCAGCATGTGTGCATTTGTCTTAGATTTCATGGCAAAGTACAAAGCAATCAATAAAGAATCTGGCTCTTGCCCAAGGTCTGGGAGCATGACGGCATCGCGGTCTGAAATTTACCCCTATTTGGTTTTGAATTGTTAATTGCTATGGCGACAGGGCTAATTCGTCATCACCCTGTAACCCGTGGATGTGTTTCATTTAGTTGAGTCAGAACGCAAGACAAAAACTGAAGTTACTTTTTATATAAAGACAAAGACGAACTCTAAATAAAAGGAAGTGCGCGAGGGACTAAAATAACTGGACAGCAGCAGGTGCCGGGTCCATCTCCACATGAGGTTTACTGCGACATATGGAGTCTGCCCGCTTCATCCTGAGCTCTGGTGTTTACAAACGGTTCAGTAGAATAGAGTTAATGAAGATACGCAGCCAAGTCTAGAACACAATATACTGTATCATTTAATTTGATGATACAGTATTGATATCGTGGGCTGCTGTACCAATATATCGCCAATAGTATTTTTAGGTATATTTTTACTAAATTATTTTGTGTAACACCTACAATTGGGTTGACATTTTCACTGTTTTGATGAGTAAAATTGGTGTGTTTCATATTAACTTTGCACAAACTTAGTCAACTCTAAGTATCACACCCATGATTTATAGGGCTGTAACAATAACAGAAATATCGTGATATCGTATCGTCAAAGTTCTCACAATAATATCGTGGACCATCACAATATATCGAATTACAAGTCTCTTTGCTTAAATTAAGAGTTATGGTGCAGCAATAGCTAAAAAAACAGAGGGAACTACATAGACCATGATCCTTTGCTCCATTTCAGTGTAGACGACAAGAAGAAATAACAGTTCTAAGCACTTTAAGAGGACAAAGTTGCATATTAATAGTTTTGTAAGCCTCCACAAAATATCGCAATAAATATCATACCGTGAAATTTATATCGTGAAAATATCGTACAGAGAGATATTGGATATTGTTACATCTCTAATCGTGAGCTTTCCTAAAATATCGCAATAAATATCGTATCGTGAGGTTCATACTGTGACAATATCGTATCGTGAGACTTGGACATTGTTACACCCCTGCTGTTTTAGCCTTTGTTTTTCATGGAACCGTATCGAATCAATTTGAAACGTATCGTATCAAACTGTATTGAATCAAAAGTGCACTGTATCGAAAAACATATCGGCAGCTTCTTAATGATACCCAGCCCTATTTGGGGGTATTGATACTTTGCAGTGACATCATGCTGGGGGTGTTCAACATGTATCTGTATCTGATGCAGTGTTCAGCTGTTACCATGGTGACAATGCACACATTAGCAAATACTGCCCAAAAACTCAAGAAAAAATACATTTTCAAGAGCCTGTGATAAATACATGTCACTGTTTTGATGTTTGATTTTCAACTAAAACGATGATGTAGTTCCGGCTATTTCTTTATGGTCAGACTGTGTTAAAATAAAGCTCATTTTGGTTTCAGACAGAGCAGTGCCTACATTTAGCATCACACTTCCAGAGAACGTTGATGACATCTGCTGCAAAATATCGACCGGCTTATAAACAGAGCAACGGCAGAAGTAACAGAAACGACAAATCCGCGGTTAGTGTTGTAACCAACGAGGCTGGTGCCAGTATTAATGTTCATTTCATGTTAACAAGGTCGAAAAAGAAAAACGTTTGTAGCCTGCAGCAACTAATGGCTCTTGTCTGGATATTTGTTACAATGCACTATGGGTAATGTAATAAACATCAAGATCTGATGGCGAGTTCACTGTTAGCAATTAAAACAACTGTTATTTAATAAACGCATGAGAGATACATTTATAATTATAATAATGCATTAGTCATATATAGTGCTCAGAGTCCATTTTGTGCATTATTCATTGGTGGTAAGATACTATCACAGCCACAACTGCTCTGGGGCAAACTGATGGACGCCAGGCTGCCAATCTGCGCCATCAGCCCCTCCGACCACCACCAAAACACACACGCACCACTTTCAAACTCGACAAAGTGAAGTGAACAACAACAGTTTTTACCGCTGGCGCCCGACCAGCAGTCTCTCGTTCAAGTACTAACCAGGCCCGGCCCCGCTGAGCTTCTAAGATCTGACGAGAGCAATAACATCTCCAAGGAGACAAAGTTAAGGTGCACTCTATCGTCCCCGTAGGGAAATTTGTCCTGCATTTAACCCATCCTTTGCTGCTGCTGCTGCTAGGGCAACATGTCAGGAAAAGTGTTGCTGCAATACAAACAATTTAAACTTGAGTTGGATAGTAAGGAATGGACTTTGTACTCAATAACAATTCTGACACCCTATATTTAGACAGAACATGAAATCATATCACTCTTTTAAATCCTATAAATAAGATCCTCCTCTGATCACTTACAAAGGTCTCCATAACCAGGCCCCTAACCGTCCCTCCCGCCGCCTCCGATCAGCCGAATCTAACCTTACCACTCAGCCTTTGCCATGGCTGCCCCCACCCTCTGGAACTCTCTCCCTCTTCACATCAGAAACTCAGACTCACTAAACACCTTCGAAAAACTGCACAAAACGCACCTTTTCCTCACAGCCCACAGCCCCGACACATGATTGCTCCTCTGTTACTGTCTGTCCTGTCCTCGTTTTAGTGTTACTTTATTGTGAAGCGTCTTTGTGATACCGTGAAAAGCTCTGTATAAAACTGACATATTATTATTATTATTAAATTACCATGTGGAGTTATATCTGTGTAGTCCCTCAGTCATTCAGGTAGGTCCATTGTGACCCAAGGACCACAGTGGGCCTATGTGTTGTTATTGATACTTCGCAGTGTCACCATGTTAGGGAGTGTTCTGCCTGTAGGGTGACATGATGACACATTTGCAAACACTGCCAAAAAGTTTTAAGATCATCTAAATCCATTTTATTATTTCACAGATTTTCAGGAGCCTGTGATCAAATACAGCTGTCCATGATCCTGTTTAGGAGTTTGATTTTCAACAAAAACGTGAGACTAACTGAAAAACTAATTTGTGACATGTCATGTTTAGGGGTGTGCAAAAATATTGAAATACCAATATATCGTATCGTTTAATGTGATGATACAGTATTCATATCATGGGCTACTGTATCGATATATCGCCAAGAGTATTTTTTGGCATGTTTTACAAAATTATTTTGTTACAGCACTAGTTTTGGTGCTTGTTTAATGGAAGGAAACTTATTGCTGTTTATGCAACACATTTTACATTTTCACAGTTTTTGAGGATTAAAATGGGCGTGTTTCATATTAATTTTTCACAAGAAGTGGTTCAACAAAGACTTTTAGTATCACAGCCATGATTTACACATTATTTTTTACTGAACTGTATCAAATCGATTTGAAAAATATCGGATCGAATCATATCGAATCGAAAGCTCACTGTATCGAGATATGTATCGTATCGTGGCCTATGTATGGAAGTATGCATCGTATCGGCAACTTCTTAATGATATCCAGCCCTAGTCATGTCATTAGAGGGGCTGGTTTAGTAGCACAAATCATCTAAACCTATTGTAGTTCCAGCTAAATCAGTTCTTTATGGTCAGATTATGTTAAAATAAAACTCAGATTAAAGTCTAATTTAAGTAACAGAGCTTCAGACAGAGCAGAGCCTACCATTATCATCACAGTCCCAGGGAATATTGATGATATCTGCTGCAAAGTATCAGTAAGGAAAGTTTAATTTCTGTCCTGTGAATGTGACGTTTCTAGTATCGACACCTGCTTTAGTTTCAATACTAGTTTCAGTACCGATTAGTATCTGATTTTCGATTTTTGACTTTCACAACCCTACAGCAGCGTTGATGGCAACCCAGAAACATGCACCGACCTCTCGTCCGCGGGTCCTCTTCCTCTTCTGTCTCCATGCCCAAGTCCTCAGTGCCACCGCTAGAGGGCACTCTCAGGGACGTCGGACTCACGGGGGATCTGCTGTGCTCCTGAACGCACACACACAAACACACAAACACGGGCTTTATCGAAGTTATCTTATCTAATGAGTAACCGTGACCTATGTGATAAACCCTATGGCCAGCGGAGTTTATTTTTGTCTCTTATGTAACTGTACCTGGGCAGCGCTGGGGGCAGAGGTCAGGGCTTTGCTGTTGCCGGTGGGCGAGTTTGGTCCGAGTTTTCGCTCCAAGAAGACTTCCTTGGCGCAGGCGTAGCACCAGACTCGGAGCGTGGTTAGGTTCACGGTCAAGTTGTGTCTCGTGTCCTGAAGAAAACACATTCATGGATTTAATATGGATTTTTGAAGAGAAGTACACAAACATTCATGTCAGCTGACAAAAGAATTTAATGATAAAACATGTGGAGGCACGCACACTGCAGCACGTGGTTTCCTGTTGGTTTTTACAACTGATAATAATAGTATTTTCATTTGGCAACCTCTCATAGATTAAAAAAAACACACTTACTTACACTTACTTTACTCATTTATTTACATATTTTTAGTGTTGGGACTGGCAATATTTGAACATTTCTAGCAACAATGTGTTTTTTTTTGTTCCAGACTAAATAAAATAGTCCAATATAAGCTATTTTCAGATTTATGTTATAATGTTGATTCAAAAACATACTTTGAGTTGTGTTTTGTTTCATTCACACCTGTTTCACGCACAAATCCTGCATATTTAGGTCAAGTTCTTCTCTCAAATTGAAAATACTGTGTCATGTGATAATACAGGAGGTGCTCCACTGTGTTTTTAAACTCCATACACCTTCTCTAGAATCATTTGGATGATTTTTTAGCTCAGGATTTGCCCATTTCTACCAAAAAAAAAAAAGGTAAATGGTAGCTGTTAAGTCGTATTTTGAGCTTTAGAGATGTAGACAGACTAATGACGCATGATAACTCAAACATGTGTGAACAAAACACAACTCCAGGAATGTTTTTGATGAGGCAACAACATTCTAACGTGGTTTAAGCTCACAAGAATCCATGTTGTATAATGTAAGACCTTTAAGCTATGGCATATGACATAAAAAGAATGTTCTCCAAAACCACATGACAGAGGATTGACTATAGGTATTAAAAAGAAAATCTTGTTAATTAAACTTGTATAACTGCTCAGCTCCATTAAGCCAATAATAACAATAATACACTTAAAACAAGACAAAAAAAAGAGCACATAACTAAATGTAAGTACTTTCTGATAGACTGTTCAGTGCTCTGGTTTGGTGACATTTTCTGCCCAGACCAAAAACGTGAGCAGACGATCAGACCAGCCGATGGTGCATTATTCATGAGGTGGCGTGAGTCTTTCCAGCAGCAGCAGAAGGCTTAAGGGACTCAGCCATAGACTTCTCATGTGAATCATTTAACAAGGAAAGTAGCAGGAACATTAAGACCGACCAGTGAAAGGATTTGTGGCGACGTTAGGCACGAGTATAAAAAAACGGGGCTGCAATTTCGGAAAATTTATAATATTTACTGCTTACGATTTCAACTATCGAAACGCTGGGGGTGTTCTACATATTCAGAAGTGGACACAATTATTGGTATCTCTCTGGCAATTAAAGAAAAATCAACAATCATCGCTGAAATAACCTGAAACTGATAAAAGCTGAAATTATGTATCTTGGTATAATTGATATTCTGAATTTAAGAAGATGGGAAGATTATAAAATGTTAAGAATTATGTTGTTGGCTAGTAAAAAAGCGATTACCAGGAGATGGCGAAGTGATCAGAGGCCTAAAATAGAACAGTGGTTTGATATAATATTTAGGATTTATAATATGGAAAAACTCACCGCCTCACTTAGATCGGAAGGTCATGAATTTAAGAAAATTTCGGAAAGGATGGTTACATTATATTAAACAACATAGAACTTTGTGCAGAACCTGTATGAGTGTCTGGATAACAAAGACTGAACTTACACCCCGGTTTAAAGCTACCATGTTTTGTTTTATTTTATTTTATTTATTAATTACCTGTTCTTAAATAAGTTACATAGAAATGAGAAATGTGGAAATGCCTAACTATGGACATTGGACATCCAGATTTGACTCGACAAGTGGTAAATTACTTTGATTGTCCTAATTATCATGTAAATCCACATTGTGAAAAGACAATAAAATACAAATGAAAAAAAAAAAAAAGAAACTGATAAAAGCAAAAATAAATTAAAATTTACAAAAAATTGTCCAACGGAAATCAAACATTGCTTTTCACCTGTGGTTCAACAGAATTATTAGAAAAAACTAAATAAGCAAACGGGCCTGGACAAAAATGATGGTACCCTTGACTTAATATTTTGTTGCACAACCTTTTGAGGCAAACTCTGCAAACAAACGATTTCTGTAACTGTCAGTGAGACTGAATGAATGGTCAACAGGTAAGTTTTTTTTATTTTTATTATTCTATTGAACAAAAATACAAAAACAGTGTCTGATTTCCATTGGTTATTTTTCAGTAAATTTTTATTTATTATTGCTTTTCTCAGTTTCAAGTTAGTTCAGTGACCATTGTTGATTTTTCTTTCATTACCAGAGGGGTCCCAACAATTTTATCCACATCTGTATCTCTACTGACAGAACGTTCAACATTCATCACGGTGACAAAACACACACGAGCAAAAATAGCCAAAAATGTTTTTAAGATAGTCTGAGAACTCAAGAAAAACAAAATGGATTTAAACAACACATTTTCAGGAGGCTATGATCGATACAAAAGTTCAAGGTCTTTTTATGATTTTCAACAAAAAGGGGTGAGAAATAGACTGAAAAAAAATGTTGGCTAATGCTGGATAGCTTTTGAGTACTTTTACTTTTACAGCCAAGTCAGCTCTTTCTGGTGAGATTGTGCAAAAATAAAGGTCAGATTTAGTTTAACTTGAGTAACCGAGCCTCAGGGAATGGTGTTGACATCAGCCACGTTGAAAAAGTAGAATTCTGTTTGTAGAGAGAAGACTGAAATCTGAACTGATAAACTAATAGAAAAGAGAAAGAAATAATAGAAAGAACATGTTTGTAGAGATCTAAATGAGAACTAAAAGACCAGCCAAGGATAGTCACCATAATTACTTCTTAACCTCTTACGATTGATTATCTTATGACGTAAATAGTTTGAATGATCTTGACATTTCCACAGTCAAAGAGTTACCGGGCAAATGATGGAACAGACTTGTGTGATGAAACGTAACGCTCTACGCAGACTTAACCTCCATAAACCTCAATGCCCGAATAAATCATGGCATTTATCATAATCATTCTGGACTTATAAGTTGCTTGTCAGGTTAGAAGAGCAAATATAGATTACAACGATAATGTGTGAAGCAATGTGTTATGAAGGAGGAAGCTGGACCTGTTTTAATGTTTACTTTAGTAGTGTTGTCACGATATTAAAATTTTAAAACCGAACTGTACTCAATACTCAGTACTTATCATCATCTTTATTCTGGACTCATGGTCCATTATTAAACATTACAAAACAATAAACATTTATATTTTTAAAAGACGACCACACCAGTGTCTCCACATGTTGGACTGATATCTTATTGCAGGGGTGTCAAACTCATTTTGGTCCAGGGGCCGTATCCAACCTACTTTGATCCCAAAGGGGCCGGATTAGAAAACTCAAGGCATATAAACCCCAAAAATAAATTCAAATATTTGTGCAGAGAAACACACATCTATTACAGAAATCTTTTTTAATTGATGAACTCTTTCTTTTACAAAATACTATAATATTATGAACAACCTGAAACTTTAAGAAAAATGCAATTTCAACACAATGTTTTAACATTAACTTGTATAAATAGGAATAAGTCAATTTTTCTTGGAAAATCCTGCACTCGGCTCCACTTTTCTCATTTTGGACATTTTGTTGATGAGGGTGTTACGGTCAACAGTCAAAACGATCGTCCTTTAAGAGCGTTTGGAAAGAGACAAGTCTTCATTTGTGCTGCTCTGGTGGGAGGGGCCACGTACAGAGACGCTGGAGATGCTGATATGCTCAGCACCGCAGAAAATTACCAATATTTTTATAGAAAATATAATTAAAATATTTTAGTAGAAAATCAGCCGAGGGCCAGATTAAAGGTCTTGGAGGGCCAGATCTGGCCCCTGGGCCGCATGTTTGACACCTGTGTCTTATTGCATTGAATCTCAAATTTGTGAGTGACATTATTATTTCATCGTCTGATTTGTTCAGTCTGCAGATAAAACTGTACATTAAAATTCTAAGTGCAGCTTGCAAAGTGTTCACTCGTGCAGTAACAAACATCTCAGTTGCACTCGTCCATCGTGGCCTCCTCAAAAGCACCGTAAAGTGTCATTGTTAAGCCACCTGCAGTCTTTGCAAACTGGCTTTTTATAATTAATCCAGAGGTGGGCTGTGTACAACGGTGTACAATATGATTTAACCAAGAACTTTTCATCTTTTGTACAAGAACGAAACTTACGCATAAGAGTATTTGACTGAGTATAGCTGATTTTGCTACCACAATAATAAAAAACACTCTTTATTTGACAACAGGATGTGATGTAGATTCCAAATATGTGTATGCTATATCCTCCTGAGACCTGGCTCATTCATTTGTGCCCTTTATAGTCAACATTGAGTTAACCAGTCGATCTTTTAAGTGTTTTGAGATAGACTCTTAATGGGGGATGAGGTTCCTCTGCATAAAAATGGCTGGAGGGATCGATATATCATATCATTCATTGTGATGATACAGTATCAATATCGTGGGCTGCTGTATCGATATATCCACAAGAGTATTTTTTGGTATATTTCACAAAATTATTTTGTTGCAGGGCTACAGTTTTGTTGCTTGTTTGGTGGAAGGAAACTTTTTAATGCAACACATTTGACATTTTCACTGTTTTGAGGATTAAAATGGATTAAAATGCTTGTGTCTCATATTAACTTTGCACAGTAAATGGTTTAACAAAAACTTTTAGTATCACAGCCATGATTTAGCCTTTTTTTTTTTTTAACCGTATCAAATCAATTTGAAATATATTGTATTGAATTGAAAGTGCACTGTATCGAGATATGTATCGTATTGTGGCCAATGTATTGAAGTATGTATCGTATCGGCAACTTCTTAGTGATACTAAGCCCTACTATCATGTCCTGGATAAGTTGTTTGTGGCTGCAATATGATAAAAAAAGATTACGAAACTAAAAGGAGTCTAAAAACTTTTTGAGGTGACTGTAGAAGCTTGTCAGAGATGTTGGTCATCAAAAAAGCTGTTTTTGTTAGGTTAACTTCACATAGCTTTAACACCAAAATGTCCCTGTCATACATGTTATAAACTTATAAATAGAAATAAAATGAACAAAATCTAAATGCTAAGGTGTTCATTTACCTCCTAAAAGAGAGAAAATTACAAAAAATATATACTGCAATATTTTTCTTCAGGTCCTAGGAGGATATGAACTGTAACTGAGTACCAGTATTAATCCGTAACACATTTTAATACAATAACTTCTATCTTTTCCTGTAAACAAATGATTGCTTCTTCTCATGGTAATCCTCTTTTGCTAACTAAGTAGGCCTATTAGCCATTTCTAAGTGTGAACAGAGCCTGAAATGCTTATCTGCTCCTGAATCCTCCGGAGATCTAATTAATCATGTTTCTTATTCTTGGAGGACGGTTTGAAAATGGCTTCCTTGAAAATAAACAACGGTGACTCCAGGGAGCTGCACTCAGATAACCCGGATATTACATTTTATGGTCTACCAATATCAACAAGTTTATATCCACTAAATCAATAGACAGTAAGGCATGTACTGGTAATTGGCAGGACTTTGGTATGAGTCTAAGCCAATTTCTTGTGATCATTTACAATAGAGTAATAGAGGATAGGCTCCAGCGTTCTCACAGTGATTCAAAACTTCAAACTTGACTTCATTACTGAGGAACAGACTTGAAACGCAATACTCCAAACACTCTTTCTTTAGACAACAGAGTGTGATTTTCAACATTAAATTGTAGTACCGTATTTTTCAGACCATAAGGTGCACTTAAAATTCTTAATTTTCTCAAAAATTGACAGTGCACCATATAATCCGGTGCGCCTTATGTATAAAATCTGGTTGTGTTTATTGACCTCGAACCAATTTTATGTGGTACACGGCGCTCAAATATCTGTCAAACTACGAAGTCGCACCACTTGAGGGATTGTTGGAGCATTACGGCTACTGTAGTAGGAGCCTCACAGAGTAAAGCCCAATTTAAGGTCCTTTAGTCCGATAGAAGTTGACCACATCAGTGCACAAGGAGCGAGCTGTTTTTTTCAGAGCTTACAGTTTATGCAAAATAGCCATGTGGTTTTCAGTTTTGTTTCTGTAAAACGTAAACAAATGTGCACAAAGCTGCATTAAACACCTTATTACTCAAAGCATATTTGCAGTCCTCCTTGTAGAAAATAAAAAATAAACTTAAATTGATCCACCCACATTCACATTAATCCACATTCACCAAGTCAGGGAGGCAACGCCGGGCGAATTATGCCACGATCTACCAAAGGATCGTGGACGCCTGGGTTAAGGGATCAGTTTAAAGTAGGGGTCTCCAACCTTTTTCCTCCTGTGAGCAACTTTTTGTAAAATGAAAATGCAAGAGAGCTACTCATTTTAGTGGTCGGCAGAAATTTTGTAAAGAGCCCTGGTAAGTCGAAAGATGAGGTACAGTTCAATGTCTATAAAATATAACCCTTTATCCAGTTACCAGTGCACAAAATTAAGGCATCAAAATTATACATTTACAAAGGAAATAGGCATTTAATCAATCAAATTTGAGTTATTCGTCACTATATGTATAATTTAGAAATCCCTTGGTGAGGTACTTGGATGGGGGTGGGGAGCTACTGTTGCCTTATAATCCGGTGTGCCTTATAGTCCGAAAAATATGGTACTTTCTTTTATATTACCATGTGACCATATATCTGTGTAAGCCCAGTCTTTCAGGTAGGATTCCATAGTGGTCCATGGGCGTATTCTAGTCTACGTGCTCTTATACTTGTTCTGATACACCTCAAGATCATTCTAAAGTTAGGAAAGGTTCATTTTGGTCTTTAGGTTGTGATTAATATCTGATTTTCGATACTTTTGGCCACCCTATCCGCAGCCGAACTTTCCCACAAATGCGTCTCAATACGTAGGACAAAGCGTTAATAATGCAGAGATTAGAGTACACGTTTTATATCGTCTTTCTTATTATTTACTATGACCTGAAGTGACTCATATCGGTCAAAGTGCACGCCTCGGTAAACACACGACTGCTCAAAGGCTTGTAAAGTGTAACCAAAGAACTAAGCCTGAATCCATGCACTTCCCAAAGCAAAGGGGTTTTAATAATGGATGAACCACTACTGAAACTGTACCAAATAGTGAGATGTAGGCAGACAGCAGTAGAAGCAGCCTGATTTTTAATAATGTACAGTTGAGCTTAAAAGCAAAAAGTAGTACACGTAGCTCTGGGCTTGAGATGAAAACGGTTAAAAATATAACAGCGCGCCTCAAGGGAACAGGGACGTCCTTAAGTGACACTGATTCGGTTTAGCTGGTAAATAGTAGATGCTAGTGTCTCAAAATGTTGTTAAAATTGTTATTGTTGTGCAATTAAACTCTTACTATTTAAACATTCTTATAAGTACTGTATTGGGGAACGAAATTATTAAGTTTTGATCTGAATGATAAGTGTTAAGGTTGTTTAAAATATTGAAAATCAGATACCAGACGTGGGACTAAGTTGTTATTTTGCAAGTCTCAAGTAAGTCTCAAGTCTTTGACCTCAAGTCCAAGTCAAGTCCCAAGCCAAAGACAGGCAAGTCCAAGTCTGGCCCAGAAGTACAAGACAAGTCCAAGTCGTCAAGTCATTTCAAGTCTTTAAACCAAAATACCAAATACAGCTTACATTTTTGCAATTTATATGAATTTTAAACCAAACTGTACTTAAAAAGTCATGGTATATTTATATAAAAGTTATAGAAATGCAAATTTTTCCTTTTTAAATGTCTTGACAAGATCTTAGTGTGAATCATCAAGGTTAGAATAGAAAGTCTTCAGAAGTCACAGGGCTCAATATTAAGTCAAGTCCCAAGTCACTGATCTTCAAGTCCAAGTCGAGTCCCAAGCTTTCGTCTATTTTATCAAATCAAGTCTCAAGTCCTAAAATTACTGACTCAAGTCTGACTCGAGTCCAAAGTCATGACTTGCAAGTCCCCAACTCTGTCAGATACTAATCGATACTAAAACTAGAATCTAAACTAGATATTCATTTGAGCAAGTATTAATAGTATAAAAGTCACATTATAAGGACAGAAATTAATCTTTCCTGAATCGTGAGCTGTATCGAGCAAGTATAAGAGCACATAGACTAGAATACGCCCATGCACCACCATAGATCCTACCTGAACCACTGAGGAATTACAGAGATATAAAACCACATGGGAATATAAAAGAAAGTACTATGATTTAATTTTTAAAATAAAAGTAAAGAATGCTTTTTATTATCATTTTGGTATCAGAATCGGCATTGAGTATCAAGTCTACTCCTTAGCATAGAAATAATATTTGAATTTTATATATTTTAATATGATGACAACACAAGCTCACACAGAGTTTCTCACCTGTGAGTGGACGGTGCTGTGGTCAGAGTGAGACTCTCCGCAGCCCACATACGAGCATCCGTTCTGGGGAAAAGGAAAAAGATGTAGATCATAATGTTACTGAAATTTCAAAGTTTTCAAAAATTCAATTCACAGGAGCAAACACATGAGAGAAGACTGAGATATGAACTGATAATCTAACACAGAACCGCCCCGATTTCAGAACATGTTTGTAAGGATCTGTGTGGTCAGCAGATTTGCTTCAAAATAAAACATTTTGTTGTTTGCAAAGAAAAATATGTTCCCTAAATAACTGCAGTTAGGCCTGTCACAATAAAAAAATGAAGTGAATAGAGACATGAAGTGAATTTACGCCCTGACACAAAAACCCCAAAACAGATGTAAACCACAAAAACATGTACAAGATAGTTACAAAATCATGAGTTGCAATAAAAACACAGCAGAATGAAACACTTTAGTAGTTAGTTTCCATCTGAAATGAGTCATAGAAGTTATTAAAATCAACCTTTTACAACTTCAGTCCAATCACATCACGAAAACATGAACAAGAAAAAGTACCAACTATAAAAAGTGACACAAAAAACAGTTCCATCTATCATATATTGAACGATAAGTCAGTGTCGTATTTATTGCGACAGGCCTGCAGTCTTTGTAATCTGCTGATCGACACTATTCAAATTGTGATTCAGTAAAGTATCGCGCACAAACAAGCCTCACCTCAAGACATGCCCAAAGATTTGGTCCTCCCACTTCACAGTCTTGACACTGGCCCTGGAATGAGGAAAGGAGAAAAGTCAGTCCATTTATACTAATGGTGCTTTGATTGAATATCAAACACGGCAAACAGAAGATTTTTCATTTCAGTTTCATTTGGACTCACGTGAGATTTCTGAATGAGTTCCTCTTTGGTGATCTCCCCCACGCAGTCGAGGTGGGGGCAGTCGGAGCTGGAGCCTGGAGGCATCACTCAACACTGGGCTGTGGAGAAAACAGACATGTTTGGATGTTAAAATCCCATAGTGTTGTTTCAAAATCTTGTATTCTTGGCACAACGAAACAGTCTTTTAAAAAAAATCTGGAAAACATTGCAGATCACGCCCAAAAAATCCTCTAAACAGTGTTTCAGATGCTGGCTTCCAAAACTGACGTCAGACCAATGAAAACTGCGCCTCCCAACCTCCAGAACCAAGCAGATTTAGTTATTTTACAAAAGCAAGTAGTTATTTTCTAAACTTCACTATAACTTGACATACACTACCAGTCAAAACTTTTAGAACACCACACTTTTTCCAGTTTTTTACCGTATACTGTTGACCAAAAAGTATTGTAAACTTTTGATTCATGAAAGTCTCCACCTTTGGCAGATATAACAGCTGAACACACTCGTGGCTCGTTCTTTTTTACAATAGAAATCAAATATTTTTCTGAAAGTTCTTCCCAAATCTGTTGCGGAAGTTCCCATAAATGTGTGGCACTTGTAGGTTGTTTGGCTTTTACTTTTCTGTCCAGTTCATCCCAAAACCAGCTCGATGGGATTTACGTCTGGAGACTGTGCTGGTCACTCCATGTTTTCAAGCTCACCATGGATTTTTTTTTAAATTCAGATTATACATATTGAAACATAAAGACATTATACAAAAAATATACATATACATACATTAAGACCCTCCCCCCATCCTAAAACACACAGTTCACTCAATCTGAATTATGATTTCTACATGTCAAATTCTTCACAATGTGCAAAAATGGGAACCAAATGTCTGTAAAATCCTCAAGTTTTCCTTTAGAAATGCTTCTCCAGTGCCAAATTGCTGGACAATCATTTAATCCACTGGTTTACTTTGGGCCTCTCCATTTCCTTCCATTTGAGAGCAATAACATGTTTGGTCAAGCTCACCATCTTGTTCTTTTTTTCCTGAGGTAGTTTTGGCAGAGCTTGGACTTGTGTTTTGTTATCTTTTATCTTTTTTTTTTTTTAACCTCTGGCTGTTCAGTTCTTATCTTTGTACCATTTCAAGCTCTTCTTTGGACTTGCACAACTTGAATTGCAATAAATAACTGGGAAAATTAGGGTGTTCTGAAACTTTTGACCGGCAGTATACATTTTTTTCTGTATGTACTATGGATTTTAAAAGCTTAATATTGGCCACAACAGCATAGACAAATATCGGATAGGGATGCACCGATTCAGCTCTTTTATTTCCAACAACAATATTAATACTTTTACTTTTACTTTAAGTATTTGCCTACCGATACCCTATATTAACCAATACTATTTCAAATAACCAGACAGCAGTTTTGAATGAATAAAAAATTTAAACATTATGAAACATTTCAGGCCAAAAAGAGTCTTTTTTCATACAAATAAAGGATATCGACTCATGGAACCAATACCCGATCCAACAAAAGTTTCAGTACCAGCGCTGATATCCAACAAAAGTACCGGTAAAAACAAAAACAAACAAAACAAACATATACTGATCATTCCTACAATACAATATATGTGTTTTTAAAAGAACAGCAGTTTCGTTTGGTGTACATTTCTAGTGCACAAACTTATTTTCCACTTCCATCTTCCAAGTCGTATAAGTAATAGTGATAAAATGCAAATGTTCAGAATTCAGACAAGGTCATCTGAGTCACCTGCATAAGAGCAGTTTTGTGTCGCCACAATGACTGACAACGTCCTTTTTTTATGATCTGTTACTCACTCACACACACGCAAACTCTGTCGACAACTCGCCTCCACCAGAACTACTTTAGCTATGACAAGAAGGAAGCGTTTCACGTCTAATTCAATATGAACAGGGCAGACGTTGAATTGGCTTTTTAAAGATGGCCTTAGTACTACAGAGGGGGACTTGGTACAATTAGATTTGCTCCGCGACAGGAATAAAGGAGATTAAGTTGCTATCTGATCAGCGGGGCAAAGAGGCAGAGGGCTCGCAATGACAAAAAGTAGTAGTGGCTTTAACTTCCTATAGAAACTGAGCTTGTTTGAGTCATGATCAGTTTACTAATACCCATGTGTGGTTGGGTTAGGCAATATGGCAAAAATCTATCACGCCTTTTCCCCAAATAAACACTATTTTCCTACAAAGTCTGACCTCTGCTCCAAATTACTTGCCTTTACCAGTGTTTCTATTAATAAAAGAGACTTCAGCGGCCCCCCCATAGTCAAATTTTTGCCCCCATAATCTAAAAATAAGATGAAAAAAATTGGTAGTATTGTCATAAACATAAAGAAGTAACTATATCTAATTTTTATCATTTTTTTGGACTAGTAGAGACTATTTTCAGGTACATAAATGTCCCTTATTACATGAAATAAAATTATTTATACATGGATCGCCTGTGCAACCATTGTCTCTGATTTACTGACAGATTTAGGACATTTCAACTCAAATTTCACGTCTCAAGTTATGTTGTTATACGACTATTCTGCTACTGCAGGTGTTCGTTTTTGGTGTGGACAATATTTTTAAACAAGAGGAGAGGAGTCATCTTATCAGAAGCAATATGTCCAGCATGTGACTACTACAACAAAGTCTGATAAGATACGGATTTAGTCATAGTGGAATTTATAAAATGCATTGCTGTGCAGACACTCCCGCTACATGCCGTTAGAAACATTTCCTTTATCCAATCACTAATATAATAAGAATAATATTATAACAAGGTGAAAGGTTCTGATCTTGTGAGCGTTAAGCCATGTTAGAATGTTGTTACGTCATGAAAAACACACCTCGAGCTGTGTTTTGTTTCATTCATTTCCTAAATCTGCAGGGTTTGTGTGTTAAACGTGTGTGAATGAAACTAAACACAACTCCAGGCATGTTTACGACAAGGAAATATTATAACATAGATCAGAAAATAGAGTAATTTGGGCCCTTTAACACAATCCATAGCCACAATCACAAAGACAAGGCAAGGCAAGTTTGTTTGTATAGCACAATTCGTACACAAAGTAATTCAAAGTGCTTTACAGAATAAGAAATATATTAAACCAAACCCAACAAACCACTTCAGGCCATGTGCACTGGCTATGAGGCTCTGTGTGCACAAAGAGAACGATTCAGAGATGATAAATTAGCAGCAAAGATCTAGTGAAATATATTATATGTGTTAAAAGTCTGTATAGTTCAAATAAAACACGATAAATATGAAAAACTCTACGTAACTTCTGCTCATGTCTGCTTATAATGTCTACTACTGTCAAAAGTACAGAAAATAAGATACTAAATCGATAATATAACTAGTATCAAAACTGGATACTCATTTGAGCAGGTATCGATACTAAAAAAGGCAGATCCACAAGACAGAAACCTTTCCTGAATCGCTTTAGAATGATCTTGAGCTGTATCAGAACAAGTATAAGAGCATATAAACTAGTATAAGACTACATTTAAAACCACATGGGAATATTAAAGGAGTACCACGATGTAATGCTGCAAATCACATTCAGATGTCTTAAGAAATTGTGTTTTTATTATCGTCATGGTATCAGAATCAGTATTGAGTACCAAATGTATTACTTAGTATCGAGTTTGAAATGTTTGTACTACTCTCTGCATATTCATACTTTACTCTTGTTTTTCCCTACATTTTCCTGTTCCTCAATGTTTATCACTTATTTTGTGTTTCCAAATAAAACTCTTGTCTAGTTTGTTGCATATCATTGTTGTCATATCATTGTTGCACTGTCTTCCTATTCCTATATTTTATATTTTATTACTTATTTACTATTTTATTTTGACTTGTACATGAACATTTATATAAATACTCCGTATTTGACACCTGTCTCTTGTTATCTTTTTTACGACTTATTTAGAATCTGTTATTACTAGGACCGGGTATCTTTAAGAAGTTGCCGATTCGATACATTGGCCACTATACGATTTATATCTCAATACAGTGCACTTTCGATTCGATACGATATATTTCAAAACAATTCGATACAGTTCAATAAAAAATAAAGGCTAAATCATGGCTGTGATACTAAAAGTTTTTGTTAAACCACTTCTTGTGCAAAGTTAATATGAAAAAACGCCCATTTTAATCATCAAAACAGTAAAAATGTCAAATGTGTTGCATAAATGAGTTTTATTTCTCTAAAAAAGCAAAAAAACTGTAGCGCTGTAACAAAATAATTTAGTAAAATATACCAAATAATACTTTTGGTGATATATAGATACTGTATCATCACATTAAACGATACGATGTCGATATTTCAGCATTTTTGCACACCCCTAATTAGTACCATTTATATTTTTTACTCTTTTTTACTACTTTGTTATTATTTTATATGATAGTATATTGTGATGTGTGAGCTACTGTGTCCAAATCATTTCCCTTGTGGATCAGTAAAGTTTAAGTCTAAGTCTAAGTCTAGTTTGTGTATTCTAATGTGCTAACAAATGCATTAATAGCACTGACTCTGCAATCCATCTGCATCCTCCTGATAATGTTCCATAGAATCTGACGAAAGACAAGCGTGGTTAAGCAATGAGCCGGAATCCAAAGCCATTAACCAGAGAAACTGCTCCACGATGAGAAAACAGCGCTCCCGGGGATGTGCAAGACTGGATCCGAGAGGCATCGTGTGTGCACACAAAGAGGTGTTGATTCTGGGATTGAGGATTCAGGGTGGGGTCGAGGAAAGGCCAACCCGCCGCACGTGAACCACACAGCGACTTGTGTTTATAACCTCGGCGTGCACTTACAATTAACGTCAAAATAGCGTGAACAATTAGACGCATCACGCATTCATTGTGCATGTTGTAGCGTTGAAATCCAGTCTGCAACATCATGACGTGTTGCGTGCTAGTAGCCGCGTTAATGGCACTGCAAATCGAAAGTAATAATTGCACTATTGACATTTTAATCACGTGCATTTGTTTCTTATTGTGTTTTACAATGGTGAGTGTGCAATAAAAAGCGTGGGTAGCACAGTTGAGCATGGGGATGTGCTTGATCTCTTAGTCAGGGTGAGCTGTCAAAAGCAGGCTAGGCGTTGACAGCGTCATGCACAGTTAGCTCCTGCGCCGATCGTTTTAGCACTAGCCCCGCAGCAAATAATTAACATTTATAACAAAGTTTCATTGTGGATCCAAGCGCAACCCGCAATGTATGTTATAACGCAGCTTTTCCGTGTATATGGCAGCGTTACGTGTTGCAAAAAAGCCAAATAATGAATAATTTATACCGATGCTCATCAGTGGAATGCTAACTAGCCTTTAGCATTCGTAGCATCCCTGCATTAACACCACCACAGGAGGTATTGGCACCAGATATCTCCGGAATGACAACAACGACACGCTCAGTTTTACCTTTATAGTAAGCAGATGCAGTCCTGTTCAAGAAGACACGGTGCGATCCCACGTCCGCGGGTTCAGAGCATCGCAGGAGACATGTTTTTAGTGGAAATGTCTTGAGTTTAAAGTCCGTGCGCCTCCTGCCGCTGCGCTCTGCGTGTTTCCCACAGTTACACAAGGACACGCCTCTTTCCGGTCACATTCATCTCACTTTACTTGGCATTTCTGAAAATAAGACCACAAACTTCATCATTTCACTCCCGGCAAATGAAAAATAAATTATAACAAGATAATTTATTAAGACATTTAACTATCAGTGTTAATGTGTTGTCTGCACCTTTTCATTCATTTCTTGTATGTTTAATGTCATGACTAGGGCTGGGTATCATTAAGAAGTTGCCGATACGATACACACCTCGATACACAGGCCACGATACGATACATATCTCGATACAGTGCACTTTCGATTCGATGTGATATATTTCAAATCGATTCGATATGGTTCAATAAAAAATAAAGGCTAAATCATGGCTGTGACACTAAAAGTCTTTGTTAAACCACTTTTTGTGCAAAGTTCATATGAAACACAAACATTTTAATCATCAAAACAGTAAAAATATCAAATGTGTTGAATAAATGAGTTTCCTTTCACTCCACAAGCAACAAAACTGTAGCTCTGTAACAAAATAATTTAGTAAAACACACCTAAAAATACTTTTGGTGATATATCGATACAGCAGCCCACACTGTTAATCTCTTTTTATACATTATGAATGAAAAAAGAGACATTTGCCATCATACAAGTGTCTTTTAAAAAAATTATTCAGTCATATCTAGTCTATATTTGTGTTTTGGCTTTAAGCTTACATTTTTGCTTTTGTTAAAATATTATTTCTTGCAAATAACTTAATCACTCCTGTTTTTTGTTTTTTTTTTGGTTGTTTTGCAGCACGCTATCACTCAATATTATGCACTAAACCGACAAAAAAAGTTTCTTCAACCAATGTGACATTCATAGACCTGTGTATATCAGTTTATCTTTTACACAGTCTATGGTGATATTATCAAAATTCAAACCTATCTAAAGGGAAGAGTGCGCAGATGACTCTTCTTTCTGCCCCTTTTTCATTCATTTCTTGTATGTTTAATGTCATGACACTGTTAATCTCTTTTAATGCTTTATTAATGAAAAAAATAATAATATTTGCTATTATACAAGTGTCTTTTAACAAAATTATTCAGTCATATCTAGTTTATATTTGTGTTTTGGCTTTAATCTTACATTTTTGCTTTTGTTAAAATATTATTTCTTGTAAATAGCTTAATCACTCTTAGTTTATTTGCAGCACCCTGTCACTCTTTATTATGCACTAAACTGACATAAAAAGTTTCTTCAACTAATGTGACATTCAGAGACCGTATACATCAGCTTATCTTTTATACAGTCTATGGTGACATTATCAAAATTTAAACCTATCTTTTATATTCTACTCATAGCCAACATTTTTTATTTGATTTTTTTAATTTTAATTTTAATTTTATTAATTTTTTTAAATTTATTTATTTATTTTGTACAAATGCAATTTATTTTATAGTTACTTAGTAAATAATATGGAAAGACCTTTTGTTTAGAATGATCACAGTCACTGGTCAAATTGGGAGTTTTCTCTTTTGGTGATGACAGGAAGAAGCCAGAGATGAAGTAAGTAAACCCATCCCAAACGCCATCTAGTGTCCAAATGTACAATTACCAATGTATAATGCAAGCAATAGACTTATTCTGACATCTAGGTTGAGGTTTATATTTCATTTTGTAAAAAAAAAAAAAAAAAAAAAAAAAAAGCATAATACATTATTCAAGAGAATGTGATGGATGGTTATCATAAACTCTTTAGGGGTATAAAATATGATAATTTCCATATGAACTGCATATTTTAGTACTGAATAAAACAGTACAAAATACATTTATTTGTATACATTTTGGGTTTTTATGCTTATATTCATCTGGCAACCACACATTTTTATCATATATATTATCATTTTCTAACGTCTCATTTGAGGATCCTGCATAACTTGCCAATAATATGTATTGTGATAGAAATTTAGATTGTGGAAAGATTTCTCTCAATCTGTCTTGTGTAAATTAATGTGATTTCTACCTGAAACCCAGACCAGTCATTAACATGTGTAAAGGTTCATCAGGCACAACTGTCTCCGCCTTCAGGAAGCCTTTTGTTATCACTGTATGTTAATTTAGCACCAGCCTCTGAAACCAAAGTCACTCTGCATTGATATGTATGTAACTTGTATTTCTGTATAAATACTCAGAGCTCAAATGCTCTGGGGAGGGAGATGGGAAGAGACGGGAGGAGACAGGGGTGGCTGTTGGGCTTTGGCCGAAACAGGCCTAGGCCCTGTCCATATCTGCTGTAACAAGAATAAACCTTGGTCTATATTCCAAAAACTCATCGGGCTTCGCAAATGGATTCATTATTTATCTTCAAGAGATATATAATTTTTGCCATAACAGTATCAAATAGTTTACAAATAATATAAAGCTGTATGGACCTTATACTTTATACATGGACCCTTTATACTGATATTTTTATTGATAATTATGTATGGGCATTTATTCCTGATAAAATAATAAAACAAAACATATTTCAGGCAATGTCATTTCATACCTTGACAGGCTTTTCGAAATCATGTTTACTTTTAAATTTAGACTTAGACAAACTTTGTTGATCCACAAGGGAAATTATTTGGACACAGCAGCTCACACATCACAATATAACAATGATAATAATAACAATGAGTAAAAAATATAAATGGTAATAGTAAATTCTAAATAAGCAGCAAAAAAGATAGCAAGAGACAGGTGTCAAGCAAGGCATAATTATATCAAATTTACAAATATTATATAATGTACAGCTTTATACAGTTTTACTTTTACTATATGGAAATATGATTTGTTTTGGGGGGTTTTTCCCCTTAAATATAGCAAATCTAGAGTGAACTGATTTTCAGAATTCTAAACTGGGACACACCTGGGTTGGGATGGTTGGTATAAATAAAATTGTGAAAATAGTGTTTAACATTTTGCATGTTATGTGTCAGTTTATGATCATTCGCAAACATGAAGTTCTGTATTTTGGCAAAACAAATGACAAACAAAATAACAAATTTATGCTTCTCTTTACTGTTGGCAGGGATCAGATTAGTCAAAAGTTGTGATCGTCCTGTTTTAGTCCTGGTTTAGACCTGATGTAGTCCTGGTTTAGATCAGATTGGTCAAAAATAGGCACTCCTGGGACATTTCTTGTATAAAACTGGGATAAATCACTAGTTTTGTACAAATCTACTGTAACAGGGGCTCAGAACAGACTGTCAACAAATTATAGTCACGTTTCACGCATTGTCACCAAGCTGCCAGCAGAGGACGTAGCAGCTCCGCGAAGGTGTAGCGAAAGTGCTTGGTGAGGGCTTTTATTTTGAAGCGCGTCTCTGTGCGTGTTTTATTTTGAAGGCCGAGCTCTGTGCGTGCCGTGCGTGCTTCTCTGGTCCTTCACTTGAGCGGCGGAGGTCAAAACTGACTGGGAACTCCCACAAAACGGTAAATACTGCTTTTAAACCACAATGCCAGCTCTTTTATTTCAGTCTACTCCCCAAACCCGTTCACTACGATGGGTTTAGATGATTGTAGATTTTTGCATCTGTTTTATAACGCTGTTGTATCCGTTTTGTTATTACACGTGCTAGCTGTTAGCCACTTTCAGCACAATTGTGAAACAAATTTAACCATGTGGTGCCTCCCAGTGCTACAAAAACGGCTTAATTTCCAGATAAATTTGGCTAAATGATAGTCCATGTGTTTTGAGATAAATTGCACGCTTTTTATTTATGTATAAGTGCTATATTGTGTAATAAAGAGTTAATTCAGTCCTATATAAAGAGCAAAACTAAAGCAATTCAGCCAACAAAGCCGGTCTGTTAAGCTCTAAAAATGCAAGCCCTACATTGACCTAATTTGCAAATGTAAATAGTCATGCTGGGACCGTGTCTATTCAGGATATTCACTGGAATGGTCAGATATTGCCAGCTCTAGAGGATTAGTATCAGTAAAAGTTGTTGTATCGTCTTTGTAGGTGAATAAGGTGTGACAAAATACACTAAACATGTATTAATCTTCGTATATTACAATAACCTTATGTTCTCTTGTCAATAATCGTATCATTGTTGCACTGTCTTCCTATGATTATATTTTATTACTTCGTTTTTTTACTTTATTTTGACTTGTGCATATACATTTATATAATTATGCTTTACTTGACACCTATCTCTTGCCATCTTTTTTCTGCTTATTTAGAATTTGTTATTACCATTTACATCTTTTCTCTTTGTTATTATATTATATTATATTATATTATATTGTGATGTGGGAGCTACTGTGCCCAAATCATTTCCCTTGTGGATCAGTAAAGTTGTCAAAGTCTAAGTATTAATCTTCGTACATTATATTGTGAAGCTTTTAAGCTTTCCTCAGACATGGGATCTAACAAACTCTCATTATGACTGACTTGATGATCTGGCTGGTGTGTTCTGTTACTTGACAAACATTTTCAGCATTTCAGTTGTATTGTGTAAAATGTATGCTTTATCCCCTTTTGGTTTCACATCTTAGAAATAGATTTTTCTTAATTAAAGTTTAAGGATGTGACTTTCTGAATGTGGCATGTCATGCATGGAAATAGAAAATTAAAACCACACTTTGGAACATTCTCCCTGCAGATAAATAGTTTTTATGCAACACTGTGGACAATTATAACCCAATGAATAGAGATTAGACTCAGATATCAGGCCAAGTATATTTGGCCAATATATGGGGCGGGTATTTGCACTTTTTGGCGTATTGGCTATCACTTTCAATCTCCAACACAGGCCAATATTTTGTTTTGGCGGTTCAGCTGCCCAAAGAGTACACACAAAGCTTTATTTGAACAGTTTATTAGAATAAGATAATTGCACAGAACACAAAGACTACACTGCTCTCATAAACAAAGAAAACAAAATCTGTCCCACATATCGGTATCAGCAGAATTTATCAGCCATTTATCGGCTATCCGTTGCTCTGAACTCTAAACAATATGCATGATTCATGAAAAATCCCATATCAGTCAAAATTAACAACATTTTCCTTGGAAACAAGCAGGAGGAGGTCCTCTTCCAGGCCAAATCAGTCACTCAGGTTTGTGAAGATGCAATCACAGTAAGGACACAGCTTTTCCGTGAAAATACAACCAAAAAAAAAAACAACTTTATTTAATTTTAGTCTGTTTTGGCCAATAATTATTTCAATGAACTAAAATGATCTGATTCAACAACTAAATACATAGAAGAAGAAAATCAAAGACAAAGAATATTGAAAAACATGCATAATATACATTTCTTAATATGGGTCAGCATTTACATCTGTGTGAGACTGATAAAACATTTTCTCTTCCAGATGTTGAGGTGAAAAGCTCCAGCTCCACACGATGAGGCCAGAGACACTGACCTCGTCACAGCTGTCGGTGAAAACAGCCGCTCTGCGAATGGTCGACCTGCCTCTGACTGTCTATGGCTCACTGACTCAGGTGAGGGAAACTAAATCACAAGAGCTTTCACAATAAGTACTAAATCAGTTTATCATTTCATAAATGCTTGATAAAATAATGCCTTTTGAGGCTCAGTATATTGTCTTGTTTGTCACGTTTTCATTGCACACTCCCTAACATTTGTGCTGTACAATGGGGCTGCTGCGTGATAAGAAAAAGATGCAATATTCAGTAACTGTTATGCACAGTGTGTTAAGTTAGAAACTGGCACAGTCAGAAAAAAAACTTTAAAAAGGGGGTTTGCTGAGATTATTTTGCTGTTTCAAGGCTGTTTCAGTATTATAGTGCTCATGATATTTGCTGTAGCAATATCTTCAGAATTTGTTATCATGACTGTGTATACATCTCTATTTAACTATTTTATATCATCTCTTTAGTTTGGTTGATATGAATTATAATTGTGGAACACCCAGACTGATTTATATATGGAGGCAGTCTAGTTGGGTTGTGGTTCGCAGACTCACCTAACAGGACTCGAGTTCAGGATTGTAAATGGGTGGGGCATGCCTTTCCTGTTTCTAATATGAAAACTTGTTTGTGTGTATTTATTTATATTATTTAAGGTAACTAAGATATTGAAAATTGTATTTTAAATGTGTCTTAACAATTTGTAATAGTATTATTGCATTTGGATTGGTTAACATAATAATTCACTATGACTCTAGTACTAGTATTACTACAATTTACCACTACTACCACTAGTCTTTCTTGACAGACATGGTGGTGTGTACTGTATTCCTTTTTAATTGTTCAAAAGAATGGCACCGCTAAACTGGAAATTCAGTTTCTCAATCCAGAACGTCCACATTTTGGTTCCATTTTTCTAAATTTTTCTGGGCATATTTGTTTTGGCAAGAGAAATTCTGTACAGGTGAACTGGTCAGGATCTATTGTTTAACAGTATCTGACAAAGCTCTCTGAATGAGGGGTGTAATCCCTTAATTGCTTTAAATGCTTAGACTGTTTTTATTAGTAGATAGGTACAGCTCAGCAGATGTGTTGTAGTAAATGTGTTTCAATGCTTCTATGCATATGATGTTGCCCTTTTTTGCACAGTTTCCTTTGTGAAAGTCTGCACAGGTGTGAACTATCAGAAAGACATCAGATTACTACATCAGATATAAATAGCTGTGTTTAGATGCAAACTCAAAATCTGAACATTATCAAATTTTTTGAGTTATCAATCTATTAAAATGTCATGTAAACAGCCAAATAATCTGATTTCCTTGTATTCCTCACCTTGGATTTTGCAGTTTGCCTGTCATTTAAATAATGTTTAAATCCAGAAATCATATTATAATCTGATTTTGGTGTGCATTTCACCACAGCCACTGTTTACAGGGGAGTGCAATAATCTGACAATCCTAGAAATCAGATTATGATCCGATATTTATAACTGAGACTTCAGCAGAATGTAATCCTTATAAAGCATTCATAATCTGCAATGATCACACTATTACTGAATGTGTTCCTCCTACTCCCAGTGCGTGAGTTTATGTAATCCGAATGTCCGGTGTGTTTGGGAATATTCTCTACTTCGAGGAGTTAATCCACTGCAGCGTCACCATGGTTCTATTTATAGTCTGAACGGAACATGGCATTTGAAATGGATTCTGTCAAAGTGTACGTGACAGCAGCCCAATCCCCCAAGGCTTGTGCACCGTTCTACTGTATATATATTTAGATTTACTCATAAACAAATACAAGAATGTCATGTATGTCAGAGCTGTTTGTAGAGCTACAGGGTTAGCACATTTTATACACAAGACCCCATGGGGACCAGATATCTTGTTTTTGGCAGAGGACATTGTGATGGAAATTCATGGTGTAAAGCAAATCTTGTGATCTTATGTTTGTGTAAATGCATTTGATCTGTGTCAGTCAGAGACCCAGAGCACACATTAACATGTGTGAAGACTGAGCAGGAACTGTCCCCGTCCCACAGGAAACTCTGAGTTGTTTTAGTTGTCTTCAAGTGTAAAAGTTTATTGACTCGTGGCTGTGAAACAAAGACTCTGGTTTCATATGTATGTGGCTTTGGAATTCTGGTATAAATACTTTGAGTAAGAATATGGTAAACCTTTTTGTGTTTTATAATTACACAAAATAAATGAATCCGTTCTGTGATTTGCTAATTACAATGGTATGACTATGAAGTGATCTTTCTGCATTTTAGTGAATAATCTTACAATGTTTTCACATTTGTATTGTACTTAAATATTTCTTTAAATATGTTAAGTTAAGGCTGAAGACGTTTTTGTCCAGTTGACTTAATATCATCTAGATCTTATTGATTACAATGAATGTTTTTTAGATTTCTCAAGTTGCACGAATCAATTATTTAAAGGGCCTATATTATGCCATTTTAAAAATCTGTTTAATGTTGTTTCCTCATCACAAACATACATGGAGTTGTGTTTTCTTATTCACACATGCTTCACACATATATTTGGGCTTTTCTCAAACTGAAAACACTCAGTTCCACCTTGTGTTGTCACGTGATAATATAGGAAGCACTTCACTGTGTTTTTAAACTCCACACACTTTCACGAGAATCATTTGAATAATTTCAGCCCTGGGACATGGCTAAACGCTCACGTAAGTTCAATTTGTGTAGTATAGGCTTTCTAAAGGAAAACAGATGCTAAAATTTACTGGAAGGTAGAGCTGCAAATATAAATGCAAATGTGCTGCAATACTCAAGATGTTCTTTTGACTGAAGTGACTGTGAGGTCCCTGGTCACTTCATCATCTTCACCTGTTTGCTATCAGCTTAAAAGCCCTGCCCACACTCTGCAATTATTATATTTTGGAAACAATCAACAAACAATCACTGTGTCTGCCAAAACTGTTAAGGGAACTGTATGTAAGATTTTGATTTTAAATTCTATAAACACCTGATCTCTGTCCCCATATATGAAATCACATAAAACTTTTACTGATAACAAGTGATTTATTCTTAATTACAAAACATGATGGCCAAGCTGTTTATGTTATAATTTATTTAGAATTTTGTTTCTCATGACCATTACTCAGTCAGAAAGCAGAATGAGCCTCACATGAACCTCTCATTTCCATTGCCAATGCTGAAATCCAGTTATTTTAAACCTAAAAAGCCTCTCTGTGATCTGAATGGTCACTACCTAAACCCCAGCACCTGCAGACAGTCATGAGTGAGTGCTAGTGCAGCTTCTGGAGGTTCTGAGCTTTCACATGATGCTTGTCCATATACTGAGACACTGAGAATTAGAAAAACTTGGATGGTTCCTCTCTCTGCAGGTTAAGTCTCTGGCAACACGGGCTCAGTTGTGACTGTAGTTGCTCTCTTATTACTCAATGCTACATACAGTTCCTCTGGGGCATTGCTGGAGGTTTTTGGTCTCATTTACAACATTATTTCCATCTTGAGTGACTGGAAGATGAACTGTGATGACTGCTCACAGACTGTTCACACTCTGCTGCGTACGTGTCCCTCATCACCGTGTTTCACTACAACACGGCGCTCTCAGGTTCCTTGTTTTTAAATAGAGTCTGACCTCTCCCTCACTTGGCTGTGCACAGGTGAGCTTGAGCCCCGGCACTAAGCGTCTGGTGGCGGCTACAGCTTTTGGCGCCGTTTCCCTGCTTTACCTGGCGAGGCGCTTACAGAGAAGGAAGAACAGGAAAAGAAGACCCTCGCCGTCAGCGGAGTGGGACCAGGCCAACTTCGGCGTGTTCGCCAAAGCACAGCAGAACAATGGTAAGGGGTCTGGTTAGCTTTAGCCATTAGATCAGTCAATGATCAACATGTAATGAAAGCTCTGTTACATAATCAAAGTGACACACACACACAACAAAGCTTTTAGTGGATCAAAGCTGCACCAGTGTCCACTGTCCAATGTCCCCATCGCCCCCTCAGCCATTTGTCTCATAACAAAATATTATACCGTATTTCAAACAAATCTGTCACAGTAGCCTACGTCTTTGAATGTTTCCACACAACATGACAAGATTCCACATTTCATTATTTACTTTTCAACCATTTTAATAAAATTGGACAAATATGACATAATACAGTTTAACATGTTAATTTAAGAGGAGCATTTAGATTAAATTAAATCCACTTCACCATTAAAATGTGTATCTGGTGTTTTGATAATAGCATTACTACTGTTCCTAGTGTTTTTTTTTTCAGCTTTGTGATTAAAAAGTTTGTTAAAGTAGGTGTGTCCAGTGGACAATGTTAAGTACTTGGTGACGTCACACATGACTGCCCTGATTACAGCCTGGTGTTTCTGATACAAACACCAGGCTGCAGGGCCGGAGTTTGAAGTGTGGATACCTGTTCGACTGTTCCTTATACCTCCAGACCACATCTCTGCTCCCTCCTCAAGCTGCGCTCAGACTGTGGTATCAAAATCATGCCAAACGCTTCTAGCTGAACACTTGCATTTGAGGACAGACACTTGAAACACGTTGACACGCAGATAATTTCACAGAACCACTCACTTCAGGTACTGACACAGCTCTATTTGAAATGTGGCTGTGGGTGGAGTTTAGGTTAAGTCACCCTTTAAGGCTTTTGAGTGAGGGCCATTGTCGGTTTGGTACTGTGTTCGAGTTTACATTTATTTACAGGGTTCCCATGGTTGTGGAAATCCTGGAAAAGTCATGGAATCTCTTTCATGCAACTACAGCATTCTGTTAAGTTATCATTAGGTTGTTATGATGATTTCTGAAAGTATGCAACTTTTGTGCAAAGAGACGACAATAAATGCACTGACAGTATTTTGAATGTTAAAAAACTATAATACCAAACCAAGGTGAGTAAAAATATTTATCCCTAAAAGTATGCTCAATTCTGCACATGTAGGTGCCGTAAAGTCATGGAAAATTCACTTTAGGTCATGAAAAAGTAATGGAAAAGTTTTGAAATTTTGTCAGTGAAAGCGAGTGGGAACTCTGAATTTAGGAAAAAATTAATACAAATATTATACTGATAAAATGCCCATTAATTACTACATTCAAATTTATTGGTGATTCAAATTCAGTGTGACTTTTCTCCAAATACTGGAGTAAAAGCAGGGGTACATGAAAAAATATGAAAATACCAGAGAGAACCAGAGAGTATTTCACATCGAAAAGTTTGAGAACCCCTCATTTACCATAACATTCATATTACATTTATTTGTTTAAACCTATTCTCTCTCCCTTTGTCTTTTCAGAACCTGCAAATGAACCGGATCTTGCTCTGCCTCTCCACAACGGAAGCTCCACCGGTTTGGTCATAACCACCGAAACCTACAGAAAACTATCAGGATCCCTGCAGAGCCTGGCTTCAGTAAGACTTTCACTATTACATTTCATTCACTTATGTATTATTCAGACAGATTTGACATAATGTACTGTCATTTTGTGTTTACCTTTGTAGGTTAAAAGTATGGCCTCCTCCAGTAGCAGTACCTGTGCCAATAATTCCACGTGTTGGGACCGACCGGAGGACTCAGATGTGGGCAGTGTGCTCAATTTGCCTGTAACAACGCCAGAAAATCTCTATTTAATGGGTAAATTATCTTATTCGTTTTGATACGGCAAGCTGCTGAATTGCTTTTATAGGAAGTTTGCATTTTATTGCATATTCAAAGAGGATCAACTAACTCGTGAAGCTTGATTATTTTTTTTTATAAATATATATTTGTGTGAAATCTCTGTATTATTTCACTACACAGGCATATTGTGACACCATCTGAAAGTGTACTTGTGCATGTTTTGTAGGTATGGATCTGTTTGAGGAGGCGTTGAGGCGGTGGGAAGAAGCTTTGACTTTCAGGAGTAAACAAAGTGACGACGATGACGAAAACTGTGGCTCCATTAAAACTGGAGCTGGAGACGCCATCGCCGAGCAGAGTATGGAGGTACAGCACAGCCACTAAGTGTCTTCAATAACAGTCAATAGTTTGGACACACAGTTTTATTTATGTGTCAATAAATTTAAACATTTTTTAGATTTTAGAATTGTAAAAATAGTCACCCTTTGCTTTGATCACTGCTTTTGCACTCTTGGCATTTCTTGACCCTGACATGACACGGCTCTGAAATGAAGACCATTTCAGGAGCTCATTGAGAGAAAGGATCTCTGTCAACAAAGCAAAGTGTGGCTACTTTGAGGTTTTGAATTAAAAATATCAAAACTATGAGTAATATATAATACGATGGGTTATTGAACTACTGTAATTTCCGGACTATAAGCCGTTAATTTTTTCTCACACATCGATTAAAATAAGTCGTGATGCTAAATGAACATTAGTGAGGGGGATACATCTTACCCTTCTACGTAAATGACGAGAAGAAACATCTCAAACTTCAGTAGCCGGACATCCACTCATACCTGATCGATACAACTAGCCCTTCCACCGGGAGAGTCTGAAATCTGCTGAAATCCTCCAAGACACTGACATGATACAGACAGGACAGCGGCTCTTTCTGCAGGAGACATGCGCAGTAGAGCACAGGGAGATACTGGGGTGATGCGCAGAGGAAAATGCTCGTTTGATTATGTTTTGAACAGTTATTTTGCACTTCATACGCACACCCTCCTTCATGGAAAATACACAAAGAAATGCAGATGATGCGGAAATAGAGCTGGTGCACGTGAGCTCGGCATCAATGAGTCGAAGTCGCTTTCAGAGGCAATAAAAGCAGATGGCCCGAACTTGAAAACGTTCTTGAAGAAATGGACACCTGCATCTTATAGACAATTTTGGCCTATATATGTACAATTTTCAAATTTAGTTAAAATTTAGTTGATGCAGCTTATATTCAGTTGCGCTCAATAGTCTGGAAATTACGGTATTTGTTTCTTTGCTACATAATTCCATATATTTTATAGAATGAGAAGGTGTGTCCAAACCTGACAAATATGGGCAAAATATTCAACACTAGACTGATTGTTGAGAAAACCCCACAGGGATAGTAAAGTTATCTTATACTGAAAGAATTATCTATAGCTTAGCTTCCCTGTTGACTTGGTAGCAGAGGATTTGAATTAGTGCAGGTGAAATGGCATTAAACCTCTTGTCCATGTTTGCAGCAGAGGACCAAGCTGTTGTCTCGACAAATCTTAGGAAAAGTGGGGCACAGGTCACACAGTCTGCTCAGGAATTCACCCCTGAATAGAAACAGCAAACAATCTTTGCTCATGTGAATCCTATCAATGCCTAATCTTACTCTGATAACAGGATCTGAAGGGCTTTTAATGTGTTAGGATATGTTTACATTAGGGCTGCTCGATCATGAAAAAAATTATTATGACGATTATTTTGGTCAATATTGAAATCAGTTATTCAAACGATTATTTTTTATTATACAATGTATTTATTCAGCAATTTTCTCTAAAAAAAACCCCACTTTGTTATTAATAATTTACACAACACTTTCAAATTGAAAATAAATATAGGCTACAAATATATACCTTAGACCAGTTTTGCAATGTATAAAACATAAAATTAATAAAATATACTTTGAACATGAAATAAGGCAGAAAAACATAAATGTATCCAAAATAAACTATATATCCAGCTGAGCTACAATTTATATATTTAAAAATAAAATATTCATACTTATTTATATAAAAAATAAAAACTTTAAATCGTTTCAACTCGATTAAATGAGTTTGGAGATTGTTTGACACACAAGTTGAAATCGCAATAAAAATTTAATGAGTCTTAGTTTATATCATGTAGAAAAGCTTTTGGGATTATATCAAATAATAGTGAAGTTTTTCTATTTTTAAAGGTGAACTGTTTAACTTTTCTCTATGGAGATGGTATTGCTTTGCCTGGAATGTTCCTCAGTATAACAGTAAACTTATCAATCTCGCATTTATTCAATTATATGAAAAAAGCATTACTGTGAGCAAGGTTTCCTCTCCACAGACCTGACCTGTAACTTGCCCTGGAAGCATCACGTGCTTGTCTCCATGCAGACGTGTTTATTGACTTGATTCCACTCTGCCGCTTTTGCCTCTAAATGCAACCAAACCTAAAGTGGAACTTCTGGTTAAGCGGGAATCCCAATTATTTCATTTGAGAATTTGAGAAAAGTTTTGCTGCTAAAATATGAGAAAAAAGTTGATTGCTTTGTGTAAAATGTTCAGTGTGTACCAATAAGTTACTGGGAGGCTTTGAAACGGCTTTGTAGTCCGTATAGAATATATTTGCTGTCAGGAACAACAGCCTCATGCAAAATAATACAATCTGATCACACGAACACGTTTAAATTGTCTTTATGAACTAATTAATTATGCACGTGTACTGTTTTGTTTCAGGACGTCATCAGTGCAGAGTTCATCCACAGACTGAAATCCCTCCTTCAGAGAGCGTACCATTTACAAGAGGAGTTTGAGGGAGTGCTGGGCATGTCCGGGTCCAGCAGCCAAGGTGTGCATTCACTAATATCAAATTTGCACACAGTTTTGTACGATGTTTGTTCTAATAAGACGTTGACTGTGTATTTAGCAGAGAAAATGGCAGAGATGTTGTCCAATGAGGATCTGGAGGACGCGTACCTTCGAGACACTATCAGCGTCGCAGACTCGACAGACTCTTTTGTGTCAGCCGCTGAGGTAAGAGGAAAGAATTATTATTTTGAAGATTTATTTTAAAGTCTATTTCCAAGTAAGGGAATCTTTTTAGAAATAAGAGAAATGTTTTATTCAGCTAAATGTGTTTTTATTGCTAATGAAAAACATGCATTCTTACTGTGCTGCTTGTGTTTGTGAAGTTTTTAGCTACAACTCATTGTTTGTGATGATTAGATGTTCATTAGAAATACAGACAGTCTTTTAATCAGACATTGAGCTAGTTTTAGGGCTGTTTTGTGTGAAATAGACGATTCAGACAGAGCAGTGAAGTGAGAGCGGCTGGAGAGGAGCCTGTCTGTTCTGTGTGTGTTTATGAAGGAGCGACAGTGTCAGTGGAATAACAGGACCAGTACACATGTGAGTGTAGGACTATTACACACATGTGGAGGACCATGTGTGTGTTCTGGACCTGCTCCGCTTCAGACAAATACAGGACGCTTCTTGAGGAAAGACGTTGTTTTGCTTTGCATCTGTGAGAAGTGAGAGTAGGGATGGGCATGTTTAGTCGACTAATCGATAATTGATCATTAAGAATTTCGTCGATTATGTTCATTTCTAATCGACAAACCGAATGTAGGTTTCTGGGCGTAGATATGAAACACTGGAGTTGCGGCCTCAGTCCCACGTTTGGGCTCTGGCACATCCTTGGAGATCACTTTACCTCTCAGTGAATGTGTTTACATGCACATCAGTGTCCCAGTTTCGTCATGGTGCATGTAAACGCTGTAGCCCGGTTACTACAACATAAAGAGCTGCGCTAAACCTGTACACGTACGATCTTTGAAAACATCGTGACACACACACAGAACTGACTCACCTTCAGCATCAACATCCCTCTGTCACAGAAAGAACACGTATATTAAACTGAGTCGTGTCCTTTAGTCTGACAAAAGCTGAACCGCATCAGAACACAAGAGCATTTTTTTTTCTCTTCGATTAGTTTATGCAAATTAACCATGTGGTTTTAAGTTTCGTTTCTACTTGCGCAAATCTGCATTAAACATATTATAATGTCAAACAGACTGATGTGGCTCTATGGTGTTTATATTTTATATGTTGTAAAATTGAGTTTATTTATGCAGATTAGTAATAGTAATAATAATGATGATACTTATTATATAAAAACGTTAATGATTAAACGAAAATCGATCGTTAATTCTCCCGATCGATAAATAAAATTTCATCGAAAGCCCATCCCTAAGTGAGAGAGAGCATGCTGTCCTAACGCAGGGCTGTGTTTAAGGGGATGTTTGTGACACATGAGGCTTAAGTGTGGCTGTATTATAAGTGCACCTGTCAGACCAGTGCACCTGCGTGACCAGTGCGCTGACCTTGTTAGTGTCTGTTCATGAATGTACAGTTTGTGTAGTCGGCGCATGACTTTGTGTAGAGCCGTCTTATGTGACTCGTGGTTTAGTTCAGAGGGATAAATAAGGTGTGGGAATAGGACAAATTTGTGATGAATCAAACAGTCCACCCCAACTCTGCTCACCTACCCATAAAAATCACAACAGGCTACTACTGCATATGGTGTTTGAAGAGCATTAGCTACTATTCCTAGTAATTCTTTGGTAAATCTGCAGCTGTCTGGTCAGATTGTATAAAAATTACCATGTACTGGCTCCAGTGGCTGCTGCGATTTCCAGTAGTTGGTGACATTACAAAAGACTGCCCTGATTACAGCCAGGTGTTTCTTACAAACAAATGCAGATCTTTTCTTTTTTACCTTTTTAATGTAGTTACAAACTCTTTATTTCATGTAAATGGATTAACAATAGAATCCAGGAGAAAACAGAATCTTAGATAATTCTCATCCTGTCGTGACAAACCATGTAAATTCTTGGGTGATCTTCTCATCCTTAATGTACGTCTCAGGGAGTGACTGAAATAGCTGCGAACTTCCTGGAGTTTGTGTGAACTCTGTTGCTTTAGCTGCTCAGTCTCAGAGGGGCCTGGGCTGTTAATCCTATTACCACCAATGCACTTGACCCACAAACGCAGGAATAGGATCTGTTCTCTATCAGCTCTCAAAATGGAGAACTTACTTATATTAGCCAACTAGGGATGGAACTATTCTCAAAAAAAGATCAAATTGTGAGATTCTGGTGTTTTGATCCGATTCCGTGTTGAGTTTGATTCTCACGTGTCGCTCCAGATGCACTGTGCTATCACTTTGGCACAGACAGGAAAAGCCTAAGCCTGGGGTCTTTTCTTAGATACAGAAAGTAAACAGCTTTATAGAGGCGCAGTGCTGCTTTATTCTAACAGAGGCGGTTTTTATCATTCAGTCACTTTTTATTTTAAAGTGATAGACTCAGAATTGACAAAAATATGAACTTTTAAATACTCCAAAACCACTTTTCAGCTTTACCCATGTCAATCAAATAATAGAAACTCTCATTTATTTTTATTATAAGTTATTTATTTCAGTCATCTACAGTAGAAACACAAAATCTTGCTCATCCTAACAAAAGTTTTGAGCATTAATAACAATAACTTTATTTTTTAATTCAGTGTTAATAGTATATTTTGAGTTTTAAGATAAGAAAGAAGTTATCAAAATCAAAGTCCTTATAACTAGCATGTTAACAGTGCACCTGCATAACATCCTGGTTCACCAAGCGTAAAAATACTTCAGATGCAGAGAGAGCACACAGGGGTCTCACTTTGACCACAAGAGCTGCTTTTAAAATAGTTTTACAGCAGTGTAGATATAATATTTCTTTACTGCATTAGAAAAAGTGGTACAGCCAAAACGCAATATTCCGTCGTTAAATGGTACCACACATAAACAGGAAGCTGAAACCATGAATAGTTACGAATTGTACATATTCCACCTCTGAGTCGAGTGTCGGCTGAGTGGAAAACATTGCTCAGTGAAACATGTGAGGCAGTCTCTATTATTAACTCTCTTTACATTCCTGTTTGACATACACCTCTCAGTGCTCTCCTGACCCATATGTTTAAAAGTAGGTCCATAGTTCAGCCCCTATCTCCTCCGCACTGTAAATAACTCCACTAAAGATCTCTAGTATCACGATCAGGTGTCGGCCCTTCAAAATAAAAACAGTTTCATATTGACAGTTTATTACTAATAAAGCCTACACTGGTAAACTTTATTATTCTCAGGCTGTTACTATGATACTGAAATAGGGAATTAATGAATAGTTTAGTCTAGTTTAATGAAGAGTTTGTTATTAAAGAAACTGTATGTAGCCTTACCTTTTAAAGCACTGGCAACTCAGGTTCACTTGTCATTGTAGTATTTTTTAATCTGCAGGTAGAGGACTCATACAAGTGTTTTCGCATTGTCAGTATAAGAACAGGCCGTGTCTTATGTGAAAGCTCAGAACCTTCAGAATTCACTCACTGAGCTGCAGAGATGTTTCAGATCATAGAGGCATTTTAGGTTTAAACTAACAGGATTTCTGCGTTGAAACTGGCAACCCATTTTTCCTTCTGATTGGATAATTGTCTTCAGAACCAAAACTCCAAATTATAGCTGTTGTAATTTTGGGAAATGTGTAGTATTTGAGCTGTAGTGCATTTAATAACATTCATATACACAGAAAATTAATTACCGTATTTTCCGGGCTATTAGACGCACTCTTAAGCCTCCAACCCCATCAAAAAACGACTGTACGCCCCACAATCCAGAGCGCCCTATACACGAATCCACTCGGGTGTCCCAGCACGACTCCAGTAAACTACAAAGCCGCACGCAAACACGCACGGAGCAGACAGCGACCGCGCAACGAAAAACACCCGCAGTCACACTCATCACTCCACGCCGACGAGGAACGGAACGGAGGAACAAATCGAAAAAGCGAGTGCAATGTGCCATTTCTAGACACAACTGAACAACTGAGTCACTGCGAACAAAAAAAAAAAGTTTGAAAATAGACCATTCAATGACGGAAAATACGGTAATAAATTCTCCATTGTCTAAAAACAAGCTGGACTTTAAAACTGAGATGTTTAGCTTTGTGTGGACAAATTAAAAACTGAATGTGCTTAAATTAAAACGATAACACCTGATTTGTCTGATTATTGAAAATACTGAGTGGATATTATGTTGCCCAGTAAAAAAGTAATAACATCGACCTAAATATTTCTAAATTTGACTTTCCTTTGTTCCAGTTGTCCGAACACAGAGAGCTGAGGAGCGTTTTGGGGCATCACCCGTTTTATGAAGAGGCTGCAGTTGGCCGAAGAAGGAAACATCACCTGTAGAGTCCTCAGGTAATTCAGAACACCTTTGATTTTTTTTTTTTTTCAGTCTGTGGTCCTAGTCAATCCTTATGTAGTTTTTACCTCACGAGTGACAGTATCAGGATCTAAATTTGGGTTTAGATTGAGCTAGGGTTGTCTAAAACTATTATTGAAGCTACTCATTTGAGCTAGTACGGATACTTAAAAAAAATTACATTCACAGGACAGAAATGAATCTTTCCTGAATAGATTTAGAGCTGCATCAGAGCAAATATAAGACCACACAGACTAGTATACGCCCATGAACCACGATGGAACCTACCTGGACCACTGAGGGATTACACAGAAATAAGATTGCATGGTAATAGAAAATTGAGCAAATACACTGAATCGAGTTGAAAATTTTAGTATGGTGACTCTAGATTTCGACCTTATAGTTTGTCCTGATTTAGATCCTGTTTACACCAACTTCTACACTGACTACACCAAGTTAATAATAATAATAACAGTACTAATGGGTTCAGTACAGCAGTTGTTTTGAGTAAACTCTATTTCACTTCCTACACCTAAGAAAAAAAAATACTGTTTCCTTCAAAATCATCGACATTCACCCGCTTCTGTAGCCTACAGAATCTACATCATTATATTACTGTCTCTCTGTGTAGTAGAAATATGTCTTTAAATCACTCTAATGCTTTGTATTTGTCTATAGAATTACATTTACTTTTTTTTTTTAATGCCTTTTATTAATATCGATCCTTTTAACCTGTCATCCAGACTATTCCATAGATCTACACCTCTAACTATATACGATTATAGATCTACTTTTGGTTTTTGTCCTGGCCTTATTTTTTTTTTGATATACTCCAGTTCCTCTCTGATTATAACAAGTCTCTCTGGGTATTTAACTGAATAAACAATGGGTTTTTTTGGGGCATAATAATTGGCACAGTTAAGAATTATTACGGCTTTTTTCTGCGATAACTTGAATTGTTTTGTATTTTTTCTCATTTCAGGACAGAGATGTTGGATTGCCTCGGAGACTTGGATTTCCTTGCCAAATTACACTGTGTTCGCCAAGCCTGTGAGGTATGAACAGTGTGTTTAGTGTTTTGAACCAGTGAGCAAGTCGTTATAGGGCATATAGTTAAAGCTTGACCTATTTAATGTATTTTGTTTGTCCCTCTTCAGCTCATTTTGTGTGAGAGGACGACCCGCATGTTTTTGGCTGAAACTGGAAAGAAAATTCTGTCCTCCATCATTGTCAAAGCTCACAAGGTCTGTGCCTCCAAGTCAACACTGCTCTTAAAATAATACATTATATATATATACATTATATAACAATTTCCTTATTTTCTTATTTTTCCAGAGTCCAAAACAGTTTGAAGAAGTTTTTGAGGAACTAATTTCGTTTCTAGAGAACACAGATCACTGGGAGAACACGGAGGTGGAGCTTGCTACACGAGGGGTGAGAAGGATACAAGCTCATTTTACACTATTTACTCATCTATTTTACTGTTATATATGTACCTGGAGTTGTGTTTTGTTTCATTCACACATGTTACACACAAATCCTGCATATTTAGGCTGAGTTCTTCTCTGAAAGGGTTACTTGAACTTGTGAATGAAACACAAAACACAACTCCAGGTACATTTTTGAAGAGGTAACAACATTATAACATGGCTTAAAGCTCACAAGAGTCAATTTTACGTAAGATAGAATCTTTAATTATTTAATTAAAAAAATCTACAAATTATAAAATTAAAGCAACATTGCATAACATTTTGGTGTCGAAATGGAGATAGCTACATTTTATCCACATTAGGGTGTGCAAAAATATTAAAATATCGTTTAATGTGATGATACTGTATCGATATCATGGGCTGCTGTATCGATATCGGCAAGAGTATTTTGTAAATATATTTTATGAAATTATTTGGTTACAGAGCTACAGTTTTGTTGCTTGTTCAGAGGAAGGAAACTCATTTATGCAACACTTTTGACTTTTTCACTGTTTTGATGATTAAGTGTTTGTGTTTCATATGAACTTTGCACAAGAAGTAGGTTAACAAAGACTTTTAGTATCACAGCCATGATTTAGCCTTTATTTTTATTGAACAGTATCGAATCGATTTGAAATGAATTGAATCGTATCAAATCGTATGCTGTCTGTATCGAGAGATGTATCATATCGGCAACTTGTGAATGATACCCAGTCCTAATCCAAAGCAATCAAATTTCTATGACAGTAAGCAAGGAAAAGTTCTGCTGCAAGCCTGTTGCTAGGATACATGTTTTTCAAGGTTTTTTAGTACAATAAAAACATCGATAATGAAACATGCTTTTACTGTAGTATATTTCTGAGGGTTAAAAATGTGAAATCCTCTTCTTTTCATAACTCACTCTATTAAATGAACAGTTATGTCTTATTCTGTCTTTTTAGGTCAGACATTTGAACTTCTACGACATTGTGCTGGATTTTATTCTCATGGATTCATTTGAGGATCTGGAAAATCCACCCATCTCCATTCAAAATGTGATCAACAACAGGTGGCTCAACAGCTCCTTCAAAGAAACGGTGAGGGGAAAATTTAACTAATATATTTTGTAGAAGTAAGTAGACATGAATGTGAACTTATTGTGTAATTACAGGCGGTGGCATCAAGCTGTTGGTCAGTGCTCAAACAAAAAAGGCAACATATGAAGGTAAGAACGAGTTAAATTTGGGTCCTTGGGCAAGACACTTAACAGATCTTGCTTGTATAGGCATGGGCGTGTGTGAGTGGTGTTAGTGCTCACATGGAGCAGATTCACAGCCTTTCTGTATGGAGTTTGCATGTTTCTTCTGGGCGCAGTTTCCTTGCCAAACAAATGCAGAATGGTATCAGTCTTGTCCCCATGCCGCCCATCAAGCCTCGAGCTCAATCAAACATGATCATGCAGTCAGATTATTTTTTTCAGTGACGGATGTGAAAAGAAGAAGCTCACTGGTCACATCATTTACAAATAAAACCAAATTTTTCTCACCTCTGATGCACAGAGTTTATGCTTTACTCATAGGTTCTACAGAAATCTGCAGTATTTTTTAGTCCTTAGTTATTTTTTCCCCCAATATGGCGGACCATGCATGTCTTTTATCGGGCTAATCCAACTGTCAATCATACCCATCTGAAAATGGAGATTTATTGATGACCAGACTCACATCTTCCTAAAGTATTGAAGTGTGTATTCTGGATCTGTTTTCTTCTACCACTAAAACAATAAATACAATTGGCTCTTCCCTTTGGGGCTAGGAGATTATAAGTCTCTAGTGGGCCTTTCTGAGCTAAATAAAGAATAATACATGTGATGTGTGCACACGTTTGAGTGCATGCATATTTGTCTGTGCTGTGGAACATGGTGAAATGATGATTATGGCATTGTAAATGTGTTTCTGTCAGGTTCACGACGGCTTCATCGCTCACTTCTACAGTGTGTGTGAACAGATCAGTCCAGTTTTGGCCTGGGGCTTTCTGGGGCCCAAGAGCTCCCTGCACGACTTCTGCTGCTTCTTCAAGGTCAGTGGAATAATTACCGTATTTTTCAGACTGTAAGGCGCACTTAAAATCCTTTAATGGTCTCAAAAATCAACGGGGCGCCTTATAATCTGGTGTGCCTTATGTGCTTACTGACCTCGAACCCATTTTATGGTACACGGCGCTCAAAAATATGTCAAAATGTTTAGTACGACTTTGGTAAGCTACGAAGTATAGGTCTGCGGGGGAATTTTCAGTGAAGAATTGCCGCGGCCGCAAAGAAGTGTAATTTTCATTCCCGCTCCCTCCCACATCTGCGATATTTTGTCCCACTCCCACCCGCAAATTCTGCAGGATGGGGCCGTTTGCTTTCCTAAGCTCTTTCAAACACGGAGAAGCGGAAAGGAATTGTCTAAAATGTGCGCAAGATTACACCAAATCCGCAAGTTTTGTGCGCCTTATAATCCGAAAAATATAGGTATATAGAATAAATTATATCTATGCAGTGTTTTTACGTTTTTTCCTAGGTCCTATTTTATGTTTTTGTGAACCAATAGATCAGAAAATGGCACAATTTAAGACCTTTAATGAAAACAATTATAATGAATACATCTTGGCTGTAATTTTTAAAGCCACACTAACACTGTATCACTCATACTAAATTAAATATTGTTTATTTTTTTAACAAAGCCTTAGATCAGTTTGTTGTTACATAATTATGGTAAATATCTTGAACATAGCGGCTCACTGTGACGGTAGAAGAAAAGCACTTGATGATAACCTTATATCTGTTGACCCTTTGTGTTATCTATTACATAAGGGTCTAATGTCTTATATGTCTTACTTAAGGGTCTTATGTGGGGATTAGGTCCTTATGTATTGTGACAGACCTACTGTACTCCAATCTAAAAATAGATTGACTGCAGTAACGTTTGAATGTAATTTCCAAACATTTCAAGCATTTACAGGGCATCCCCAGGTTTGACTACTCAAAATTTAAGACTTTTTTAAGACCTTTTAAAGACCACTTAAATGAAAATTAAGACCAACATCGCACCCATTATGCAGGCGAAAAACACCAGATCCAATTTGAATAATCACCAAACAACTACTATATTTAAAACAGGGGTGCTCACACTTTTTCAGCATGTGAGCGACTTATAAAACAACCAACGTCAAAATGATCTACCTACTACAAAGACAAGCAAACTGTGCTGCACTGAAACACTCTGCGTCTCTTTTTTGGACGAGTACTACAACACTGCGATCTACCCACACTACCTTGGCGATAGACTGGTAGATCGTGATCGACGTATTGGCACCACTGATCTAGAATCTAAGAGCCACTGTGGATTAAACCTACACTTCCCCATGATCCATCCAATGTCTTTCTCCACTGTACTGATTGTTTACTCATTGCCATTAGATGCTCATTCACATTACATGATTTCACTTTTTTCTCCTCCCTCCGTTTAACATTGCAGCCTGGTTGAGTGTACAAAAAATACGCTAATGAAATTTAAGACCTTTGTGAAAAAACTCAGAGTTGGACAACATAATTTTAGACCTTTTAAGACCTTAATTTAGAAACATGAAATTTAAGACCTTTTTACGACCCTGCGGCTACCCTGATTTAAAGTGGAACTCAACACTAAATCAACTTTATTTGAAATGTGATTGTGGGCGAAGTTTAGTCCCACTTTACTACTAAAACTGTCTGGTTGTTATCTCTAGGACCAGGTGCGGCACTTCCTGAGGGACATTTTCGACCTGGACAAAGTGCGTTACAGTTCAGTGGACACTTTGGCGGAGGACATCCTGCGTCTCCTGCACAGACGCTCGGAGCTGCTGCTGGCTTACGTGGGCGCAGACTCGCTTCATCTAGACACCTGCAATAACAATGAACTAGAACTGCTCCCCAACGCTCTGTTAGAGGCAAGAGTGCAATAAAAGGCCACGCTGTAGAAGAACGACTTTTAATAGCCTTAATAAAGCATGAACAAAGACCATTCACAATAAACAAATCTTTAAAAAGGTCCTACATGATGCAGAAGTGACTCTTGTGAGCTTTAAGCCACGTTAGAACACACTTACTTCATCAAAAACAGACCTGGAGTTGTGTTTTGTTTAATTTACACGTTTGCGTAATCGTTTATTATTAGTCTGTCTACATCGCCAAAGCTCAAAATGCTCCGTTCCTCCGTAGTTTTGGATTTAACTGCTACGTTTTACCTTTTTATTTTGGTAGAGATTGGGAGTTTTCTTGTTTGAGAGAAGCCTGAATATGCAGGAAACAACTCCAGGTTTGTTTGTGATGAAGAAACAACATTATAACATAGATCAGAAAATGGCCTTTAAGAATTATTCTAGCTTATTAACGGCTATCCTTTCACTTTTTCATCTTAAAAATGTGAAAGACACCACTACTTGCGATCAAAGTAAAGTTAACGACAACAACGTGCTTATATAAGACATTTTACTTGAATACATTGAGCCTGAATCATTCTTGATACAACATTTGTTTATGAATTAAGTCACTGTTCATGCTTTATTAAGGTGTAGTTATTCTAAAGTAACTACTGGGGAGATAAATTATGGCTTTAATTGTAATTATATTTGCAATTCATAGTGCACATTTTAAACTTGAGCATCAGCTTTGAGAGAAGACTGTAACATGAACTGCTGAACTAAAACAAGATTCAGAATATGTCAGGGTTAGCGAGCTGTACATAATGAAACCGCTTAGGAAAAGAGGATAGGACAAGGGAAAAAGCTTAAATCCCTCAAACAACTGTGAAGGTTTGGGATTTGTTCCGACACAATACATTTTAAAGAGGGGGTGTTATGCAGAATTAACTTTTGGAGCTTCCGTGTTATAACGTCATCTAAAACATGCCTGAAGAGGTTTTAGATCTCAGCCATGCATGTTTAGCGACCTATTTGAACTCTGTGATAGAGCTTTGAAGGGGGAGTGGCTCAGCATGGGGAGCAAAGCAAAACGTAAACCTATTAAACATGTTAATACAGCAACATGATAATCTAAATAAGTTTTGTAATTAATACTCCATATAAATAAGTGCCATGCCTCCTCTTTAATATTTACTCCCTCCTCTTATTTACATGATTAAATCCTTTAACTTGAACATAATTCATAGTTCGTGTCCAATTTGTGCTCTATCTGGTTACAAAAATAACATTTCCATTCAAGAGTTTAAAGAGGCACTATGTAAAGACTGTGTTAGGCGAAGGGTTCGAAACCTTTTATTCTCCATTGAGATTTGTTGTTTTTATCTAAAATGCTTCATAATATTAGTGTTGTAGTCAAGACCGCACTAATCGAGACCAAGACCAGTCCGAGACCACAGGGTCCCGAGGCCAGGACAAGATCTCTGAGGGTTGAAACACAGAGACAGGACCGAGACAGGACCGAGACAGGACCGAGACTTTTAAAGGCTGAGACCGAGACAAGACCGAGACTTTTAAAGGCTGAGACCGAGACTTTTAAAGGCTGAGACCGAGACTTTTAAAGGTTGAGACCGAGACTTTTAAAGGCCAAGACCGAGGCTGAGACCGAGACTTTTAAAGGGTGAGACCGAGGCTGAGACTGAGACGAGACCGAGGCTGAGACCGAGACTTTTAAAGGCTGAGACTGAGGCTGAGACTGAGACCGAGACGAGACCGAGAAAAGAGCGACACTTTTAAAGGCTGAGACCGAGACAAGACCGAGACTTTTAAAGGCTGAGACCGAGACAAGACCGAGACCACAGACCATCAAGACCAAATCAAGGTCATCTTTGTAATTTTCGACATTTATTTGTATTTTACAGTTATTTTGGCACATTTATATCAATGTTTTTATAAATCTATCTCCATTTTATCACTCATCAAGTGTCAGATCTCGAGACTTAAACCGAGTCCAAGCGCCTTAAAAACCGAGACAAGACAAAGTCCAAACGTGGTCGAGTCTGAGAAAAGAATGAGTAAAAAAACAGAGACTGGACTCAAGTGCAGTACTCCGACACTACATAATATAGTATAAAATAAGCAATCTTCATGGAGAAAAATATTTTTGGGGCAGTTTTAACCTGTAATTGAATATTATGCAAAATGTAAAATATAAGTTATATATTAGTGATATTATATAAAACATTCTAGACAAAACAACATTTTCATGGCTGACCCTCCACTGGAAAAGTTACATAGTGCATCTTTAAAAGCTTGAGACGCCGTCCAGTTACTGTATATTTTTTTAAAACCTTCAAACTTGTTTTCATATTTTAATGGCTTCGGAGCTGTTGTCAATGTTTACCCCAAAGCTCATCAGCCAAACGTTTTAACAATCTTATTTCATTATTCTATGGGGAAAAATTAAAAGGAATTTTTTTCTGGGAATCAAAAGAAAACCTCTACTGTTCAGCAAAGGTGGGCAGAGTAGAGTAACGTTACTGAAGTAGAAGTAGAAAGTAGTTTCATATGTGAAGGAGCGGTGCAAAAAAACCTGCAGACTTACAACCCAAACTTTTACTCAAGAGTACTGTTACTTCAAACTAAATATTACTCAAGTAGGAGTAAAAGTAGTCAAAATTATACTCAAAAGTAACGTTCCTTCAAAAAAATACTCAAGTAGAAGTAGAAAGTAGTATCATATGTGAAGAAGCGGTGCAAAAAAAGCTGCAGACTTACATCCCAAACTTTTACTTCCACTTGAGTGATATTTAGTTTTAAGTAACAGTACTCTTGAGTAAAAGTACGGTGTCCAACTACTCTGAAAAGTTACTCAAGTACATAAGAGTACTACCCACCTCTGCTGTTCAGACCATAAAACCAATCGAACCACTGTTGAAACGTGGCCTGAATGGCGCATTCGTGAAAATGCAAAGTCTTCCACTATGGAGTAAGAAAACTTTCAGAAATATTTGTGCGCGTAGGATAGTAATCCGTGCACATTTGGCTGTAGTTGAGCATAAAATAAATATTCGTAAACTATCGAACGAGTCCAGGTGTACGTAAATTGCGTTGTGTGTGTTTTATCCATCAGAATACGAATTTGAAAGTTACAACATCAAGAATTAGAATCACAAAATGACAATTTGCGATTACGCTTTCTTCAGAACTAATTCATAGACGCAACCTGGGATCAGTCCTGGTTTAGTCCTGGTTCAGCTCTGGTTTAGTCTTAGTTTAGTCTGGTTCAGCCCTGGTTCAGCCCTGGTTCAGCTTTGGTTTAGTCCTGGTTCAGTCCTGGTTTAGTCTTAGTTTAGTCTGGTTCCTGGTTCAGCCCTGGTTCAGCTTTGGTTTAGTCCTGGTTCAGTCCTGGTTCAACTTTGGTTTAGTCTTAGTTCAGTCCGGGTTCAGCTCTGGTTCAGTCCTGGTTCAGCTTTGGTTTAGTCCTGGTTCAGCCCTGGTTCAGTCTCTGGTTCAGCAGTTTAGTCTGGTTCAGTCCTGGTTCAGCTCTGGTTCAGCCCTGGTTAGTCCTGGTTCAGTCCTGGTTCAGTCCTGGTTCAGTCCTGGTTCAGTCTTAGTTCAGTCTTGGTTCAGTCCTGGTTCAGTCCTGGTTCAGTCTTAGTTCAGTCCTGGTTCAGTCCTGGTTCAGCTCTGGTTCAGCCCTGGTTTAGTCCTGGTTCAGCTCTGGTTCAGTCCTGGTTCAGCTTTGGTTTAGTCCTGGTTCAGTCTTGGTTCAGTCTTAGTTCAGTCCTGGTTCAGTCCTGGTTCAGTCCTGGTTCAGTCTTAGTTCAGTCCTGGTTCAGCTTTGGTTTAGTCCTGGTTCAGTCCTGGTTCAGTCTTAGTTCAGTCCTGGTTCAGTCTTAGTTCAGTCCTGGTTCAGTCGGGTTCAGCTCTGGTTCAGTCCTGGTTCAGTCTTAGTTCAGTCCTGGTTCAGTCCTGGTTCAGTCCTGGTTCAGTCTGGTTCAGTCCAGGTCAGTCCGGGTTCAGCCCTGGTTCAGCCCTGGTTCAGTCTTAGTTCAGTCCGGGTTCAGCTCTGGTTCAGCTCTGGTTCAGTCCGGGTTCAGTCCGGGTTCAGTCCGGGTTCAGTCTTAGTTCAGTCTTAGTTCAGTCTTAGTTCAGTCCTGGTTCAGCTCTGGTTCAGTCCTAGTTCAGTCTTAGTTCAGTTCTGGTTCAGCTCTGGTTCAGCTCTGGTTCAGTCTGAGTTCAGTCTTAGTTCAGTCCGGGTTCAGTCTTAGTTCAGTCTTAGTTCAGTCTTAGTTCAGTCCTGGTTCAGCTCTGGTTCAGTCCTGGTTCAGTCCTAGTTCAGTCCTGGTTCAGCTCTGGTTCAGCTCTGGTTCAGTCCTGGTTCAGTCCTGGTTCAGTCCTGGTTTAGTCCTGGTTCAGCGCAAAAGTCCAGCATCTCGATCGATGTTTCTTCTGCTCAATAAATATGTCTGAGAAGTGATTTTTGACAATAAAGTCGCGTCTGTGAATTCGTTTTCGTACTGAACAAAGCATAATCGTGTATTTTCATTCCGTGATTCTAATTCTTGACGTCGTAACTTTTCAATTCATATTCTGATTAAATAAAACACACACAACACATTTTACGTACGACTGGACTCATTCGAGAGTTTGCGAATATTTATTTTATGCTCAACTACAGCCAAATATGCACAGGAATATTTCTGAAAGCTTTCTTACTCCGTACTTCACTACCATCTTCATCTTAATATTACCGTAGTAACTGCACAATAGTGAAAACAGCAATAGTAAAAGTATAAGTGACTTGAGCTGTATTTATTGCCATTCAAAGTAGTGTATTTATTTTAGTACAAAAGGTGTCGCCGAGTATATTTTTAGATGTAGATTTACTTACGTTCGTTAATGTACAAACAGATATGTATATGAGCAAATGAAATTAACTCAACTTTAGCAATGCAAGATAAAAAAAGTGAAATTGTGCTTATAAAAAGGGAAAGCAGGGATGGAGGGACGTTTAAGTATTACTATTCAGTGTAATAGTTTTTTGTTAATCGTGTATACATGTTATTGCATTATATTATCGCGCTATCAATGCAGGTGGTTTCGAAGATGATGTGGAGGAGAACAAGAGACGGCTGCTACTAAACTGTTGTCGTGATATGATTTGGCGCGGAGTTTGCATGTTCTCCCTGTGTCGAGGTGCTGCTGATCAAAGTCCCACTGATTAAACCTCGACGAGTGGAGTGAAGTTCGGGTTAAACGCGATAAAAAGGCAAATTTCTACTTTAAGGCGAAACAAGCTGCCCATTTTTTCATTTAAGCTCCAAAAATTTAGTTGAAATTTCAATAGTAAGATTTTATTTACTCAAATACTAAACAGGGATGTAACAATAACCAAAATATCGTGATATCGTGTCGTCAAAAGTCTCGCAATAATATCGAATTACAAGTTTCTTTGCTTAAATGAATGGTTTTATAGAAGCAAGAGCTTATAAACATCGGAAACTACATATCCCATGATTCATTTCAGTCCAAACAACATGAAGAAATATGTTTTTTACTTGAATTCTTGGGATTATGACGGAAATAATTCACATCAAAATCTTGTCAAGGTATTTTAAAAGCAAAAAAGTGTCCTATCTACAATTATATTAGCTTCTTTAAAATATCGCAATAAATATCGGTACATCCCTACTAAATACGATAAAAAAACTCCCTCTAATTTTTATTTTGTAAACAATATGTGAATGTGAAGAAATTCAAAGGTCTATATTACGCTATTTTTTTTTTTTTTAAGTGTTAGAATGTTGTATCCTCATCAAAAACATACCTGGAGTTGTTTTGTTTATTCACACATCCTTTATTCCTCTATCAAACTGAAAACACTCTGTGGTAATACAGTAAATGCTCCTCTGTGTTTTTACACCTTCACTAGAAACATTTGCAGCCCTGTTATTGCCAAACTTTTAAACTACAGATATTGTTTTAGCCTTGTTGAAACATCTTTACTTCCTTGTGCGCCAGAAAATATTGGACTTTCTGTGGCAATCTCAACTGAAGAAAAGATAAAATGAAAATAATTGTAGAAATCTTAACAATTTATGGTTATTTTAATGTATTGCAGTAAAGTAGCAGAGCATTTTGAGCTTTCAAGACTAATAATAAAGTGTTACTCAAACGTGTAAATGAAACAAAACAGAACTCCAGGTTTGTTTTTGAAGCGCTAACAGCATTTTATCACGGCTTAAAGCTCACAAGAGTCCACTTTGCGTAATTTTGGACCTTTAAACCAGTTTATATAAGCAGTGGTCTCTTGTCCATAGATCAATTTTCTCTAAATGCCTTACAATCTGTGGCCATGTTTTTGCCTTGTGTAAACGTCTGTAATGAATGTACGTGAAGTGTTGAAGCGGCTTTGTAAAGTGTGTTGACATTCAGTGCTGTCTAACATGGGTTTATAAAGCAATATTTAGTCGGTCATTCAAACACTGAGCGGTAAAAGGGAGAATGGATCGTTTTGTTTTAATGTTACGTGCACTACATTGTTCTCATCTTAAGTGTAATATGCAGGATTTTAAAGTGTATTTTGGATTTTAATTCTTGCATTTTAGTCCATTCTCATTAAAAAAACACTTTATTTTCACTTTTGATTATGCATTTCATAACTTTTTACAGGTATTTATCTAAAATTGCAAGTTGAACATGTAATTGAGTGTTAAAGAAAAGCTTTTTGGTCGTTTCTTTGTCACATGTCCAAGCTGAAATGTAGTTTACTTTCTCTAAATCCAGCCAAAATCCTGCATGTTATAACTTTGATTTTCTCGAGTCAAGGCAATTTATTAAGGCCTGTTGAATTTCTGTTGGGGAAAAATGCATTCTGTCTATGATGTTTTAATTTTGTTAAGCTAATAAATGATTTCAGAGATTCTAAATGTAAGCCTACTTCATTTTGGTGAAACTTTATTAATAAACAGAGAAGTGTATATTGTAATAAGTCAAACACATCACAACTTTTAAGAGCTGAATCTCGGACTGAGCTGCAGATACAAGGTAAACCTGCTCAAATGAAATACTTTTACTGATAATTTGTCGTAATTTATTCATTGCAAAGTTACAATTAGGAGTTTTGGTCTCACTACTGCATTATTAAAGGGCCTATATATGAAAGATAATTAGTTTCATCAGATTTTGAAGTTTAAATGCTGCTGGAACACATTTCATTTTGAGAAAATAACTGAATGTGCAGGGCTTGTGTTTAAACATGTGACTCAAACAAAACTCCAGGAATGTTTTTGATGAGGGAACATAACCTAGATCTAAAAAAATCAGCATTATATAGTATGGAAGATAGTTTGTTTTATCAGATTTTATCATTTTAAATGCCACTGAATTTATCACTTAATTTTTTTATTACGAAAAAACATGCTTGACTTATTTTTATTATGAATTTTATTTGCTGAAATTAAAAAATATATATACTTTTTTTTTTAATCACCTTTTAAATATTCTGCACAAATAATTTCAAGCCCTTAACTTCAACAGTCAAAATTCAGAGTGCAAAATTCGCAGTGGAAAAAAAACTTTTTGCCTTGGCATTTTGGATCTTTGTTGTGAAGTTTTCCACTGTGAATTTTGTTGAACTGTTGAATTTGAGGGCTTTAAAATTTTTCTGCAGAATATTTGAAAAGGTAATTTTTTTTTCATTCTGAATTTGAAACGTATTGAAAAAGTATACTTAAAATTTCAGCAACTCAAATTCAGAATAAAAATAATTCATCTTTTCCCCAGAGGGAAACAATTCAGCAGCATTTAAAATTTTAAAAATCTGATGAAACAAACCATCTTCCATATTAGGCAACACAAATTTTTTTGTATCTAGGTTATATTTCCTCATCAAAAACATACATGGAGTTTTGTTTCACTGATGTTTTAAACACAAACCCTGCATAGTTTTTTCAGACTCGAAACACTGTTCCACCTTGTGATGTCATGTGATCGAGGAAGTGCTCCACTGTGATTTGAAACTCCATACACCTTCACTAGAATAATTTGGATGATCTCAGTCCTGGAATATCCAACGTCTACTCCGCAAAAGGTAAAAAGGAGCTGTTAACGCGATAACTACAGCTTCTAGAAATCATTTTTTGTAATATACCAGGGTGTCCCCAGGTTTGACTACCCCAAATTTATGACTTTTTAAAGACCTTTTTAAGACCACTTAAATGAAAATTAACATCTCACCCATTATGTGAGCAATAAAAACACCAGATTCAATTCTCATGACTATTACTCACTGTTTTAAATAAAAAATACTGTCATTATAAAATCTCATTCAGAACTCATTTATAGTAGTATGCATGGCTTGTAAAATGGCCAAAAAAAAACCCAAAACACATTTATAACAATCTAATAAGACAAACTAAGTACTGTGTGCGCACTCCAAATGATTTCACTTTTTTTTTTTAAACTCCCTCCATTTAACATTGCACTGCAGCCCGGTTGAGTAAACAAAAAAAAAAAAAAAAGTCAAATGAAATTTTAAAGACCTTTGTGACTTTTTAGGAACATGAAATTTAAGACATTTTTAAGACTTTTAAGACCCCACGGCTGCTCTGAATACACAGTACTCCCAAGTCTCCCCTAGACTAATTTAAAAAAAAAAAGATCCATACACATTGAGGCATTTATAACAGTTTATTACAGAACATTTCAAAAACATGTGATTGAATACAGACCACTTTACCCATTACCTCTAATAGGCATGCTCCAAAAGTCAGTCTTCTACCCCTCGAAATCTCTGAAAACACTCATCTCATCGAAAGAGCAAATCACAAATATGTACAATGGAACCACCAGAATAAAACCAAATTGACCTTTTTTTGTATCGAGCAAACCCCCCGTTTCAAAACAAAATCCTGTCCTCACCCAACTTTCTACAGAATTGGTTCAGAAACGAGTCGATTCAAGCATAGAGACAAGGAGCACATTTCTATTATTTCATTTCTATGCAATCATTTCAAGTTCATTTGCTTGTTTCGGTTTTACCTTGTTTTGATGACAGACTTCTTTTGGGAGGGGGAGGGGGGCAAACTACGACTTTCTAGCACCTAATCTCTCCATCCTCCGCCAACGCTGTGAGCGAGAAGTGAAGCCATTTCAATCATTTGCACTTAGTATAATGTTACGGGCAAAAGAATCAAATAAAAATACCAATAGAAATACACATGAGCTAAGGTTCGAACTACCTTGGCATGCATTTCAAATTGTATACAGTCATTGTCAAGGTTTACCAGCAAGAAGATATATTATGTTCAAAAAAATACAAGTTTCAGTGAAAGTTTTGATTTGTTATGTAAAAAAAAACAGCTCATGCATCATTCAAAGCATTTGGGCCTATGATAATAATAATAATGAAGAATTGTATTGCAATTTCTAGACAAGGCGTTATAATTAAGAGAGACACAGGTAAGCTTTTGTGGCATTGTAAAAAATAACATTTGCTTTGCTCATTTTTCCGAGTTCGCTTACCTGCGCTTTTGCGGCAGAACCTAAGAGGCAAGGATCTGGGATGGAAACTGCAAAAATCAACTGGATGCCATCAATAACATGACAGATTCAACAAAAAAAATACCGACAACCTAAAAGAGCAGTGCTTTTTTTTTTTTTTTTTCAAAACATTTCAATCGTGGAGAAGGTCATTTGGGCTTGAGATCCACTAACAAAAGCTGACAACATGTGTAAATATATAAACCTATGCATGCTATACTTTGGGTTAAGAGGCAGTTCAGCTTTGCAAGAACATAAAATTCAACGGCACTTTTCAAACAAAACATTTCATCTTGGAGCAATTCCCACCAACATTCAAAATCTCAATTCAAACTTCATATCATCCAACATAATTCTAAGCAACATATGGGCATGTATTAAGAGAGAAAACTAAGAAACAGGTCAAAAAGTTCAACAATTTTGACACAACTACAGCCAATCCTGGACGTTAATACTTACCCAGGACAAAGGGAAATAGCAATTTGACAAAAATAGATACTTTTGCAAATTGTAAAGCATTGGAAAAGGCAGGTTCTTTCAACATACATCACAGTGGTGTACTTACTCAATGGGAGCGCTCAACTCGGGTGAAGACTGCCCCAACGGCCCTACAGATCTACACAAGCCTTTGCATTGGACAGAACTAACAATCGAAAAAGCAAAAAAAATACGACTTTTGCAGAGTTCAAATATTCAGAAAACATTTGTCAGAACAAATGAAGTCAAGAGACAAAAAGTTCAATGCATTGGATACAGTGGTACTTTTTACCTCACTGTCCTGCAAGGAGGAAAACAGCAAAAAAATATGTACGTATGTAGAGAGCAACTACGATTTAACATTTCATCGACTTTCATTCAACTTTCAGGAAAAAATACAACTTGCTTACCGCTTTTGTCTACACTGCGCTGTGGAGGAGAAGTCTTACAATGCAAAAACAGCCCTCGATTTGCAAGAACCAAGCAATGACAGTATTAAGAAGCCACACGTAGTCATAAATATACTCATATTCTACAAGCTTCTAATACTAAATATCAAGACAATTTGTAAGCGTGAACCATTTTAAATAGTTTTATAGACAGTTGGAGAGACAGGACGGTACAAGTTTCAACATTTAATAATAATAACTTCCCCATTTCAAATTAAAAAAATACAGAAATGCTTTTTGAACCGTGAATATTTCAGATTTAACTTACCGACACAGGTTTTAGTTTTGTTTTATTGCAAAAACACAACAGGTATTTTTAAAACTGAGATGATTTTTACATGGTAAGAAATGACTACAAACATTTTGATACAAGCTGGAATGACCGTAAATGTATAATAGTTTTTACCCCACTAAAAACAAAGGATTTACAAGGAGAAAAAAGCAAAAAAAACAAAAATATAGGACTATATAAAGGACGTTGGCTGGTTCACCTCTGTTAAATAAACCAAGGACCAAGTTAAGATCTTCATCAAGTCGTCAGCATCCACAACAAACAATCACATAGGATTTTGTTTCGACACATTGACGCAAATATGCACTTATGTCCACTTCACATTACTGGCCCTGTGCAGAGGAAATACATAGAAAAAAATACATGGCATGTTAACAGCAGAAACAGAGCGACTCCCAAATTATAAAAGCTGTTTGGGGACAAAAGAATGGTTAGCTCTGAAGATAAGTCACCGCCGACCTGTAAAAACCTGCGGAGGAAGCGGTTAAAGGTACAATGTGGGAGCTGTGGTGCATGCTGGGTAAAGGGGGCGTGGTGGTAGGGGGCAGAGGGCGGGGTCAGGTGTGTGATGGAGGTACCTGAGGGGCTTGTGGAGCTTGGGGGTTGCCCGAGCCGTAGTACGCCGCCTGTTGTCGGTAGTACTCGGCCCACGCGGCGCTATAGTCGGGCTGGCCACCGGGGGCAGCAGCGGGGGCGGCTGCAGCAGCTGCCTGAGGGGCTGCCTGACCTGAGGGACCAAGAGAGAAGAAGGGAGTGTGAGAAGACCGATACCTCACCACAAGTCGGGGTTTTGAGCTTTGGAGATGCAGACAGATTACCGTATTTTTTGGACTATAAGTCACACTTTTTTCATGGTTTGGGTGTTTCCTGCGACTTATACTCTGGTGCGACTTATATATTAAAATTTTCACACCGACAGCCACGAGAGGCTCTAGTCTTGTGTGTCATTATCTGCTACTCCTATTACTCCTGTACCACTGTCACTTCTCTCTACTGCGCATGTCTCCTGCAGAAAGACATAAATGCCCCCAAAAAGAAAATCAGATTTTGCACATTACAAGCTGCAAGTAGTGAAATATGCAGCTGAAAACGGTAATCGAGCAGCAGAAAGAAAGTGTGGAGTGAATGAAAAACTTGTGACAACTGGGAGGATGCAACATGCAACTTTCCTGAAGTCACTGGATGAATGGACAAAGCCTGGACTTCAGTGACACCAAAACCATCCTGTCTGGATTCAGAAAGGCCGGAATAATTCTAACCGGATCTAATGCTGAGTCTGACGACAGCTACACAGAAGAGGAAGTTGTGCTCCGTTTACCTCCGGAGGTCGTGGAGTTGCTCAGTGACGAGGATGAAGAATTCAATCGATTTTTCTTCTCTGTTCTATTGTCTTTACTATAACTTGCCTGTGACTTCTATTTTTTTCTTCATTACGCTTTTCTTGGCTGGTGCAGCATAGTCCAAAAAATACGATAATAATAAAGGATTACTCAAACACGGATGAATTAATTATAACATGGATGAGGTTCACAACAATCCATTTTGTGTAATGTAGGATCTTTAATGTGAGAAGGGGAACGAACCCACCACAGCGAACTCAGTGTGGCAGATCAGAAACCTTCTGGTTTTCTTTTGGGCGGCTGAGTGTGCAGCTCCTCTACAGCAGAGGGCGCCAAGTTAATACAGCCTCCCTTACACAATAGTACATGGACCTATGTGGTCGTTCTATAGACCGTACATGTGGGTGGAAATAGCCAATTCGATAGCTCGCCGCTGTGTGCCAAATAGGAAGTGCTTCAGGAGGCTTTTCCAGCTCCTTCTGACTCTGGCTCCAATTGACTTACATCTTACATCTTGTCCTGCCCTTCTCTCTGCAGTGAGCCTCGTCATTTTGGTCTTAAAATATTCGTATTAACCCGCCTTGCATGATTCTACATTTTTTCTTCGCCATTTTGTCTGTCAAACAAAATCCTATTCATAACAGAACCTGGCTCCTGATTCGCTCCTGTAACTGAACATCGCGAGCCTCATTTGAGTGGCGCTGAACGCTATGGGTCCACTTAGTCCACTTCTTTTTATACAGTCTGTAGGTGGTCCGATATTATTCCTCCCTTACTTTGGTTGTACCGTATTTTACGGACGATTAGGCGCTCTGGATTATAAGACGCACTGTCATTAAATGGTTTATTTTCAAACTTTTTTCACAAATAAACCACACTGGACTTTAAGCGAAACACAACAGTTAGATGGGTCAGTGGGACTTTGTTTGGCCCGTTCACGGTGACTCTGGGCTTTATTCAATTGTGGCGTGTAGGGAGGGTGCTGTCTGGGACCGCTGGATTGGTCGCGATGAATCAATTGTTCAGTTGTGACTCAGATTGGCACATTGGACTCGCTTTTTCGGTTCGTTCCTCTGTTCCGTTCCTCGTCGGTGTGGAGTGATGAGTGTGTCTGTGGGTGCTTTTGCCGTCTGCTCCATGTGTGTTTGCGTGCGCTGCGGCTTTGTAGTTTACTGAAGTCGTGCTGGGACACCCGAGTGGGGCGCTCTGGATTGCGGGGGGCGCGGTCGTTTTGTGATGGGGTTAGAGGCTTAAGAGTGCGGTTAATCGCCCGGAAAATACGGTAATTGTTGATTAGCTGAACATAACGGAACACTACAATGACATTTAGATGAAGAAAACTAGACCATTTTCTCATTTTTCCTAGATTTTGTCAGACATTCTACCGCAAACAGATCCAGCCGGAAGTTGTCATCGCATGTTTCTAAATGTTTTCTCAAACGACGATGTAATAGAGCCAATAGTACACGGACCTATGTAGTGGTCCAATGTTATTCCTCACTTATTTTATCAATCAATCAACCAATCAAACTTTATTTATAAAGCGCTTTTCATACAAAAACGTAACACAAAGTGCTTTACAGTGATTAAAAACAATCCCGCATTTCCATCCACCCACCCACTTATCCAACCCCACACCTGCCCAACTCCACACAACCAAACAACCCAGACACGCACACCCACTCGCACTCGCACTCGCACACCCACACCCACACCCCCTAAGATAGTAAAATACATAAAATCCCCTATAGTAAAATGTGAGGCTGAATACAGGCGAACCAGTTGAGAAAGCACCATCAGAGGAGCCGTCTACATCAGGAGCAGAGAGTCGTCCATCACCACCAAGGAACCACCACAGGGTCCAGGGGAGAGATGAAGCCCAAGCACCAACTCTCCACCAGGAGCCCACAGGACAGAACCCGGCAGCCACAGCCGACCTCCGCTCCCGATGCAGAGGGCTCCTACAGAGGAAACACTGGAAATCCTAAAAAATATGCCTAAAATAAATAAATATACTAAAATGTGTACAATAGAAACAGGTAAAAGTATAAGAATTTAATCAAAAGCTAAGCTAAAAAGGTGGGTCTTGAGCCTGCTCTTAAAAACATGAACGTTCTCTGCAGCCCTGAGCTCCTCCGGCAGGCAGTTCCATAGACGGGGGCCATAATACTGAAAAGACGCCTCCTCTCTGTGAGTGTGTGTCCTGACTTTGGGAATGAGCAGGAGCCTGCTGCCGGAGGAGCGCAGGGTCCGCGAGGGTTCGTAGTATGCATTCTGAGCATCCCAATTATTCACCGCGACAGTAAAGCCAATAAAAACTAGGACACTAATGGGCCCTTAATGATAATGGGACAATATAAAGCTTTCTAATTAGATGCTATTGACTTATTTTGACCTCAAGGGCTCCATGTACAGTATCTGCACCGAGGCGAGAGAGATTTAGCTCAAGTACATGCAGTAAAAATCAGGCACAGGCAATTCAACGCCATTAGAGGTGATTTGAATACAAACCTTGCTTTTTATAGTACTCCTCCCAGGCCTTTGTGTAGTCCTGTGGCGGCTGATTCTGTTGACCTGAGACAAAAAAGGGCATTAGATTCAAACGACAAAACTCGATTCACCTAAACATTGAACATTAACAGGTACAACATGACAGACATAAATTTGGATTATGTACAATTGCACTCAACAGCAGTTCAGCAATGGAGCTCACTGTTTTGGGTGGAATCAATTCAGACATGTATTCTTTTCCTAAACTAACTTTGATCGTGTTAAACCCCGAGAATCTTGTTTGTTTAGTTATGAAAGAGGAGCATCTAAACAGCAGGTGGCGCCAGGGGCTGTTGAGACTGCGTGTTAATACAAAGACATTAAAACTACAGGATATACCCATTTTCTTGTAATATTCCTCCCAGGCCTTGGTGTAATCTGTCTGTCCGCCCTGAGCTGCGCCCTGAGGGTCACCTGTTAAAAAACACTTGTCATTAGTCACTGCTCCACTTTGTCCTCCTCCTCCTCTTCCTCCTCTTCTCCAAGTCTTCAGCTGCAGCCGTGATGGAAAAATACCCCAAAAAACTACCAAGAAACCCAGTCTAAACAGCATGAAGCCAACTCACATACAGGTCTGTGCTAGTCTAATGCCTCCCTGATATCACTGCTACATTAGGTTCTGTCTGTACGGGGCAGAGGGCAGGGTTACCTTGGCCATTGGTTTGGGAGGTGCCTGGAGCTCCGGAGGTGGGCGGGGCCTGAGGCTGCTGTCCGTACTGAGCGTAATACGCCGCCCAGGCCGCAGCGTTGGCGTCGGCCGCTGCTTTATCTGAGACGGGACACAAAGAGGGTTTAAGTGGAGATAAAAAGTGGTTAAAGAGACCATATGACATTTTCTGATCTATGTTATGTGGTTTCCTCCAGTATATTTAGGCTAAATTCTCTCCAACAGAAAACACTCTATTCCAACTTGTGATGTCGTGTGGTGACACAAGACGTGCTGTGTTTTTAAACTCCATACACAGGGTTCCCACTGACAAAATTTCAAAACTTTTCCGTGACCTAAAGTGAATTTTCCATGACGTGTAAAACTGATCAGACTTTTAGGTCTAAATATGAAATGTAAACCCTTTCCACTCACCTTATGGTTTGGTATTAATAGTTTTTTAACATTCAAAATACTGTCAGTGCATTTATAGTAGTCTCTTTTAAACAAAAGGTACATATGTTTGGAAATAATAACAGTCTAACGATAAAAGAACGCTGTAGCTGCATGAAAGAGATACTAAAATTCCATGACTTTTCCACGATTTCCATGACCATGACCACCTTCACTAGAGTCAACTGGAGGATTTCAGCGCTGGAAATGCTACTCTACGAAAAAATTTTGCGATTAAAAACTACTACTTCATGACATGACGGGGCAGAACAGAGCACTTTGAGCTTTGGAGATGTAGACCGACTGATTAAGAATTACAGAAAAATGTTTAAATGAAACAAAACTCCAGGCATAATATTGTTATCTCCTCAAAAACAACACTGCTTAAAGCTCACAAGAGTCAATATTGTGTAATTAAAGACCTTTAATATGGCAATTGTTTGGGAGATATCGCCTTATAATTAGATGAAGTACTTGATATTCTAACTTTGCATAAAAACGACCTTTAAAAAACATCTCTGGTAATCTAATATAAGATGGTTGTGTTTTAAAGTTATATTTGTGCCATACCAAAATTCCATGACTTTTCCAGGATTTCCATGACCGTGGGAACCCTGAATTTATACATTGTGTGGAGCTCAGTTACTATTTTTCCACTTAGATTTGATAAAATCTATATAGACAAATGTTTGAAAGCTTGTATGGGACTAATCATTTATGTGGTAACCCAAGATTTACAAAGATTTTCAGAAAGATTTAAATAAAAGTTAATAAAATGAACTGAAAACAACCCTGTTCTGGACATCAAGTTGCACAAATGTCTAACATGAACATAACCTATCGACATATTGAGGCAGGTCTCAGATTGAATGGGGGTTTGTGTGTTATCCATCAGTCTTCAGCGTGGTGCATGAATTTTCATCATTGACCTTTTTTTCCTCAATAATTTCCCTTTTGGCACATACGGCAGGGTGTCATGGTTTTAAGTAAAATTATAAACTTCACAAAACTAGACAAGATCTTTAATAAAATCTAAAAAGGGCCCATATTATATCTACAGCAATCTAATACAAGATGGTTTTGTTTTAAAGTTATATTTGTGCCATTTAGGGGTTAATTGTGTGGTCTAGTCACATTTTATACTAGACTTGAACCAAAATAACGACATTTGCAGGCACTTTTTAGCACATTTTTGATGCATTGTTACAGTTAAGTCTGAATATAGTTGGAGAGGATGCAAACAAAAAAAGTCAATATTGATACTTTGTAGTGAAATTACACAGGGGGGGTTTGAGGACTCAAGAAAAAAACTGATTTAAACAACACATGTTCATGGTTCTGTTTGCTCTGTCTGAGGCTTTGTTGAACTTAAATCTGAGCCACACCCCAGGGAATGCAAAATATCAATAGCACGCCCAAAATTGCTAGTAAAATGAGTTATAAATGCACTTATAAGGTGCTATGAAACCAGGATGATGAACTCACTTGGATCAGGCTGCCCTTGCTGCCAGTGTGGGTAACCATTGCCCCATCCCTGAGGCTGGTATGGAGCGCCAGGAGGACCACTGATGGGAGAAGAAGAGATTAGATTTGACATTTCATAATTGGATTCTGTTCAAAGTTCATATTTTACACGTGTCCCGAAGAATTGACAAAAAGACTGAAATATGAACTATTAAACAAATACAAGAATCACATTTGAGAACATGTTTGTACAAATCTAAACTACAGGATTAGCAGCTCCCAGCCCACTTCAACTTGAAACTAAAAATAACTGTCTAAAGCTAAAGAAGAGTCACAACTAGGGATGTAACGATATCCAAATCTCACAGTATGATATTATCACAATATGCATCTCATGGTACGATATTTATTACGATATTTTGAAGAGGCTGAGATAATTGTAGATAGGACACTTTTTTGCTTTTAAAATACCTTGACAAGATTTTGGTGTGAATTATTTCTGTCATAATCCCAAGAATTCAAATAAAAAACATCTCTTTATGTTGTCTGCACTGAAATGAATCATGGGATATGTAGTTCCTGATGTTTATAAGCTGTTACTACTATAAAACCATGCATTTAAGCAAAGGAACTTGTGATTCGATATATTGTGACAGTCCACGATATTATTGTGAGACTTTTGACGATACCACGATATTTTGGATTTTGTTACATCCCTAGTCACAAAACTACAGTCCCTCGTGCAGTGCAGTACTCACTGAGGCCCGGGCGGTCCCTGGTTGTATGGTCCAGGGTTGTAGGGTCCCATGGGCGCTCCGGGAGGGCCGGGGGGTCCTGGGGGGCCGTGTGGACCAGGTGGGCCTCCCATGGGATTCACTGGACCCTGGACACGAGAACAAGAAGAGGATAAGTGACTGATAATCTCGATTTATACACAGTAGTTGTAATAGGAGAGCAGTTTTTTGGTCTCAGTAGATTGTGGTTGAGGTTATCGATCAGTCTTCAGTGTGGTGCATGAGTTCTCATCATAGACCAAGTTAAGATGTGGATTTTATAATTTGTATTTGCGGCAATTTTATATTTAATGGCCAAATAACCGCAGCCTTTGTTGTCTTGACTGTACTTTTGTTCAAATACAATACAGACATTGAATGGCTGAATAAAAACAAAATACTCAAGTTGGCGTAATTTCTTGAAGTAACAGTGCTCTCGAGTAAATGTTTTTGTTATTGTGAATAATTTGTGTTTCTTGCACCTCTTTATGTAAGATTTAGTTTCTCATTTTGTGTCCATCCTTTGAAAATACCAGATTTTGTACTTTAATGTTTTGTGCTTCAAATTATAAACCAGATGTTATGTCCTGACAGTTGCGCTTCAAGTTACTCTCACATGAAGAAACATTTTTGGACTAATCTACATTATTAAAACACACTAAACGTAGTGAAATAAGTGTTAAGTTGTTACCCCGATCTTCTCCTCGACCAGCTGCCGGGCGTAGTCGATCTGTTGGGGCGATCCTCGGATGGTGAACAGTTTGACGTTGGGGTCGGAGTTTGGGGGCGGGTTTCTCTGCAGCTCCAGTCTGGCTCCTGACTGTTGGCTGATGCCTTTGATCGTCTCTCCACCTGCACAAAAAGAATTACCAATAAGGTTGATTCATGGTTTGGTCTCGGTCAAATGTGTAATTCTTGAGCTTCAATCTCGGTTTAAATTTTACATTGATGGGGGTTGTTAAGGGCTAAAGGCAAATTAACAACTTGTAGGCTCCAGCTTTGATATTTTGCAGATATAAAGGCAACTAAATAGTAAAAAATTTATAATTAATCATTTACAGGGTTCCGACTTTTTTTCACTGTTAAAATTTCAAAATGACTTGACTTTTTCATGACCTAAAGTGAATTTTCCATGACTTTACAGCACCTATATGTGTAGAATTGATCAGACTTTTAGGGCTAAATATGAAATGTTAACCCTTTCCATTCACCATTCATGGTTTGGGATTATAGTTTTTTTAACATTCAAAATACTGTCAGTGCATTTATTGTTGTCTCTTTTAAACAAAACGGGCATACGTTCAGAAATAATGCCACGACTTTCCCAGGATTTCCATAACCGTGGGAACCCTGAATTTATATATTGTATGGAGCTCACTGATGACTTTTCCACTTAGATTTGATAAAATCTTCATACAAAAAATGTTTGAAAGCTTGTATGGGACTAATCATTTATGTGGTAATCCAAGATTTTCAAAAAGATTTAAATAAAAGTTATTAAAATGGACTGCAAACAACTCTGTTCTGGGCACCAAATTGCAAAAATCTCCAACATGAACATAATCTATAGACATATTGAGGCAGGTCTCAGATTGAATTGTGGATAATGGGTTATACATCAGCCTTCAGCGTGGTGCATGATTTTTCATCATTGACCATTTGCCTCAATCATTTCCCTTATGGCGCACATGGCAGGGTGTCTGGGTTTAAGTAAAATGATAAACTTCCAAAAAAACTAGGCACTCTCCTTAATAAAATCTAAAAAGAGCTCATATTACATTGTTTTCTGACTATGTTATGTTGTTTCCTCATCACAAACGCACTGGAGTTGTGTTTTATAGACAGACTAACATGTCTTAAAGCTCATGAAAGTCAATTCTATATAATTCTGGACCTATATTTTTATGAGACGAGTAGTCCAACCTGCCGTATGCACTTTAAAACGATCTGGCCCACTGTATCCACGCACCTTTGCCGATAATCAGTCCGGTCTTCATGGTTGGTACCGTGAAGCTGAACTCTTGCAGTCCTCCGGGGGGGCCCATGTTCCAGTTGCCCTGCCCCCTCCCTCGGCCCCTGCCCCCGTGTCCCGGTGGTCCTCCCGCCTGGACGCTCCGGAGCAGGTCGGAAATGATCTCTGCCGCGTGTTGGGCCGCGTCGGGTGGGCCCATGATCTGTGCTATTCTGTCGGGGGTGCTGCCATCGTCTGGTCACAAGAGAAATAATAACAATACTTATTAAACAGTCGGCACAGTAGTAAAGAACAGGGTTTGTGTTATTGTAGAAATAGGTCTCAGATCAGATGGGTACGGGTTATCCATCAGTCTTCAGCGTGGTGCATGAGTTATCATCATAGACCCTGTATTCAAAGTCAGTTGCTAAAGGTACAAGTGTTGGCACAATACTAAAATTCAAACTATACTATGGAGTAAACTCAATACAGATTCTGTTGCCTTATATCTGTAATCCCTCAGCGGTCCAGGTAGGTTCCATAGTGGTCCATGGACTAGTCTGTGGTCCTGTACTTGTTCTGATACAGCTCAGTTTAGGTTTTTCAGTTTAAGGTTCATTTCTTTTTTTTTTTTTCTTTTTTTATTATTATTTTCTTTTTTTATTATTTTATTACTATTTACCATTACATTATTATTTACATTTTATTTATTATTTTTATTATTTTCTTTTACTTTATTATTTCTTTATATATATTTTTTGTTTTAAGGTTCATTTATTTTATTATTATATTCTTTTATTTTTTATTATTATTACTATTATTTTTATTTATTATTTTTTTATTATTAATTTTATTTATTTAATTTTTCCCAGTTTAAGGTTAATTTTTTTCAATTTAAGGTTCATTTCTGTCTTCTATTCTCTTGATACATGCTCAGATTTGGCAAAACTGTCTGCAGTACTAACATACCCTTGGACTAACAAGCTAATTTGCAACGCAGCCACTTTAACCATTAACACTTGGTCAATTAAATGGCAGCCAGTTCATTTAATGGTTGTGGAGGGTTTTGCAGGGGACAGTAGTAGTAGTGTTACATGTTGACTGGTTAATACTCTATTTTGGTTATTAAAATTAGTTTAAAAATATTAAGTATCTTAAATCTAAACCAAATTTTAATTTCATGGTGCAACTACATAGATGCCATTGCCTGTACATATACATTTAGTTTAGATCATTTACTATTGACAAATTATCTTAATATGACGCATGTATTTTTGTAGTTTGCCTGTACATTGTTGATACTGACCTGGTTTAAACTGGATCCTAACTCCTGTGTCGTTCTGGATTTTCTTGATCATTTCTCCATTTCTACCGATAACAATTCCAACTGCAAACCGCGGGACAGGGACCTACAGGATGATCAACATTTAGGAAAACTGCAATCTTTCATAATGTACGATATGAAAACACATTGTCCAAAACTCTTACATCTAAACTGTCTCCCCCTCCGCCGCCGCCTCCGCCCCGAGAGCCGTACTCTCCCCTCTGCTCCCTGAAGCCCTGGTCTCTGATCAGCTCCATCACCATTTCTTTGGCTTGCTGCAAATGACAAAAAAAAAAAAGTTAATTAAAAACTATTAAACTATAAACACGTTGACAATGGTAGGTTTCTATAGATGGCAATAAAATAAGTGAAAAATTAAGTCAATTTGGTAACATACATAAAACATGCATATTTAGGGTTGTAGAATTAATCGCAGTTCAATTGAAACAGAAATTTAAGTTTGCAATTAGCTAATAAAATTTTTGAAGCAACTATTTTCTTAATGGAGGAAAAAATGGGTAGCCTTGTTTAGACCTCAAAACTGTATAAAAAAATCAAAAGTGTACAGGATTTATACCGGATTAGTGTGCCTCAACGTCTAAAATGTGATCTGAAGCAAATCCTGGTTTAAAAACTGAACAGACATAGTATTGAGGCAGGTCTCAGATTAGATTGTGGTTCATGTTATCCATCAGTCTTCAGCGTGGTGCATGAATTATCATCATAGACCTCTCTTAATTCACAATTCCGTATTATTCTGCTTAGTGCGTGTCCAGCTGTACCACCATGTGACCACACAATTCACAATGTCCAATACATAAAGTGTATCAACTACAAGGTTTTCGAGCTTTTAAAATATAATTCCAATTCAAAATCAAGGCACAACAGTTTCATGAGGGCTTTGAAGCATTGTGCATTTACCTGGACTTTAAAAGGATCTCCAGAGATCCTAAGCGGTTTGTCTGCGCCTGTGTTCTGGGGACCATCTTGGATCATAACCATTTTGACTCCAGCTCGCTCCTAAGAAAAAAAAAAAAGTTATTAGTGCACGGTATAATTCCATATCTGGACAGGTACAGCTTTAATCCTTGATACTGTAGTGACTGTGTACAGCACTTAGGTCAACTTTGTCGTTTTTAAAAGTGCTTTGTAATTTGTCATATTTTTTGTCAACTACATATCTAAATGTTAACAAAAATTACTTTCAGACATTCAGGGTTCCCACTCTTTCACTGACAAAGTTTCAAAACTTTTCCATGACCTAAAATGATTTTTCCATGACTTTAGGGCACCTTACATGTGTAGAATTGATCAGACTTTTAGGGCTAAATATGAAATGTTAACCCTTTCCTCTCACCTTATGCTTATTACTTATGGTATTATAGTTTTTAACATTCAAAATCCTGTCAGTGCATTTACTGTTGTCTCTTTTAAACAAAAGGCGCATACATTCAGAAATAATCATAATAGCCGAATGATAACAGAACGCTATAGTTACATGAAAGATATATTAAAATTTCACATTTCAATTTCCATGTCTTTTCCAGGATTTCCAAGAACGCAGGACATTGCACGGGCTTTTTACTTTCCCATGTTATTGTTAAACGCCAAACTGTGAAACATTTGAGGCAGAAATGGCAGTTGGCAAACGTTCCTCCACCAGAAAAGTTACACAAGAGTTAAGCAGTGTCAAAGATGCACCAAGAAGTTGAATCAGTATGAGAATATACTTGGGGTGGGCGATACAGCAGTACAGTACAAAAAGATCAAACATGTAACTAATTATTATATTTCCAAGTAAAACACATTGTTATAAATTTTACAAACGTGAAAAGCTTATGTTTGATTGTCACTTTAGCTTAAGATAAATCTGTGGGCCTCGCTATAGGTTTAAAAACTCAGTATCGATATGGGCAAAAATCTTATTGAACACAGCAGCATGCCCAACACTGGATATCAGCTCAAACAAAACAAAAAAACACATTTCATATCAGCCCATCCCAACAATAAACACTAGCAGATCAATAAAAGACAGAATAAAGAACAAAATCCCTGCTCCCCACTGACCTGTAAGCTCTTGATGGTCTCCCCTCCTTTTCCGATCACGAGTCCAGCTTTAGACGCAGGGACCATAATCTCCTGCACGGACATGCCTGGACCGCCATCGTTATGGTGAAAGGACGGAGTGGGGCGACCCTTTTCTACGATCTCCTGTAGCAACCGCTTAGCTGCTCTGAAAGAGGAAAAAGGGAAGTGGGTTAATACGCAGCCATTTGGTGATTTCTGTAGAACTGAGATACAAAACAACACCGTTTTCTGTTCAATGTTATGTCTGTAATGTGTTGTGTCAATGTCCCTGGGCAGGTAACACAAAACAGATGGAAACTGGCATATTTACACAAACAAATCCTCATTAATTTGCACTGCCCCTATCAAACAAAAATAAACATGAGTGTAAATAGAGATAATAGTGGAAGGTTTGGGTTTAGGTGAAGCTTGGGTACAGTTTAGCAAGGCACTTCTCTCACCAGGCCAGTTTTTGGATCTGCATTTTGGAAATATATTCAGTTAGATTATGTGATTGTAGTAATGTACGAGTACCGTATTTTTCGGACTAAGTCGCACCTTTTTTCATGGTTTGGGTGGTCCTGCGACATGTATTAAAATGTTCACACTGACAGGGCGCTCTAGGTTTGTGTGTCAGTATCTGCTACTCCTGTTACTTCACCCTTTACTGCGCATGTCTCTTGCAGAAAGAGCCTCTGTCCTGTCTGTATCATGTCAGTCGATCGCACCATTACTTCTGTACCACTACATATTTCAAATTTAAAACAAACTTATAAAAACAACTGAGAAGACTGAACACAAATACCCCCAAAAAGTGGAACTGATGCAGAGTCTGACGACAACTACTTAGAAGAGGAAGCTGCACTCCGTTTACCTCTGGAGGTCGTGGAGTTGCTCAGAAGTGACAGGATGAAGAATTCAATGGATTTAGGTGATTTGGAGTGAGATGGAGAGCTTGTTAAACTTGTTCTGTTGTTTACGCTATAGTTATCTGAAGAACTGTTCATATGAGATGTTAACAGTCTGTTGGTGTTACTGTAGCTTGTTATTTCAAGATGAAATGTCAGTTCCTGGTCTCAGATTTTATAAAATAAATTTACCCCAAAAACTGTGACTTATACTCTGGAGCATATAGCCTGAAAAATGCATTAATCCTCTTTGCCGGTTTCCCTCCAGGGCAGCTATGACCACAGAGACATGGCAGCCATTTTGCACATTCAATCAGAAAGTGGGTCATCTCATTTCAAGCATGTTTCATAAAGTAGTCACAGAAGCGGGCAGGAGCCAGTTCTTCCTATCGATACACTGCACTTTCACTGGTAATTTTCACGTCACTTTCAAAGGTAAATTCACAAATATGGAACATGATTATTTCTTCCAGTAATTAAACCAATGTTACTTGTAGCTGTCCCTACCTGTAATAAAAAGTATTGGCATATGGAATGTTATATCATCTGAAAAAACAATAAATAATGTAACAAAATAAGGACAGAGTTTATTTCTTACTGGATAGAGTCTGGGGATCCTGTTAACGTCACTGACCTCTCTGGCATCCCCCCACTGTCTATAAAACACATAAAAACACAATTTAATGAACGCAAATACATAAAACTAAATATTATTACACAATAGCTATGCAACAAATGATGACCTACCAGGAGCTATCTGTATTTTACAACCGGACTCTTGCTGTATCCGTGAAATCTGTTCTCCTCCTCTTCCGATAACTGTAAATGTGAAAGTGTGTTAGTTCTGAATACAAGGATTTCAAAATAAAATGCTTTCTTTAGGTGCAAACTTACTGAAGCCAACCATCCCATCTGGAACTTTGATTTCTTCATTTGTCGCCCTGAAAGGAAAGGAACGAAAAATGGTTTAGTTAAAATTGGACACGGCCATTTCTTACACTATTGGTTGAAGAGATGTCAGATTTGTCTTTTTCTAACTTTTTATACAATCCACGTACCAAATAACTGAACTAGGGCTTCAGTCGACTATGATTTTTTTTTCCATTTTTGTTTTGTTCCAACATTCGAATAAAATTAAACATTTTAATCTTAGTCAACTAAAGACATGTCCTGCAGATAGATCATAACATGCCAAAAGCTCTCAAAACTATTCAATCTCTATATATTTGACCCAAATTGCACTCACAACAGTACATCTGCAGAAAAAATTACTAGGAAACAACCTCATAATATAATCATTAGGGGCGGGACGAGACGAGAAATGAGATTAGGTCTACAAGAACGAGATAAGATGTAATTTTAACACAACTGATATAAATAAAAATAAGTAAATGTTGTGATTCAGTTCATAATTTTGGCGTCAACATTTATGGTTTACTTTGTTTAATATTATACTATTTTTGATGTCAATATAGTACAGTTTTTTGGTACAACAGCATCAAGAAATTTAACTTGCCAGCACGTAACCCTTTTTTTGTTCAGTCCAAATGTAAAACCATGGGGGAACGATCACATGAGATAATTTTTCTCACGTGTGCATGATCTCGGAGTACGAGATCTTACCCCATTCCTAATAAAGACAGATTAATCTTGTAAATTGTGAGTTTAATCTGCCTTTTAACATACAAATACCCAAAACTACTAAATCTCCATATAACTCATTCTCTAATTTATAATCTCCTTACAATCTAAATAAAATCATCAGCCAATTTGTTCAAATTTTGGTCACCATCAAGCGATTAATGGACTAAATACCTCGAGCCTTGTAGTCAACAATGGTCGATAAAAGAAATACTGCAAACTAAACGTAATACCCACCTTCCAGGGCCACCCATTGCTGCCATGGCTGCAAAAGCTGAAAAAAATGATATCAAAAGTCACAATGCTTCACTTCCATAAGTAAAATCAATATAGCCAATTCAGAACAGTTTACTTACCGTCATTAGTTGCCACTTTCTTCGTCTCTGGTTGGTCTGAGAAGAAAAAAAAAAACCACACACCACAAATACAAGTAAGCACTTAATAAGTAACTCAGACGTCTAAGCTGCAATTCCAGAATGACAACCAAAGCCGTAAATAGCCGATAATAAATAAAAATGTAGTTTAGGTGTGGCTAGTCTGAATGTAATGTAATATTAAAAGTTGGCTATAGCACCGTTTTGTGAAAGAAACGGCACTGATAACTTAACTGATGCGTTCTTATTAGTTTACATGAAATCTTGACAGGCCAAAACTATTCTCTGAGCTTTTGCCGGCCTTTCGAAGTAATCAAATGAACCTACAACTTTTTAAAAATACTGCCATGATAGTAAACATGGCAATCCTGAAAGGCAATACACACCGTTAGTAAGCTTGCAGACCTATTTATGCAATTTATTAATGATTTCTAATGGTTTAAAATGATTGAAAAAACGCATGCATCAGTGTACATGCATTAAATAGAAAATCAAGTATGCAATATGATGATTTGCAATTAACAGTTGATGAAAAGATGGGTTAAGTCTATGCAGGCAGGTTAAACTAGCAGGATTGAAGCGATTTGAGCCACTGACCGGCACTGAGGATAGGCATTGGAAAATACCCACCAGCGTCCTCCAGGGGCCTTTTCTGCCCTCCGTAACCAAAGTCACTCGTGGGGCCTCCCGCTACACCATCTCCGCCAATCTTTGCTGCAATCTGGAACAAAAATACACAGGAACGTGAACCAATGTGGAATTTATTTATAGTTTGAACAAGACAGTGAGCCCAAAGTTATTTCGGTCCTGTGAACCCGCAGGTATAATTTAAAATGTCCCTCTAAAATTGCGTTTTGTCAGCATACAAAAGTTTCACACTTGATTTTTTTGGTACTATGGAATTGACTCAACACTCGATAAAAGATTATATCATCACAATTAAAATAAAAGAGGCAATTTTTTTTGTATAGAATGTAATTTTCAAACACAAAATAATAGTACTTTCTTTACGTTGCCATGAGATCTTACACTAGTTCTGATAAAGCTCAAAATTACTCTAAAACTGTTCAGGAAATGTGATTTTTTTCCCTTCTTCCGTATCAATACTTGCTCAGATGAATACATAGTTTCGATATTAATTTTAGCATGTGATTCATATTTGTTATATTATTAATAAAGATCAAAAGAAACAGAAAACGCACACCAAAATTCTGTAGAGGTGCAAATGCAAGGAGCAGCAGGACAAAAGTGAAAAAATGCATAGCACACTCAGATGGCCGATGTTCAAAAACTTTATTTTCAAAATGTTTTGGCAAAAAAAAAAAGCTTCAGACATTTTTCTTGCTTTGGACCACATTTTTCACTTGTATTATTAATAAAAATGTCAAAATGTTGGCGATTACTTTAGATTAAGAAAAAAAAAAAAAAAAACAGAGGCCTTTTAAGAAGAAAGATTTAGTAATTTCTGACGATGTTGACATGCCTGCTTGCTTGTGCATACTTGCCCAAAACCAGCAATTCATGCAATAAACAAATACCGACTCAAACCTTTAAGTTACACATGATTTTTTTCAGATTTGTCATTTCATTCACTAAAACAATCTCTATACACTGCTGGTTTTGCACGTTGCACTCTTCTGTCCACACCATTTTGCTTTTATGATTTTGCATTTACGGGGCAGCAGTAGCTCAGTCAGTAGACGATTTGTCCACTGATCCAAAAGTAAGTCGTTTGAATCCCGCTCTCGACATAAACATCATTGGGAAAGCGGTCAGATCCACCGACCCATAGGTTGGCTGGTGTGATTCCAGCTGCCACAGATGAATGCTGTCATTGTATCCTCGAGGAAGACAGTTGTCGTTATGTCCTCGAGGAAGACAGTTGTCGTTATGTCCTCGAGGAAGACAGTTGTCGTTGTGTCCTCGAGGAAGACAGTTGTCGTTGTGTCCTTGAGCAAGACACTTAACCCACCTCGCCCTCAGTGTCTGTATGAATGTGTGTGTGAACGTCTGAGCATTTCCTTGTTGAGCTGGAAAAGCACCGTATAAAAACGTGACCATTTACCAGGATTAGTCAAAATTATTTTATTTCTGAGTCTCACTACTAATTTAATGCACAACACGCCTTTAAATTCTGTCATAGTAAAAATTTTATCATTATTATTTTATGTTTTGTTGCCCCTTATTGCCAATTTAAAACATATTCCAAATTGGTGAAACGTGGTCATGAATGAATAAGGAAATTATAAAGTTGTCTTAAGTACACTGATGTAGAATCGTCTGATATGGGTTGCATTAGTTAATTTGACAAAGAAAACACGAATAGTTTAAGATAAATCACTTTTTATTCATACTTTTAGGGTTAAGCTTGTTGGGTTCGCGGCCTACTTTTCTGTCCGGAAGTCTGGAGCCAACAAAGAAACGCTTTAGTCCCACTGTGAAATAAATTATCCAGTCAATTTCTAAACGATCAATCAACTATTTCTTATTTTAAATCCTTTAATGAGCATTTCTTCATCGCGATCAGCCAGGTTTTGAGTTTTATAAAAGCATTAGTCATCATTTTTAGCCTTAGCTCGCCCAGATGTGATGCCGCAGCGTGGAAAACACCAAACCCGCGCGTAAAATGGCAACTCCGCGCGCAACTTTTCGCTTCATCGCAGGTTTAATTTCATCCGATCGCTTTTATTTATCGCGTTTACCTGTCGTGCTCGCTGAAGTGCGTCTTGGAAAGCGTCGTTCATTCCTCCAGCGGCGTTAGAGGACGGTGGAGCCACGCTGCTGTAGTCGGCCATAACTGCACTGCTCCAGCGCGGAGGAGGGACAAGATGGCGGATTTCACTCGGCATTCACGCCAACTCTCGCGAGACTTAGGGACACGACCAAAACAATGGACGCAAATGACCCCACTTTGGTAAATTAACATCATTAAAGTGACCAGATGTCCCTATTTACCCTATTTACAATCCCGATTTTGCACCAATTTGATACCTGCCAACAGTAAAGAGAGGAATAATGCAATAAAATACAGAAAAGCATGCTTAAAAATGACCAAAACGCAAAGAAAATGTGATGATACTGACTCACGGGTTAGTTGTGAATGTTCCTTTATTATTGCCCTTATTTCACAATTTTATTATTAATAACCACGCCAAACCAAGAGTGTCCCAGTTTTTGATTTTGAAATGGTCACCCTAAACATTAAATATAAATTTTTAAAAAAGTTTTAAAGAAATGCCATGTTCTGGGGAGAGAAGATATGAAGAAATATACCTGGAATTGTGTTTTGTTTCGTCCACACTGAAGCTAACATACACCTTTTGCCTTTAGTTCAGTGGAAAATGGCAATTCCAGGTGCATGGAGTTTAACAACACATTGGAGCACTTCCTGGATTAAAACAACATCACAAGGTGGAGTGTTTTCCGTTTGAGAGAAGAACTAGGCCTAAATATGCATGATTTGTGTTAAACATCCATCCACCCATCAGTTTTCTTCTGCTTATCCGGGGCCGGGTCATGGGGGCAGCAGTCTAAATCAGGGACTCCCAGACTTTCTTCACCCCAGACACTTCCTCCAGCTCCTCCAGGGAGACCCCGAGATGTTTCCAGGCAAGCCGAGAGACGTAATCCCTCCCTCCAGCATGTCCTGGGTCGATCCACACATGTTAAAAATGTGTGACTGAAACAAAACACAACTCCAGGTAAGCTACAGTCAAAGGTCTCAGGTCGGGTTGAGTCAGTTGGTTTAAATGCCATGATGTCATGATAAAACCTGAGCGTTTGTATTTGTCTTACTTAGATTATTCATGTCAGAGTAATCCTTTTATTGTATTGTCCTGCATATCTGAGGCTTAGGTGCTTTGAAAATTTCACCTATATACGCCCACTTGTGTTTATTTTAAAAGGCAGGGATAAGAATATTTCTGTATTTTTTAATAAATATATTTTAATATTTTAATCTCTATCCAGCCTTATGTAGCCAATAGAACCAGTAGACTACATGGATCATTTTGAGTGGTCCACTGTTAGAGTAACTCATTACATCACAAGATGAAGATGTTATGTTTTCATGACTGATTGAGTTTGTATGTATTTGAACAACAGACTTGCTGTATAGTCCTATGGACCACTATATGACCTACCAGGACAACTGGGATTACAGGTGTTTTTATTATTATTGTGGAATCAGAATCTGTATTGAGTATCAACTTTACTCCTTAGTATGAAAATTGAGTTTGAAATGACAACAACACTTTAGTATTTCTCTATATGTTTTTATAGTTAAGGATCAATGTTGTAAATCGTGTCCAGTATGGTTAGGAGGTAATAATAAAGTCTAGGCCTTGTAGCCATTATAAAAATAGAGAAATTATACAGTGTTTGTTTGTTCCTGTATTTAGCTGTATAATTACAGTATTACATAATAACTATTAATATTACTCTTTTCATTTCACAGTCTAATTATTGCACCAATAAACAAGGTTTATGTAATAATGTAAATGACTCAACCAAACTGCCATATCGTCACTGGCCACTGTGTAAGTGTAAACAATGAATGTGTAATAAACCTATTTTATACCAAGCCTAGTCCATCATTAATCCGTCTCTCCTCACAAAATAAGTTTATACATTACATATATTAACATTTTTATATCATTTATGATCCCTGGGAAAACATAGTCTCAAATTTTCTAATTAATAAATAGTTAATAGAAGCACAGGGTATAGCTCGTACAAAGCTGGCTCCCATCCCGTTATAAAAACCTCGAAGTCCATTTCTCTCATAAATTCCTTTAAGTCCATGTAGTACTCCAGTAGACCGATACGATGCTGGCCAGAAAGCTGCAAAACAAGAAATAACAGGTTTTAAGGAGGTTTATTGCCATGTTTTCAAATACTACATATACGTTTATATTTAGGGGAGATTCTTTGCACGGAGAATAAGTGAGGAGCGGGGGGCGCGGAGATTCCGCGCGATGACCGGAGTTTTGCAGGAGTCACGTGGAGGAACGTACTCAAGGCGACGCTTTAACTCTAAAGTGTACGGGAAACACTGGATAGATAAACAGATACCTTGATACCTTGGGACTGTTGTCAGGTGATTCCCGCCAGGTGGGCGTGGTCACGTGAGCACAGATGTATGATGCGTTCTTTAAAAGTGGCGCTCACCTGCACAGGTAAGGGAGCTGTCACCTGATGACGTGGCACCGGGGAGTCGAGCCAACAGCTTCACGTAAATCACTCTTGATGTTACATGTCAGAGGAAGCCCCTCTCACGGCCGCGCGCCGTTTTTAGCAACAAAGAAAGAAAAGGCGGAGCGGAAGCGCAGGACCCGCGCAATTCAGGAAAAACGCGCCAAAAGTGCAGCGCGACCCAAATCACCATCAGCACGACAAACAGCACGACAAACAGCACGGAGGAGTCCAGGTGAGTGTTACGAGTCCAGGAGAGTCTTGTTTGTGGTTACAGAATCATTATTGCATTAATAAATTGTTGTTCGGTTATAAATGTTTGATGAATGAAGCCGCTGCTTCTGGTGAATATTTTACTCCGCGCTCTGATTCACGTTTCTGTAATGTGCAAAGTGAACTGAAATAAATAAAACGATGATGTGATGAGTTTCACATGATCATGATGCTTTCATTGAAAGGAAATCTATTTCACTCTGGATGTGTTTTAAATGATGGCTCACTGAAAAAGGTGTATTATAAAAGGAAACGTGAAGGTGTCCTGAAACTGTCTGGTAAAAGGAAACTTACAGAAAGGACTTTTTTGAAAACAAATGCAAAAGGTTTTGACAGTAAAATGAAAGAAACTATGCCACAAATGAAAGTCATGAAACAAAAGCAAAACGTGTCTCAAATAAAATCTCTCGGTATTTTGATGTGTGAAAATGTCATTTATTACAAAGGGTGAAACCGTGGGGAAAATGTGTTTTTCAAACGTAACAAATTGCAATGAAAAGGTTTAAACATGTACACCAAGCTTGGGTCAATGAACTAGAACACAATGACTCAGAATTATATGAAATGAATGGTACGTTTGTGGGAATTAAATGATCACTTTCCAAACATGAATGATACAGGACCTGCCACAAAATACTCAAACATGTGAATTTAAACAAGTGCAATACAAAAAGTGAAAAGTGTTATCAAAGGTTTCAAATGGGATGAAAACCTACTTGGAAAATAAAATCTCTCCTCTATCCTGGAAAAATAAAACCGTACGCAAATGCATCCAACTGTACAATGGTCATGATGTAACCCTCAAATCTTAAAACATCTATTCTTTCTTTTTATTCTTTACCTTGTGTCCTCTCAAAACAAGATCTGAATGCTGAGGATTTTAATGGCTCAGATTTGGGCCTAAACTGGTTCAAATGTGTCAGATTCTACACACACTTTAATGGAGACTGAGTGGTCTCTTAGGGGTTGATCTGGTCTAAATGTGGACTAGATTTTAATGTTTAATTTCCACAGGTGGCACTTGGTTTTGGGTCCTTGTATTGCGTTTCGTGCGGGTTTGGGGGGATTGGTAATAGTAAAACTGAAACAAGTGCATAATTAAGGAAAATTGTGATGCACTCAGAGCACCTTGCTGGAAGAGTTTACCTGAACTCTGTGTTTTGGGATGAACGTCCATCAGCTTTTCCCCAAAGACCCAAAGGTGAATATAAAACTGTTTTGCTGAAATACACTAGTGTTTTGTAATTTTGTTTCTAATTTTTCCTTTGTGTTTGCAGGTTTGGGTGGTGTCCTCTAACCCTTCTATAGGTGTCAGTTTATTATCATTATTATCATCATTGTTAATAAGTTCATAGTTAATTTAAGATAAATCTACTTTGTGTCTTGCAAATGTGAGACATGAAAATCATCTGCGGCAACTGTAGTAGATGTTAGTTTATTTTATTTGAAAACAGCTAAAGCTAAAACATGTCTGCCATATGTTACTGACTAACCCTGGAGTTTTCAGGTTTTAGGTTGGTGTCTAACCCTTTTACAGCAGCTCTGTGATATCTACTATTGCTATAGAAGCTAAAGAGTGCTTCTGACCAGTGAAAAACGAAGTTAAAAAGGCCCCAAGAACTAAGAAGAAGAATGGAAAATCTTATATCAGAGGCTATGCTCTGATATAAAATATAGAATGAATGAAAGAATTAATCCAGAGCACCTTACTGGAAGAGTTTACCTAAACTCTGTTTTGGGTTGGGTTGGGGTTCAGTCAGCTTTCCACCAAAGACCTAAAGGTGAATTTAAAACTGTTTTGTTGAAATACACTAGTATTTTGTAATTTTGTTTCTAACTTTTCCTTTGTGTTTGCAGGTTTGGGTGGTGTCCTCTAACTCTTCTACAGGTATCAATTTATTATTATTATCATTGTTAAATAGTTCATAGTTGATCTAAGCTACTTGTAAATCTACGTCATGTCTTGCAAATGTGAGACATGAAAATCATCTGCGACAACTGTAGCAGATGTTAGTTTAATTTATTTGAAAACAGCTAAAGTTAAAACATGTCTGTCATATGTTACTGACTAACCCTGGAGTTTTCAGGTTGGAGAAACCCACATCGTTTTAAAACCTGATCATTTGGAATAATCTTAAGGTACAGTATATTTTAGTTGGGGATTTTTGAGGGAAATTCTCCCTCTGCATTTGACCCATTCATCATCAACAAAGTGCTGCTGGGGCAGCCTGTCAGGAGCAGTGAGCTGCTGCCATACACCTGTGCAGGTTCTGCACACAAAGGAACCTTCTTGCTGTGAGTGCTAAGCCACTCATCTTGACTTGAGTTTTGGTCCAAGAATTGAGGCCCTTGTGTT